GTTTCAAGGTTCCGAGTGGGTGTGGACTTGAAGGCTCCTGCCACTATCCGTAGACTCTTGTTTTGGGCTTTTCCAAGCGCCTTGGTGATCCCTCTCGGAGCTGTATATAACGTTTTAGATTTCAGACATGTAAGATCCATCATGCATCCCAGCGCTCCATCCAATCTTAGTTCTCAGCGGAGAGAGAAACTAAGAAGCCGTAAATGATATGTAGGCTATGAAGGAGAACTACATCCCTGGATCTCATTAGAGTGCCGCGTGTGATAAGCATCACTTGAGTTAAATTCTCTAAGTCAATTCAATGACTATAATTTGCACTTGCCATCCTGATGCACGCTCCAAGGATTAAGTGGAATTATTATTATTCCTACACCGCTGTGCCCTAGGGCTTAAGTGGAATTACGAGTTGTTACAATGTTCATCCAAATTCGACACGCAACAAGCTACTCGGGTCGCGGTCATTCCCTTTCCTAGGTTAGGTTTGAGTATGGTGCAGAAGAGAATAATGGAATTCTCCAGTGGGATCACGATGGGAAGCTTAGCAGGGTTATCAGTTTCTTAAGCTGCTTTTGCGCCCGACGCTTCTACTGACACATCACTGCCAATCGCGCAGCACAAAGCAGATGGCAACACACCAGAAGGCATATAAATCACTTGTAATCAGGACTACAAAGTAACAAATCCTGCGAGTGTAAGCGGAAATGGGAGCATTAACTCGTCACGATCATGCATTGGATAAGGGACTAATGCCGCTGTACAGGGAAGAGGAGAGAGGCCGGGGTGAGCCGGGGGCAGGATCAGCAGAGACTGATGCTTTTACGGATATCTCCAATGCACTGTTATAATTGAGGTGGAAGAAGCAGAGTAATTAATTCTGAGTGGCAACAAGCCATAGTGCAAATATCTCGAATCGTAGCCAGTATGTGAGTTGATCCGGACGGTGTTGTATAACTATCGCCCAACTCTACTATCATGTTCAAGTCGGCAAAATCTTGCACGCTCCAGCACAGGTAGAACTCTGCCCAGGAACAGAGAACGGTGCCACTAAAACACATCACTGCACTGGTCAACAAAAAAGTTGAAAAGAGGTCAAAGTGCGGCTGGTGATGGGGGTTAGTGCGTGGTTCTTCCTTTTGAAAGAGACGGGACCGAGAGATGCACCTTCCGTTTTTTTTTTGCGACTGGGCCATGCATCTTCCACTCTCAGCGAGTGGGCCATACACCTTCCTTTCTCTTCCGAGTCGACTGAGATAGACGTGCTGAAGAGTTCCACTCGACACCAGACACTATTACCTACCTTACGGTATTATTCTTTGCGGGCCTTTAGAGTCCAAGGCAGATCATAAGTCTTTTAAGGATACCACTGCGTTGCGCCACAACCGGGAGACTCCCTCCACTGCGTAACTCAGTTGGTAGAGGACTTTCCTGCCATTGACTAAAGTAATTGCAAACCTGACTGCCCCTTCAGGCTGTCGTAGTCTGAATTCTATATGCACCACAGCATGATCCTCCCACACACAGTCCATCCTCAACATCTCCCCACCCACTCTGTATTACCCTGATCGCTGCTCCCACCCCATAGGCATCATCATCCCCAGCTGACCCGGCGTCGTCTCGACGAACCCGTTCCGCGCATACAGCGCCCTGCCTGGCGCGTCCGCAAACAGCGTGACATATGCCCCCGTGCCGTCTTGCGGCGCCTTCTCCTTGATGTACGCCAACAAGTGCCTCAGCACGGCCCCGCCAAGCCCTTTTCGCTGATGCGCTGGCAAAACGGCCATGTCGGCGATGTGGAAGTACCATCCCCCATCGCCTATTATGCGGCCCATTGCGACGATTGTTTCCTCCTTCTCGGTACTGCTCGTGGTGGTAGTGGTGTTGTTTGGGGCAGGGGAACATGTGATGTAGCAGCCGTACCAGCTGTTGCGTGCGATGGGCTCGGCTTGGGCTGGTGTTTTGGGGTAAAGGCCCGATGTCGCTCGGAGGTGGAGGTAAGCTGGGACTGGCGGGTACCCGGGGCGAAGCGTGCATCCTCGTGGGAGAGCCGGTCCCTCCAGAGCAAGAGAGGGCGTCGAGGACGAGCTTGTGTTTGACTCCATACTGGTTCCGCGGTCATGCTGTCTCGATTGCCAACGCGAAGTCAGGTATGCGATGCGCTTCTTATTAATGCGGACTTTTGTGTGGTGGAAACCGGGGCTTCGGAGGAGTAACTCGGAATAGGCGGAGCTCCGGCGGACTCAGTTGCCCAAATTAGGCAAGTTGGCGCCGAACGATCGGTGGACCCACCGAGCCGGCCGACAACCGAATGGAACTCATCAAGGGGGACGGGCTGTAACTAGGGCAGGGTTAATCTTGGCGTTTATGTTATTCCTCGCTTCCCTGCGATCGAGCCACGTTGATTGCGAGGTAGCTCTCTCAACCGCCATCGTCCATTGTAAATGATTGCATTTATCTGATCGTCCACGACAACAACAACCATTTGACCGAGCGTCGACGAGATTTTCAAAGATGGCGTCGCGAGAGACGACGCAAGCCCCACCGACGGACAAGATAGGTTACTTGGTAGTCGCCAATCGATTTTCTGCATGATGAGCACCGGTGACCGCGCTTTCATCTTTCATCCCGCGCGGCTTCAACCCCGCTGTTCCGTTGTAATTGACGGACCTGCAAGGTACATACCATATGTGGCAGCAGCGGAGAGGCAAGCCAGCGAGCGATCTTGGTTGCCATCGTGGCGAAGAGGCTGGCAACCTCGATGGCATCGAGAGCGACAACACGGTCAGCGTCATGGCAGGAGTGCTCCGTTGGGACTGGCAAGTGGAGTGGCGGTCGATGCTGCTTCCCTGCCATCGACAGGTCAGCACAAAACACGCCGATGCCAGCATACTGCATTTCCTTACGGCCAACTGCACACTCCGCGCAGCCACAACTGATGTACCTGGACTGACCGATCTGTTAAAAGGGGTACCTTAGTCGAGAGAATGATTTTTACATACATTATTTTGGGCCGCACTAACGGACTGGACAGAGCGGTACCTGCGAGCAAGCTGCCTGTGAAGGGTGCGTTGTTCCTTCCCAGACCTTGAAATTGAAGACGTCCAATGATTTGACAGTCCTTCCTTCCAGCAGTCCCCTCAGGTTGGAAGGCAGCAAGGCCCAATAGGTTAGCGCAGCGCCGTTGCCAGAGCAGTGGCGGTGTCCGAGTCCACCAACCCTTTTCAACCACGGTTGATGTCGAAACATGAAGTTGTGTGTAGCTCGAACCCCTTCTGTGGAATTTCCGTCGGCGTGACAGCCTCTTGGCTGTTCGTAACGTGCATGCAGCCCTCGAACGCCACTGAGGCTTAGCCTCGTCGCTTCATGCTCTGCAGTTCGCCCAGCTAAACCAGCGCCTGGTTCAGTAGCCTAGAAAAAGAGCCTTACATGATAAGTGGCATAATGTGTGGTGGACATTGCTCGCGCTAAACCGCCCGCATTTTTCAGTATGTGTGATTCGAGCCTCCTTCGATTGGGCGTTCATGCCACTCTGGAGGCTAAATGGCGACGCCCAAAACCAAGCAGATCCCAGAAAAAGTTGAGTTCACTTTTGTAGCCCAAGATATACTGCACGTAAAGCAGCATCAGGGAACTCTTCAATGTCTCCAGCTTAACGCGACCGTCAGTACGAGACTTCTGAACACTCGCACCGCCGCTTGGAGGAGTGCATCGTCGATATCCCCCCGTATGCCATCCTGTCGCATACATGGGGTGGCGATGAGATCTCCTTCGCTAAGATTGTGAATCCAGCGAACGACCTTACCGGCAGGCAGGGCTACGACAAGATCGGCTCAGCATGTCTCCAGGCGCAAAGCCAGCATCAGGCTCTGAATCATATATGGATCGACACTTGCTGCATCGACAAATCCAGCAGCGCAGAATTGACAGAAGCCATCAACTCCATGTACACCTGGTACGCGCGTTCCGAAGTCTGCTACGCCTATCTTTCGGATTTGGAGGCTACCGCGCCGTTGGACCAGCTGGGAGCGTGCCGCTGGTTTACCCGGGGATGGACGCTCCAAGAACTCATCGCTCCAGAATGCATTATCTTCTTCGACGCACAATGGAACAGGAGGGGAACAAAGGAGGACCTCGCCGAAAGGCTCTCGCACATCACCGGGATCGACCGAGACATTCTTTTGCACAGGCGGCGATTGTCCTCGGTGTCTGTTGCACAAAAGATGTCTTGGGCTGCGGGGAGGCAGACGACAAGGGTTGAGGACAGTGCGTATTGTCTCTTGGGCATTTTCGGAGTGCACCACCCTTTCATATACGGCGAGGGGAAGCGGGCTTTCCGACGACTGCAAGACACCATCGTCAGCTCTGTGCCCGACCTGAGCATTTTCGCCTGGAAGCTGGAGCCATCTCTTGCTACCACGGCCAGCAAACCTCAACGCCGCGAGTACTCCGGTGTATACGCCCTAAACCCCGCCGCGTTTTCCCCATGTCGGTCGTTCATCAAGAAATGGCCGTTTTCTCGGCATGAGCTATTGCCTATGAACGGCAGCATCATAGTGAGAATGCAAATCTTGCTCGAAATGACCCCGGAGAATGGAGGGTATCGCTATCTCCTGCCGCTCGATTGCCACGCCGAATCCAGGCCGGATGTCACGCTCTGTGTGCGCCTTCGGAAGATTGGTCATTTCGAGTTTGTGAGGGAGAACCCATACGAAATCGTCGAGTTCTCCAGACCGCTGGTCCGCTCCATCATCCCGACCAGCCGCTATCTACTGCCAGAGCTGCCGCTGCCAGAAGAGCTTCAGGAGCCGGGAAAAGCTCGAAAAGCCGCGGATTCTGATTTCATCGGACAGACACGATCTTCTGCCATCCAGATCCAACTGCCAACCGGAATGTGGCTAAACATACTGGACATCTTGCCCTGGCACCGCTTTGACGGGCAGGACCGAGTATTTTATTTGACCGGACACAGCACTGAGCACGATTCCGCCATGGTGCGGCTCAGAGGCGGTGTTCTCTCTAATCTTGGAGAACCAGTCGAAGTCGAATTTGAGTGCGTCTTTTGCGCCACCGGCTGGTCGTCGACAAACCATGAGTCACTTCAGTGTACCGTGCTTGATTATGCCAGGTTTGCGACGGCACTGTCCGAGTTCCGCACCGAGGTCTGCGGGTGGGACTTCCACAGGAAATATTTCTTGGAGCGGTTGATATACCACAGAATGCCCAGGACTTCATCTGTTGTCGTTCAAGGAAGGCAATCCCGGATGCGCATATCTTTCGAGGCATGTTTGGCCGAGGATCCAGATATCTGTCGGGAAAAGTTCTGGAGGATCGAGTTTTCGTGTGCGCCTTGTGAGGAGGACAGTGATGCTCGAGAGTTTGTGAGAAATGGATCCTCGAAACTACACAAGGTAGCTGAGAGATTGTGAGCGGACTGGGACTTCCGGTCTCATGCATTAGGGCTGGTTGCGTACCAATTTCAGGTATGGGTAGGACTACAGTAAAATAAATGCATTGCCAGCCCGCCAGGAGCTGATACTGTTGAGCCGAGTCTGACAGCTCAAAGCTGCTCAAGACCCAGCATGGCCAAAATGTATCCTGCAGTGGTCTACCCAAAGTTGTTGAAAGAATGTTGTTTCACAAATTTTACCCTGTTGACTCTGCAAAGGATTTGATCCCGCGCGTGCCGAAATTACAATACGCGAATTACCGCCGGCCACTTCGAGGCCGGAGGAGGAATCGCCTGCTAAGATACGAGGCCGGAGCCTATTCTTATACGTCTACAACGTGCGGGTAGTATCATCGCGTTCTGGCATGGATTCTGACTTAGAGGCGTTCATCAAATCTTGATGATCGTCAATCGTCGGCTCAGGGAAGCGCATCAAAGGACACGATCAGTGGTCGTGGTTCGCTCAGAAGCAGCAATCCAGGCACTCCAAACAGCACTCGCATGTCTCGCCGCAGAGCCAGCAGCAACAAATGGCAGCAATGCTAGAGGCAGATACTGAGTCAGCTATTGGGACTGGAAAGCGAGGCAGACACTTCCAAGCTTACCAAGAGTACAAGCAGCCGTGGCTCTTCTCCTCCTTGGGCGGCGGTGCCTGCTGATACTGCATCGGCTGGGGCTGGGGTGCGTAACCTTGGGGAGGCGGGTAGCCCTGAGGCGGGTAAGGCTGCGGAGGGCCTTGCGGAGGTGGGTAACCTTGGTAGCTCTGGGGAGGAGGATAACCACTGCAGTTGATAAAAAAACAGCTGTCAGTTGTTCGGCGCCATGATAGGATTCGTGAAGTGGTCGAGTTCCACCCATGACTTTATTGACTTACCCTTGCTGAGGATATTGAGACATGGTTTGTAGTCGACTGCGTTTCGGTGATGTTTGAAGGATCTGCAGCAGGACAAGGGACTAGGGAGAAAACCTGATGGATTGGATCTCCAGCTTCTATCAGCATCCGCTTGCAACGGCTTTTGTAGGCGCGACGAGCGGCCGCCAAGAGTGGAGATAATGATTCATGGATCGCACGGCCCCACCTGCCCAAATTGATCCTTGGGCCCGGCACCGAGATGCCGGTCCGCCCGATAGCCGGCCGCCCTAGATCTGCTGGGACTGTCGATGCAAAATATGAGATGCATCGAAAACGTGCCCGGTTTGTGGGCAACTGAGTAGATCTAAGCCCTGGCTTAGCCAGAGGCCACTCCAAGAAAGCGTTGAGTTCGTGCCAAGTGGGGCCTCCGACCGGCGATCCCGTAGGGGACCGGGCATGGTCCGGAATTTCGGATCCGCCGAAAACGTCCGGGCAATGCATGGGATTGGTCGTGGTGAGTGTGCCTGCGTGCCCTGCCGCTAAGCGGAACATCGTGCTCAAATCCTGACATGCGACAAGGAAGAGAAACTGACAAATGGGAATTGAAATGACTTGCCAGGCTCGGCTCTCGTGGCAACTCGACGAGGTAGAAGTTGTCTGCCATGTCGGATCACATCACTGCATCACTGCATTTGCTGCTGACATGATCCAAAGTGCCAACAGTTATGGTACAGACAGCTCCATTGTTTCACATTGGGGAAGGAACGGGTACCTGGGAGACTGGAGCAAGGGAAAGCTGGCGCCAGCCTGAGGGAGCAAACTCGGAGCTGTTCTTCTGACGTTGGGAGACTGTCAAGAGATTGTTTCTAGAGGAGCAATGTGTCTGTTCGCGCCTTATCAATGATATCGGTTGATCGACGGTACGGTGGGTATTGTACTTTTCACTGTCCCATTTCTTACAAAAATCAAGATACCTTGTCCACGATCTATTCGCTTTCTCTTCGACTGCAACCTCCCGAGGCCGGGCCATAGCTGCTGTCACCGCCTGGTCCTCGGTGATTGTCTCCTTTGCCTTCACCCTGGCTAGGATGTTCATTACCAGGCAGAGGCAAGATGCCAAGACCGTCATCGTCCTGCAGATCGCCACCTACAGATAACCCAGAGACAGAATTATGCGCGAAAGAACCGGTCCCCCCTCCCCGGTATCCTGTCTCTCTGTCCATTCGATTGAACGTGCCTCTTCTGATGAAGGTCTATTGCTTGTGAGCCTCTACCTTGTCATATGGGCGTAGCAGAAGCGAGGAGCCGTGGCTTACTCCAAGAAATGTAGCGGGACGGAAGAGGTCGCCGATAGGCTGGTGTGTGCATCAACACAATCTCTCGCTCCGTCCTACGGGCCATGCCGCCGAGGCTGACGTCGGCAATGATGCGGCTTATTCGCAGCTCAGCAGCTGCAGGAGGCCTTTATACTGCAACATTTCAGTCGAACTGACCAACCAGATAGAGACCCTCCTTTACGTACCAAAATCTTTTCCCATTCTCCAACTGGCTGCGCAAGGATACGAGCTGGGTGTGCCGGGTCTCGAGGCTGCGAATAATTTGCTCGACTTTGAGCAAAAAGTCCGATATTGACTTCTCCATGTGAGCCTGGATGTCGGGTTTCAGGTGGGGGCAGCGAGAGAGGCGTTGGTAGTAGTCATGAGCGTCTCCAAGCGCACCAACGTTCATATGGATAACCAGTGCCGCCTTCTCGAACCGTTCTGACAGTATGCTGAGCTTCCGCAGCTCTTTGTAATCGAGCATGTTCAAGGCGAGGATCTCCTCCGGCACCTTTTTCGAGGAAGTGGATGTTGGTTGTGGGTCTCGGGCGACATCGGGAGTGGTTGAACAAGGCAGCAGGTGTCGCCTAACGGACTGAATATGCTTCGTATCTTGGAATCAACTGTGCAAGCGGCGGGCTTGGCCATCTCGCTGATACTGGAGAATGAGGAAACCATCGTCTCTGTCTTGCGGGAAAGTCGGGTGAGCCGTGGCTCGCTGTCGATGGGAGTTGTCTTTGCCTTGGCAAGGGAATCTAGAATGTGCTCCTCCATGACGCGAACATACCTACGCCGTCTCTGCTCGCACCAGCGAAGAACAAGTAGGTCGCAAGGGACGTGTCGAAAGCTGGACCGACCTTGTACGCCAAGCGAGTGAGAGCCCCTCGTCGACATCGAAGGAATGGTAGACGGCAACCTGGCGGATGGGCCATGGGTCAGTTGCACCCCTGGCGCGTTTTACCGATCGTAGCAGGAAGGAATGGCGAATCTCCTCGCCAGAACGGCCGAGGCGTCCAACAGCTGGCCATCGTTCTTGAAGGCTCAGTTTGTCGTCGGAGCGGAAATGAGCAAGACCGGCCTCAAGCGGCTCGTCCTGCTCCCCAAAGGCGAAGACTGAGTCAGGGAAAGAATACTCGACCTCTGTTACGTACCGTCAGTTTTCTTCTGCCGTCTCTAGTCTGGTTAACGTTCACGTATGATGGTAGGTGAGGAGGGTTTTGAAGATCTCGGGAGAGCAGTTGAACGGAGCTGTCGAATTGTCCAATTCCAGGAAGCTACCAGTGTTCAGTGGCATGTCAGTGGATGGCCGGCACACGGCGGTTTGGGATGTGCTTTTGAACTTACACATGACGACAGTTTGGATCCGCCGCTTTCCGACAATGTGCTCGGTCAATTGCTTGACGTTTCCGACCTTAGTCTCAATGGAATCTGCTCACCAGTTAAGTTAGAACTTGATCCAGGCAAGACACGAGCAGTTGAGGTGGGAAAAGATACGCTGTGCGCCTGCCCAGGCTTCCCACAGCACAATACGCTGCTTGGAGCTGTCGAAGAGGGCGGCTTCATTCCGGAGCGAGTTGCCGCAATAGTCGTCGAGGTCTGCTTGGGAAACGGCTGCTTTCAACAATGTGCATGGATACTCGCTGAAATTCCTGCAAGCGTCGACCAGCATGTCATGTGGGTCGAATTCAAGTGTGCCGGTCCAGGTGACTGGGTGTACGCAAAGGGGTAGTCATCGTTGCCGCTGCCCGGAACCGCGTGAGGGGGTCATGGTCAATCGGTTTTTCTGACTGGAGCCCCACTTGAATGTCACGCTTGTAGTTGTGGGTTGATGGTAGCGAGTCGCGGGGTGTTGTACACTACAATGGTCCGTTTGGGCGCGCTCCAGAATATTCAACCTGTATAGATTGAAAAACGGATGATGGCAAGATTGCTGGGTGTGAGCAGTTTGTTGGTTGGCAGCTGCGAACAGTAGAGGAGCAGGGGAGCATCAATTTCAGCCATGACCTTCATGTTGGGATGGAGAGTGCCCAAAGTCCTTATGGCCAGAACATGTGTCCTCATCGGCCGGTCTGACATTGTTCCCAGATCACGGACCCGACACAATATCTCGCCCGTCTTTGTTATGTTTAGTTACCTAGTGTCTTGTTGCATGGTTCGCCCCTTAATACCCCATGTGCTCAGTGACACGCGGATGGGTGATGAGTCCCGCGTGAGCACCACGGCGCTTCTCTAAGAAACGAGGCTCTTATCACGCCTGATCTCCTCATCCGAGTTGAGACAGGTACTCGTGAGTGATCGAGACTTGCCCCTCGGAGACCGGAGCGGTTGGTAACCTTGGTCAATGGCCGATGACCCACTGGCAAGACCCGAACTTGCTGTCGTCAGTCTCTTACCGTAAACTACGGTAAGCTCTCCTTCAAGGTTAGTTATTTTCGTTGTAAGTTCGGATAGTTCACCTGAGGTTCTTTGCAAGTCAGATCTTTAACAAGTCGTATTGCCGATTGCCAGTGCCCTCAGTTAATTACTCTTCCTCCAATACTGCGTCGCCCTGCCCTAACCAGGTACCTACAGTACATAACTACCGTCTTTACAAACATGATAACTTAGTGACCCGGCCTAGAAAGAACGTAACCCTGATTAAGGGCAAATTTGAGGGGCAGAAGAACAAATTAAGAAAAAGGCGAAATGACTTTTATTTTAGTTAACTACCTTACCATCTTCAACCTCCCCACCATAGAATCATGTTCGAACAAGAAAAACTTGGGACTTACGCAAGAAAATGTTCGTATTGCCATGTATTGTAAAATCTGCCCGGCATGTGCCTTTCCCAGAGATTTATGCGTATTGTACGTTCTCGGTACACTCTCCCAGAGATTTATGCGTATTGTACCTTCTCGGTACACTCTCCCAGTTTCCCTTCACTCAGACCCAATATGGAAGAAGAAGATGCCGGTCGAAGAGATATGGAAAAGAGAAAAGAAAAAGAAAAACAAGAAAAGATAGAGAGAAAAGATAAAAAAGGAAAAAAAAGAAAAAAGAAAAAATGGAGGTTCAATGGGAGAACTGACCAGCGTTGCCGGGCAGATTTGTCCTACCCGTTGAGCGAAGGGTTGAAGAGTTCCCTCAAAGCCCTTCGATCCCTTAGTGAGCCAACCACCTCACTTACCTTGTACGTACCTCCTTCATTTTCACCGCATCACCAATTTTCCGTCCAATGATTTGCTTTAGACAGCGTCTTTTGAGCCGAAGAATGTTATTGACGGTCGATCTACAAAGCATAAAGGGTAAGGTTGAGTGGGCAGAAGAGAATTAAGAAATGATGGCCAACTGACTTAACGTTTGCAACTCTGCCCACCGACCCCAACAACTTAGAGCACATGAGACTGTAGGCTCCTAACATCACTGTGATCTGTCTAATCACACCGTGACCCAAAATCAACAACTTGAAAAGACAGGCTCGGCCCCTCAACGTCCATTACAGCCCCCTATTACATATAAACATGATAACCTGAAAAATGCATGCGGCCCAATGTCGTCCTCACCAGCGAGCTCAAGTATGAGCTACCTGCTTACATGTAGGCATCGTGTAGTTGCACTTGGGATAATTCACTTGAACGGGTGAATCCGCGTATGGTTATGTGGTTTCCATTATCGGTGCCGTCCTTGCGGGTTCAGATTCGGGACTGGACCGTGGGGCAACGGCGGTCGGCCATGTCCGGCAGACCGCCAATGCATCAACAGCTGCTCTTTTGGCACGTATCGCAGAGCTCTCCATCCTTTGCCACCAGTGTCGTGCAGCCATGTTTTGAGAAGTGGGCGCAGGGTTTGTCTGCCATGGAGACGGAGCCAGGTCGAAATGACTCTGGTCGGAGGGTCTTGACGCTGACGGGAGTGAGGTCGTGTATCTGGTGCCTGGACTGTTTGCTGATTTCTCAAGGGGAGGGTTCAAGTTGCGCCTTGGGTAACTGATGGCTTAGATGAGGTGAGGTCGGCTACACCCACGTAATAGCAAGGTGGCTGAAATGATTCAGGGATTCAGTTCAGAAACATAGTTGCGCCTGGTTTAAGACTCGTCATGGCGTTGGATCGGATCATAGACTTAATCAATGTCGGAAATGCGACGACCCTCCGAGGTTGCCGGGCATGCGGTCGTGCATGGACCTTAATACAGTATGTTCTCGGCAAAGTCAATTCTAACCCACCATTCTGAGTAGGATTCTTCCAATCTGCCGACGGAACCGCATCCAGTGCATGATGATGGGGGTCCTGAGTGTGGTAGCCCTTGAAATGGTGGCCCAACCATGACAAAGACAGCAGCGGGCTGCGCCAGAATCCGCCTATTGTGGTAGAGGTCCCAAAGTCTGCGTTCCCAGCGTGCCATTGGATCTGTAATATATCACTGGCATGTTGGCATAATGTTGCGCACATCTCATACCCTGCTCTGGTGGTGATGCCGGGATGGTTTGAAGAGGAATCGACCCTTGGGGCCTCCAGGGATCAATGTCGCGTCTGGCAGCTTCTCGATCATTCCGGTCGCATGTTCTAACTACCCATCTCCATTCTGAGGGATCAGGACCTACAAAATGGAGGCACCATGTATGTGACAGAGAGATGGGGGAGCTAACGAGCATGCGTGGGCAATGTGCCGGTCCAATCACGTTCAGAGGCGCCGAACGAGTTGCCTGCAACAAGCGTGGGATTTTGGCAAGCTTCCAGGTTGTGTCAAATTGGTGTCGGGCATTGCGGTGGGATAGGCCAGAGTCCGCTTCACCCTCTGTAGTTGAGGTGCTAATGCATGATTAGGTAGGTACCTGGTGCCTTCAACCGCGGTTGATGCCTGCTCCTGAACCGAGCCATGCAGTTCTATGGCTTGAGATGCGCACCTACGGCTCGCTTAACGAATTTCAATGACGAATTAGTTAATGTTACCGTATCCAAAGATATCAGGACAGTGGGACGCTTGTCTCCAGGTATCTAAGGTATGGTAGGTTTTTCGCTCCCCATACGGCGCAACTAACCTATATGTCCAACACTCAGGACATTACCTTACTGCGGTTGATACCTGGGTTCCAAGGTTGAACGGTGCGGAACCCCATGGACGCAGGGATGTTCAGCGGCTCGAAGTACGGTACATTCATGGTCGATAACAGGGGAGGGCGGGGAGGCAGCCATTCAATATCACCCGCATCGTGAACCGGCTCCAGTGTCACATTCGATTTAACTATCATCTTCTGTCGGGAACATGAAGGGAATGATGCAACAAAGCAGAACGTTGCTTCACTGTTCGTTCGCTAGTTCGGCCTAAGGTACAGACATAACCCCTTGATCACTCCCATCGCATGTTGTTTCCCAAACCGGACCAACCCGACCCACGTCAGAAAAAGAAGGAATGTTGTCCGAACCGTTCGATGGATCATCCATCCCACTCTTCCGAACCTAAAGCCTAATACAACAAGCCCACAGTCAGCCTCGGATCATCTCACAGCACTCCACACATAGTACGGTAGGTAGTTACCCACACACTTTCGCCACCAGGCTTGGACAAGAACACCCACTCGTGTTTAAGTGGACTTGTTGCAGCAACACCTCTTCCTCTTCCAACCGCAGCCTTGCATGAAGTCAAAGCCGCCGTATCCGTCACAGTGGTATTCGCACTGGCCCGAGTTGAACCAGCCGCACTCGCCCGGGTGCCTGCAAGTAGCGCGCTGGACAATCTCCTCGAGCGGATTCCGTTCGGCGATGGTGGTGGCGTCTCCGGTCGGCGGGGTTGGAGAGGCCATGACGGCGGCGATGGAGGTGAAAAGGAGGAAGACTGCGGACTTCATCTTGGAAGAAAAGTTTGATGCTTCACGGGTGTGTATCTTGAGACGTCGAGAATTGCGAGGGGAGGACCGGATGAGCTGGCTTGAGGTGTTGATGCGTGGTCTGGAGTTGCGGGTTTGACGGGGAAGAAGGGACGCTTTATAGACTCGCAGTGACGAAGGCTCTGGGCCAAAATCGACCTGCGTTTACCGAGATCTTGTGCGGGCCGCTTCTTTCTCCGTTGCAGAGTCCTGTCGGTTCGACTTCATGTTGGGAACTTCTAAAGATGGAAACCCTCACTGGGACCATCTCCTTCGCCTTATTCCTTGCCGTTTCTTGCGCGCCTTCCCCTCTCGTTAACTCTCCGAGTCTTACGATCTTACGGTGGTCAACAGGTCAAAAATTGGTACATCCAATGTGATTGATGGATGTCTTGACAAACTCCTAATGTCGGATTACATTGCCTGATATTCGGCCACGAGCATTGGACGAGCTCAGTGGTTGATCCGTGCCTCGGATATGCTGGTACCTGCAGCGGAGGATATTGGGGCCGATTGGGGAAGATGGCTTATGTTCAAGGATCTATATATATACCTTTCTTCTCCTTCCGGCCTGCCGTGCTGATGCCGATCTCCGTTGTATTGTGGAGAAGCTGAACAGTCAATTGGATGTGTTTCCAATGTGACCTTAATTACCAGCCATTCAACCCAGTTAATAAGGCTCAGCTGAGCCGGCTGAAATCCTAGCTTATAGATTGCAAAGTATATTTGGCTTAGGGTAAGACGGCGCAACTGGGAACTTATTTAGGTATCACCTCCATACCACGAGCAAAAGATGAAAATACCATCGCATGGCCCGGCGCAGTGCAATTGGGGAGGTATCTGGAGACCCAGATGATCACGCGCAAGTATCTTAGGGACGGAGGTGCGGTACTTTGAAGAGCTCGGAAAGTGATATATATCCTGCTCCGGTCGTTTCTCAACCAACCCCCCCCCTTCCATATCGGGGTAACGTTAAAGTCAAGTTTGTCCTCCTGCTTAAGTTATCGAAGCCTCAAGTGCCCAACCAATTCACAATGAAGCCGTCCGTTTCCCTGCTCGCCCTCCTCGTCGCCTTTGCCGCCGGTGCCTATGGCCAGGAACATCTCAATGACGGAGCTCCTGCCTTGATTGAGCGAGACGAAGCGTTCAACGCCACCGCCGATGGAGTGGAATTCGACTTGGACGACGTCGAAGACCATCTCGAGCTGTCCACCTTGGAGAAGCGCAAAGCCTGCAGCAGGCACCGTAAGCAGGGCGATGTCTGCAAAGGCAGGGTGCTTGCCAAGATGAACTCCCGCCACAACTGGTACGTACATCATTGGACCTCCATGTGCTTGTGCTGTGACAACTCGCTGAGATGCTCCCGTCCGTGTAGCTACCAGAAGAAGAGCGGCCACTGTTGCGCCCGGGAAAAGAATGGAGACTACGGTGTCCAAGTCACAAGCAGTACGAAGACAGGCGAAGATTGTGGTTACTGCTTCTCCGGGAACTGTAGGGCAGAGTAAGCGGAAAGCTCGGCCCCAATCAGTTCGAGTGGCTCAGCTTGCTTGATATATTTCGGCTGTGGGTGTTGGGAATCCGGAGATAGGCTGTCATCAGGATCTCGTACCGAATGTGATGACTCGAACTCTTGGCTTTGAAAAACACATGGCCCTTGCCTCTTCGCACCACACTGTACGCTTTGTCTAAGATGGTAGCTCGTTAATGATGTTAGCATTCGATATTTGTGTGTACCTCTGACGGCACATTCCCTAAGTAAGGTAATGAGTCCCTGTCGGATTGGCAGTTAACAAGACAGACCAAAGTATGTACCTTAGTTGCTTGTACCTATTGAAGCACGATCCTTCGAGTATTGTGCTTGTTGGATGCCCAGAATGCCTCCCACTGCTGGACACTCCCTTCGTCCTCCCTCTCTGCGTCGACAACAGGATGAAATCCCATGTCGGCACCAACCAGTCGCCAGCAACCTTGCTCGGGCCGTATCAAAAACCTGTACATGCTACCTTTGATGTAGCAAATTGCGTCGTCGGGTGCGGGCCTCGCTTTGGGTTTGTATCCGAATAGTCTCCCATAAACGCCATTGGAGTCTTGGAATATGGAGGCGCCAAGCGTGAGCTTGATCGCGGCGCAGTACTCGCTTAGAGCGCTGAAGAAGTCAAAGTCGGCCTCGATGTCGAGGTTCACCAGCTTGCTGTAAAGTTGCCGTCCGCTATAGCCGTGGAACAGGGGCCTGTCAATGTCCAACCCGTTCCGCAGGCTCTGGAGCGCCGAGATCCAACCGTCCAGTTGCGCCGTGGTCAGGTTTGCATCCAGCGCGCGGGACCCGAACCATTTCGTCTCCACGGACATGAGTACAGCATGGACTCTTGCCACTGAGCTTGCCAAGCGACTAATCTGTTCGCGAGATTGCGGCAGCATCACCGCGGAATCATCCGACTCCCATTCGAGGTGGACGTGGCCGGCGAACTCGGCGGGAACTTCCACGGGGTAGAGGACCTTGTCCACGCGGCTCAGGATCATGCAGTCAACCTCCAGCTTTGTGCTTCCCTCTAAGAAACGGACGTGCGAGACTTGGCCGACATGGAAACTCTCGCAGGGTCTTCCGTCTTTCCAGTCAGGGACCCAGGAGGGAAGACCGGCTCGCGAGCCAGAGGCGCAGGTCAGGATATCCAAGTACCTTGTCTCCTCAATCATGTACACGGCATAGTCCAAGAAGACCCGCTCTGCAGACAGGCCGTAGTTTGGCGCCAGCCGAGAAGGGAGGGACTTGGAAGACAACAAACCCAAGAGGGCGTATATCCTGTCCCGCTCGTCCGTCGCGTCAAAGGCAAATGCGCTCCGCGACACATATGTGACCAGCTGTTCGGCCTGGGTGAGGGCGACGCGGCCCGTCAGCAACTCATTCCTCAGCCGGCGCATGTCATGGATCCAAACGACGTCGTTGGGCTGCCTCGAACGATAGTGCTCGGGCGGATGGCGTGAGCCATACAACTGAACCATCAAGGCGATAGATAAACAGAATCTTGTGAAGAGAACTCTCGAGTGGCCCAGGACGAAACCCGGCTCATCGGGCGCCGCGATGTAGTTCTCAGGCGTCTTGCACATTGCAATCTCCTGGATGACCCACACCCTAGTGAACCAAGGACGCTGCACAATGTCCATCAGAACACGGACATCGGCTTCGCGGCCATTGATGGTATCTTGGACAGCTGTATCAGTGCTAGCGTGACCACCGCGGATCCGGCCAAACACGCTCTCCACAAGGGCAAAGGCCGAGTCCACGCTCTCTTTCGTATGAGGAGGGTAGTCGCCAAGCCACACGATTGTGTTGGTGGCTTGTTCGTAGATGTCCCTCATCCTAGGCACCTGGGCGCTCCGTTCCTGGACGTCAAGCTGATTGATGCAGAGGGCATCTACCCACAGCCGAATGTAGCCCCTTGGGTCTCGCAGATATCGCAGCGACGTCTCCAGATTGGTGGTGATCGGGTACTCGGCGCCATCGAGCAGGATGAGCGATGTTTGTGTCGCATCGCCCCAAGTGTACGAAAGGGCTTGGTATTCCGGCGCGGAGGCCAGGGACTCGTGCGTCAGAGAGCATTGAATAGGGTCGTTGAAGCCGCCGGGCAGCAGCAATAGCAGGCGAATCTCATCGCCACAAAGAGGGCGATGACGAGAGCTTCCGCTGAAGAGTTCCATGGCTCTGTTCAAGCTTTCTACAGGGTCGGAGTTTCTTGACGGTCACCTGCGATGATTCAGATGAAGAGCGGAGAACCTTGGAGTGCTCACCCCCGCTCGCGAGAGCGAACATAAGGTAGGCCGGTGAGCCTTCACCCGGCTCACCCCAATTGGCCGGTGGGCGCGAGGATCAAGTGTAAGACATTCCCTTCAGGAGTCTTGGCGACCGTGTAGTGGGATCGGCCGGCCTTTCGAAGCCCCGACGAGTACCAGTCGCTGTCGAGACGTTGCCAGTCCAGGGGATGTAATTTCTTGAGTGTACATACCTCGATGCGATTGTGGCTTCGGCACAGGAACAGACCGGCTTCTAGTTTGCTTGGTAAGAATCGGCGACTTAGACGTTCCGTCCTCGGAAAACCGAGCTCGGCGACATTCTTCGAGAATCATTGCCAGCCGCCGTGCACTGCTGAATCAGTCTCAGAAACTCGCGATTTCGGCATCCTCGGCAGATAGCCCACGCTGTTTGATATCTCCCCCGCTATATAACTGTGTAGCATGAATTGCCCATGTTGTAATCGCTCTAACGTATTGAGTGCATAGCGCCATCGATGACGCCACCGTTTGATATGTCAGCTTGTAACATCAAACACACGAAGCCGGCGGGATGGTTCTCCCATCGCTACCTATATATTTGAGTGCTGAGCAACCGAAATTCCAACTTCAAATTCGTTCAAAGATCAGCGACATACCCACGCCCCCAGCTTGAAGCGAGACAGGAACCGTCACGTCTGGTCAGAAGCACTGAATCATGTCTTCCCAGGACAAGCTCATCCTCTACACCAACCATCGGTGCCCCTGTGAGTTGTTGCATCTCGATTGGCCACTCCTTGCCACCCGCTGACGAGAAAGCAGGGGCGCACCGGGCACATATTGCGCTGGCAGAACTCAAGGTTCCGTTCGAAGAGGTCATCATCGACCTGGACACGCCGCGGACTCCGGAATACTTGAAGATCAACCCGCGGGGCCTGGTTCCTGCTCTGTCGTACAACGGCGAGATCATCATTGAGTCCGGAATCGTCGCGCAGTTCCTTACCGACGCTTATCCGTCCCATCTGGTTCCTGCCTCCAACGCCCCGGGCGGTGCGCTCCGCCGTGCCCGCATCGCCCTGTTTGTGGACGCTTTCACCACCAAGTTCAACAGCGTGCTGTTCGGTCTCTGGTCGGCCAAGACCGAGGAGGACAAGCAGGCGATTGTCGAGAAGGCTGTCGCCGGCCTCGTCAAGGAGGTCGAGCCGTTGCTTGCCGATGCGAAGCCCTTCTTTGGCGGTTCCGACAAGCTCACCTTGGCCGAGGTAAGAGGCAGCATGTGTCGCATGAGGGCTACTAAAGGATACTGACAAGTCGCAGGTCCTGACCGGCTCATTCGCCATCCGTATCAAGAGCCTGACCAGTGCCGAGGTCTATCCCAGAACTCTCTGGACGGCCATCAAGGAGCAGGCGCCAAACGTTGCCAAGTGGGTCGAGGCTGTGTCGGTCCATCCCAGCGTGACTTCGATTTATGAGGAGGAGGCGATTGTGGAGGGGACGCGGCGGAGACTTGAGAAGGCGAGCGCGAGCGCTTGAGACTTGAGCGCGTGTTCCTGAGTGGAAAGGCTACGTGAGTGACTCGAGTGAGTTGTCTGAAGACCGCTGCGGTAACTGCAGCGGTCTTCTTCCGGTTGCGTGGATAGCAACAAATTACAGTTTTTCCAGTATGTCCTGTCATTCCCCGCGTGCCGAAGATGCCCACTGCAGTAGTCGAATTTCTCAGACTCAGTTGTGATGTCGAGGACTTTTGGTAAGATGACTCGATGGGAGGCTTCGATTTGTGACCTGCCCACGGCCCCACAGGAACTCTTGAATCCTATGGACCCACTGTCAGCTCGAGCAGCTGTTGCCGCAACCGAGGCACGGCCGCCTCACCTTTGACTTGTGCACACTCGACACACTCACCCCCGTCATGAGCTCGTCCGATTCCGTCGAAACACTCATTTGCTCAGCCCAAACATTTGTCGTATTACCCATCCTGACACGATTGCGCTTTGTCGTGTTGCGAGCAATACAAAAGGCCACGTTTACTACGCCAAACTCCGCGCTGCCCGTCTCCTCCACCCGACACGCTTCTTGATGGGCCCCTCCGAGAACCACCACGAGACCCAACGGTCCATGCCACGCAAACGCTCCGCGATCAAGAACACACTGTCGCTGCCGTCGCAATGGCTACAAATGTACGATGAGTTCATTGCCAAGAACGCACACCAGGTGTCACAGATTGAGTCGACATTACGATCACTGACTTACATTATCCCCGGTACTTGCACTCCTCCAACCCCCCTCCCCCCCAATAACATGACCGGACGAGGGTTAACTTTCAACTTGAATTTTGCAGGCCGCTTCCGCGACGCCGAAATTGCCTCCGAGTCGATCCACAGCGCAGCCCAGCTACTCTCGCTATACCGCGACACCCTCCTCCGGCGGGTGCACACTCTCGCGAAGCTCCCCGTTCCACCCTCCCTCTCCCAGCCGCCGTCCGCGCACTCCCGGTATACACGCTTCTGGACGCTCAAGAGCGCCCTCTACCGGCGCGTCGCCTACGTGCTGCAAATCGTCCAGTATGTCGAGCTGCTGTGCGAGATGGCCGCCAAGCGGCGCGGCGAGCAGACGCGCTGGCGCGTCGTTGTCCTCCTCGAGGCCGTCAAGGCCTTTTGCAAACTACTCCTGATGAGGATAACGCGGTCGCGGCCGCTCGTGACGCCCATCCTGCCCGAGCGGGAACCGATACCCGACGAGCCGTCCGGGGACGAAGCTCCGGAGTTTGGGATGCTAGAAGAAGACGACGAGGACCGGAGGAACGGGACCGCCAACGGCGGCGCATATGCCAACGGATCAGCGCATCAGCACAACGACCCATCCCAGCTCGGCCCCAACGGGGAGTGGACCATGCCCCGCACCGGCATGACATTGCCATCCCTTCCCGCGCCGGGCGACACGAGCGGCTATCTGCTCTCGCGGGTACTGACGGCCGATGACATCAAGCCGGCCGCAAAGCTGCTCAACCGACTGCAGGGGCAAGCGCAGGCGGCCGAGATCCTGCACATCCTGGCGCCGCTGATCTTTGCCGTGGCGCTGACGCGCAGCAAGAACAAGCGCAAGGCCTGGACGCCGTGGCTGCTGGGCATCGGGGCCGAGCTCGCCGCGCGGCAGCTGAGGGAACGCGGACTGCGGACGACGCCGCTCGAGCGCGACGAGTGGAGCAGGCGCGGCTGGGCCATGGGGTGGTGGGCGATGCGCGGCGCGTTTTACGAGAATGTCACCAAGGGCGTGGTGGAGGGCGTCCGCAGGCGGATGCCCGGGTTGTTGGCGGGTATTCTGGAGGACTACGAGTATCTGTGGGAGAACTACTACTTCAGCACCAGTTCGTGAGGGTCCGATTCAGGATGGCCACGGCGAGGGAGGACTGTCTCATACATGGTCAGATGCATGGTGATTGGAGCAGTTGCCGTGGTGTCTCTGAGATGTAATATACCTTTGTGTACACGGCATCCTATGGTATGTCAAAGTTGTTCCTGTTGCTGACGCCTCATCACGCCAAGTTGCCCCAAGTGGAAGACTTAACCAGGGCGTTCCATCACAGACGGGAGCATACACTTCCCACTGTCAGCTACCCTGCAGCTTATACAGCGCGTCTTTCCGTGATGTTGTAAGATCGATAGTTTTAAACACGTAATAATTTTAACCCTATCTACACTGTATGCTACCGTTCCCTCTATCACCAACCGGTATCTATGCTTCCCAAGTAAATGCTCAACACGAATGGACATGACTTGCTCAAGCAGCGTTCTGCTTCTCATCCTTAGGGCTCCTCTTGAACAAGCCCTTGATGCCACCAACGACCTTGCCAACGAGCCGGAAGAGGGCCCCGAAGCCAAAGCTCATACCCTTGACCCGGACCGTGTAGATGAAGAAGTACACCAGCCTGCAAACTGTTAGTCACCATCTTTGACTGCATGTCTGGGGTTTCAGCAGGCACTTACATCCAGTTGGTGACGCAGAAGACAAGGAAGATGCCGAAATTTCGCCACTTTGTATCAGGTGCGATGCCCAAGGTCTGCAGGTACTCGGAACCGTCGGCGTACGGGCAATAGCCGCAGTTGGCCGTGTCGTTGGGGTTCATCAGGTACCCCTGGCCGGCCCGGCGGACAAAGTCACCGGCGAATTGGAGGCATGTCTGGCCAAACGGCGGGTTGAAGTAGGCCGCCTCGCTCGGGGCGCAGCGCACGGGCTGGCCGGCCAAGGTCGCCGACAGGACGCCGGCGACCCAGTACGAACTGGGGTTGAGCCAGTAAAGCTGGACCAGAGTGTCAGTTATCAATTATCCACGTCTCATTTCGTCATAGATAAAAGGGGGCCGACAAAACTCACCCAATACTTCCAAAAGACGTTCAGCTGCGAGTACGGCACCACGACACCGTTAAACAAACAGAAAATGACCAAAAAGCACGGCAGGATGTTGCTAATGACAGTGAAGCTGGGCGCCCAGGCGCAGATCCACTGGCCCCAGCTGGACTGAAACAAGAAGAAGAGCAGCGTCATAAGGAAAACGTATCCGGCCGACGGCGCGTCGTACGGCAGGCCGGCGGGCAAGTACCACAGCAGCCAGTACAGCACGCCGGCGATGAGCGAGCCGGGGATCTCGCTGAGGACCTCGGCCGTGCAGAAGGCGATCCAGCCGTAGATGCGCGAGGGGTGCTCGCGGGCCTCCCACAGGGCCCGGTTGAGGTAGAACTTGGGCAGCACCGCGTTGAGCACGGTGGCGGGAATCATGATGATGAGGAAGCATGAGAACATGCGGTTCTGCATATCGGCCGCCGTGTTGCCGAGGTTCCAAAACGTAAAACCGTTGAAGATGCCGACGACGACGGCCGTGAAGAGGCGGCCGTAGAGGTACGACGGGTCGCGCCACTGGCGGATGAACATGCGCGAGGTGAGAAGCTGGGTCTGCTGGACGATCGGGGCAGCGAACTCGTGCTGTACCGTCGAGGGCGTGGTGGTGCCTTCGTTTGTTGCAGCCGCCACGGCGGACCGTTCGGCCTTGAGCTGCTGGATCTCGGCCACGAGGACCTTGTTCTCTGGCGATTCGCGCCATTCCTTGGACCAGTTGATGCGTCTGCCGTCAGGGCGGCGGCCGCCCTTGATGGCCGTCTCGAGCAGGAACTCAGCCACGTTGCGGCCCGGCGGGCAGTGGACGCCGCGGTCGGCGAAATACTTGATGACAGCGCTCCCGTCGGGGCCGACGGGGCCAAAGTAGATGGTGTTGCCGCCCGGGTTCAGCGCGAGGATCTTGTCAAACTGCTGAATCAGGTCCGACGACGGCTGATGGATGGTGCAGACGATGGCCTGGCCGGCGGCGCACAGCTTACGCAAGAAGCGGACGATGGAAAAGGCCGACTGGGCGTCGAGACCGCTGGTGGGCTCGTCGAGGAAGAGGAGGAGCGACGGTCTCGCGGCCAGCTCGACGGCAATGGTTAGGCGCTTCTTGTGCTCAACGCCCAGCGAGCTGATGATGGCGTCCTGAATGTCGGTCAGCTCGAGCAGATCAAGCACCTTGTCGACGTAGTCGAGCTTCTCCTGGCGGGGAATGTCGCGGCTCTGACGGAGCAGGGCCGAGAACTCGATGGCCTCGCGGACTGTGGCCGACTCCTCGTGCAGATCCATCTGCTCGACAAAGCCCGTGCTGCGCTGGAAATCGTTGCCCAGGGGCTTGCCATCGACGAGCATGCTACCACTGACGACGCCGACCGTTTGGCGCTGCGAGAGCGTGTTGAGAAGCGTCGTCTTGCCGGCGCCGCTGGCCCCCATGAGAGCAACCAGGACGCCGGGCTTCGCGTAGCCGTTGACGCCGTTGAGCAACTTCTTGGGACCGGCTGGAGTAGGCACCGTGTACGTCACATCTTCCCACGTGAAGACCCTGTCACTGCCGGTGACGCCCTTGAGGGCTCGGTCCCCGGCGCTGGACGGCAGTTCAGTCGATGACGAGTGTCCCGAGACATTGCCAGACTCTTCGTCGGCCGGTGCGGGCGCCTTGACCTGCTTCGCAGTCCGCTTGGACCGCCTGAAGACGAGAGCGCCGCCCCCTGCGCCGCCAAACGAGATGAGCTCGGTGGCAACAACGGTGACGATCAGATACAAAACCGAGAAGGCGATGACCACGCCAAAGTTGCGCCAGAGATGGGCCCGCGTATAGCCGAATGCCGTGCCGATGTAATCGTCGCCGAGGACGCTGGTGTTGCCGAGGTGGGCTCCGGGAAGGGCACAGCCCTGGTTTTCGGGTGATACGCCGGGACCCTGAGGCACCAGCTGTCCGGGCGCGCACTCCATGGTCCGGCCGTGGAATTCGTTGGAGAGCGCGGCCTCAAACGAGTAGCTCAGCTGTGGCAGTTAGCAAGCAAGTCCCGACATAGTATGAAGGATATCTATTGTACGTACCGGGTTGATGTGGGCAATCCAGCCAAACCAGATCTTCTGCGACAGTAGCATGGACTTGGAGATAACGTATCCCGTGAAGATGGCGAGCAGGTTCAGGGCCATGCCCGAGAAGCGCACTGCGTCGTCAATGGACGGCGATAGGGACGCCAGCATGCGGTACATGGCCGTGACGCAAAAGGTGGTGATGTAGGTGAACAGCAATTGGATGAAGAATTTGCCCGGCTGCACGTCGAGACCCGTCATGAAGTAGACGAGGAGGATGAACACGATGACTTGAAAGACAAGAATGGGGAGGTCGACGAGGGCGCGGGCGAGCGTGACGGCGCTGGGGCGGTAGAAGGCGTAGTCCTTGTGACGGGCAACAATGTTGCGCCCGGACACGGCTTTCATCAACTCGGCCAGCTGCAACCAGCCGAGGAAGATGACGGCGAAGAAGACAACACCGCCGCGCAAGAAAGCCCCGGCGGTGGAGGATGGCGTGTCGTAGAAGAGGGAACCGACGATGAGGCCGTTGCTGATTATGGTGAAGTACTTGGAGTATAACTCCGTCTTGTTGCCCCAAATCAGCCACAGCTCGCGGAGGGCGCAGGCGAGGACCTGCTTCCAAAAGGGAATGGTGTAGTTGGAGCCCGAAGCCACGCGCTTAGACTTCTGCTGCTGCACCGACTCCTTGAACTGCTGCACATCGGCATGACCCGTCTTTTCGAGGTGCTGCTCAAAGTCCTGGACGTCGGCGAGGAGCTTTTGGTATGCCGCGCTCTCCCGGAAAGCCTTCTCAAGCTCCTCGGCCGTCTTGGGGCAGCGGTCTTCCCAGCCTGGGCGGAACTGTCTAGAGGTTGGGTCACAGATGGACGTGAGAAAGTCAGGCGTCGTCTGCCGCGGGGGCGCATAGAAACCCAGGTCCTCAAAGTACTTCCTGGCCTCCTTAGCCGGCCCTTGATAGAGCATGCGGCCCTGGTCAATGACCAGCACCTTGTCCATGAGCTCGTAAATACCTTCACCGGCCTGGTACATGGTCGTGATGGTAGTGCGGTCCGAGACGTCGGTCATGATGCGCAGCGACTTGGCGTAGTCGAGCGCAGTGGAGGCGTCGAGACCCCTGGTCGAGTTGTCCCAGCTGACGATGGTGCTCTTGGTGGCCAGCGCCTCGGCGATGCTGACGCGCTTCCTCTCGCCTCCTGAAACGCCGCGGACATAGGCGTTTCCGACGATGGTGTTCTGCCCAACATGTCAGTCATGATATACCTATCAAACGTGTCTCAGGGGCAAATCGACCTTGGTATGTACGATATTGAACATGCGGAGGAAAGCGTCGACGATAATGCCGACGTCGCCGCGGAGGTTCTTCCTTGTCTTGTTGAGAAGCGAGAACTTCAATGTCTGCCCGACGGTCAGAGTGGGCAGGTGCTCGTCGTCCTCCGGATTGTAGATGACCTCGCCCCGATATCGCTTCCGGGCCTCGTCGGCTGGGATGCCGCTGTACGACACCTCGCCCTCAACCGAGGCATACGAATCTCGGTTGTTGGCAATAACTTTGAGGAAGGTGCTGCATCCGCTGCCCGGCCGCCCAAGCACCATCATCATCTCGCCGTGCCGCACCACGCCAGTGAAGTCGTTCAGGAGGGTCCGGAGCTCGCCGCCGTGGCCGATGCGCAGGCCGGGGAAGATGCGGCAGAGGATGCCGTACAGATCCGGGCCAAAGGTACCGGCAATAGCCTGGGGAAGCGTCCGAACGTACGTGGCGCCACTGGCCACGCCCTTAACCGTCAAGTGCTTGAACACGACACCCAGCTTCTTTGCCGACTCGCCCGACTCGGTCCGTTTCTCGAGGTGGCCGTCGCGCATGAACTGCTCCAGGGGAAACTCGTCTTCGTCGGTGGTGGTAGCCTCCTCCTCCTCAATGTCCGACTCATCCTTGGCCCGTGCCTCCTCGTCGTCTGGCTGCGCAGCCTTGGACCTGCCACTTGCCCGGGACGCGATCCTCTGGAAGAAGCTGGCCCTGCTCTTGGCCGATTTTGCTGAGGCGGCCGCATGAGATCGAGTATTCGTGAGTCTGGTGCTGAGCTCGTGCTGGAGTTCCTCAAAATCCTGCATGGCCATGCGCTGGCTGACAGGGCCGCCAATATCTCGCTCACCCCAGGCTCCCTCGTTCTCTGTCTCAGGGGTGGGTGGGCTTAGGGTAGCCTCGCCGGATTCGCTGTGTTCATGGGCGGCGGCCGGTGACTGTGCCTCGTCTCGGTGGTGCAGAGAGTCAGGATACGCATCTCCCGCGCCCCGACGCAGGGCCTCCTTGGTTGAGTGGCCCCACATAATGCTTGACAATGCTCTTGTCGTCCTAAGGGCGGACTGTTTGAGTGACCGTCGTGGTCGAAAGGAGCTACTCAGCAAACAATCAAGCAAAGGGAAACCAATGACACCCCCAGTCGGCAGTCAAGTGTTCCAGGAATCTGCACAGTTGGAACGGTACAGCGATGATGACCCGGTCCAAAGCCACTGGGGGGAATATGGCGTTTCAGTTCGAAGAGCATCCGTAAGTCCTGAAAGCGGGAGATGGCTGTCAGACCTGAGCTAACTTATATCCCATTGTTGATTTCTCAGCAGAAAGTGCTCCCCTGATATTTCTGTCAGAACCCCCACAGCGATGTCCTGCAATGCAGGGTTGCGCCAGGCTGGGCAACGATGGTGCATCGGCTGTAAGCATCCATGGCTTTGTTGGTCCGTCTCTGATGATTCACGCCGGATGGAGACCAGGGGAGACAAGAGCCGGAACGGCACGCTGTGATTAATCGTGGCTCATCCAGTCAAGATACGAGTCTGGCCCACAACACGAGATCTGAAACGTCACTGCTCAATCTGTTTGGGCACTTAGCTAACAATTTTCGAAGCTTATCGAAGCCGACTTGGGCGTGACAGCATGTTGGGCTGTGATGTCAACCGATCGCCCTGCATCCGAACATCCTTCGGAGTTAGGCGATTTGGTGATGGTCGACCAAGTTGGTCAGACCTTCGCCTGACAAATGAGGGTTCAGAATTAGGCCGAATTATAAATCCGCCTTTCCCCGATCGTCACTCATCAGGTTCCTCCCCACTTTGTTGCTCTTTTTTGACTGCCAGTTTTCATCAGCAACAGAGATTGCATGAAGAGGATTTATCCACTGATACCCACACGGACTTTAGGTTAACCTCACCTCTTTCTCCGGAGGGGATATGGAATGCAGACATCGCTGCCAGCGACATCAACATGCATGTGGTTCTGCTGCGTTGCAAACTGATTTCCCATACCGCCAACTGAAATTCATTCCCCAATCGGGATTGAACGCGCCGGCTTTCCGGCGGAGTCGTGAAGGCTTTTCGTGGGGCTGCCGATTGAACTTAATCCGTACATGACTCTGGATGAAATCATCGCTTAGTTTCACGGCGGGGTGTGAAGCTTCCAAGCCGGGCTGAGTTCTGGGCCTTTCCATAATGCGGATCCACCAATCATCCTGCAGGCCAACACTATCACGCTTAACACCCTCACATCCGACTGTCATCAACCTCAATATACTTAACGCGAAATAGGCCCTGCTTCGGGGGCGCTCATGTTCAAACTGGTGGTTACATAGGATGGAGTGCCAAGAAGGAATGGGCACTTGGCACAACCGGTCACTCAGATACAAAACATGACACATGCTGCGTGCTGGCAATGATGGTAAACTTGTTGACTGGAACTCTTCTTCGCATAACGTGGACTTAATGTATAGACTCATGGGCAAAGAAATTCCTGACATTGACAACAATCACTTGTGCGCTCAGATGAGATGGAATTGCTTCAACTGATCCGCCGTATGTGGACGCCAAGAAATTACATCTAAGAAATACGGTAGCGCTTCAAGCGACCCTCAACCCTTGGACCCCTCACTCTTGCTCTGCTGCATTTTCAACATCTCCCTCAACGCAGCGATTTCGGCCTCCTGTCGCGCCAGACGAATCCTCAAGTCGTCCCGCTCCTGCGTCACCTCCTTGACCTGCTCCTCCAGCTCCTGGATCCGGTCGATCTTTTTCTGGCGGTACCGCTTCGCCGCCATGTTGTTGCGCTGGCGCCGGTCAATGATCTCCGGGTCGACATCGACATCTTGATGATGATCATCTGCAGAGACTGATGATGACGTTGTCGCGGCGGTGCGCTTTGCGATTCGTCCGTCGGTGGTGCGCAAAAGAGACGCGCCGGCCGGCCGACGTCCCGGCTTGGATGGCCTGGTTGCCTTTTGCGCCGGCAACTTGAGGCCCGGGAGGAGGTCTGAGCCGTCCGGAGTGGGTGATACAGGCGACGGAGATGGGAGGATGGCGGTGACGGGGGTGTTTGTGAGCGAGGTATTGGCGGGGCTGAGATACGGTACAGAGCCAGATGGAGGGAAGGAGTCGAGGAGAGGGGAGCCGAAACTGTTGACGGAGTTGAGACAGGATGACAGATTGAAGTCGAGTTCGGGTGCAAAAAGGGATGAGAGGTCTCCAACTGCGGCTGCCGCTGAAGTGGGATCGAGGACGTCAAAATGACTTGCAGCCGCTTGGTCCCAGGCGAGATGATTTAAGAAGTCGAGGTCATCGTTGAAGTGATTAAGCTGAAGGTTGTTGAGTCCGTAATTGGGGTTGGTAGAAGATGATAGCGACCTGACGGCAGCAGCCTGCTCCTGTTCCAGCGGTTGCGTCCATTCTTGCAGGGTTTGGTGTCGGCCTCTTTAAGCAGAGGCCGAGAGTGCCTTTCTCAAAAGAGGAGGGAAAAGGTTGCGCTGCGCGATTGCAACTTGCGAATGAGAAGGGAAAATGAGAGCCCAAGATGAGGGGAGGCGGATTATGTAGACAGAATCATCGGATGAGGTCACGCCCCCCGTGTGTTCAGTCTTATCCCACTCACAGCCAAGCCAGTCTTCTGTTGCAGCCAAGACTCGTTCTCAAGCGGTTCGCCGGTGGGATTTCAAGATCCAACCCCCCGATAACGACAAAACATTTGTCCAGCCACTCTGAGCCACGATACAACCGTAACACAAAATACACAACAACCAGCACGAGTACTTCGCTTTGTACAGGTGCACTGCGCTACAAGATGTCTGAAGTGGTACACTCACAAAGCTCCTATTCGCCGTTATCCCGTCAAGTCACCAGATCTTGTGGCCTCTAGATCTTTTTGAGCCACGCAGTCCACCGGCCACAGCTTTCTGTCAAGTTCTAGATTCCCGGTCAGGTCGGCGAGTTACCGCAAGTTGCTGCATTGGAATTGGATGGATGACTCCAAGGGTTCGGACGTCTGACTGGATCAATTCCTCTACACCCAAAGTGTTATACTACGGTACTATGACAGGAGTTATAGCTTGTTCGTTATATTGGGTGGCACTTGATGTCCTGATCAGAATGATACTGGTACACGGAAACAAAGAAAAAAGACAAAGGGGGCTGTGGATAAAGAGTGCAAAACGACCAAGGTAAATGTAAAGGGGGTTAGAAATTCGCGGTCAGTATTGCGGGTAGTATTTTGTCCTGCCATGGCACTGAGCTTACCGAGAGACTCGGATATCCAAGGGTACTGAGATGTGATCCAGAGGTGAGCCTGTAGGGTCAAGGTGCTAGAGACAAAGGATGGTTAATGTTGAACAAGACATGCGCCCGGTGCCAGCGTGGTGGCTCCTTTGGACCTGTACTCAGTCTTGCACGTTTTTTTCCTTTGGAAAGTCAACAGCAGTCGGGTCGGACTTCCAATACAAGCACGCTAAGCGGCTTTTACTCAGTGCTGGCCATGGAAATGCAGAGATAGGAAGCGGAATCTAAGCCATCGTCGCCCTGAGAAGGCAATTCTTTACTAGCTTGGGAAGCAATGGATGGAACTTGGATCATCCGAGTGGAAGTGATGGCAATTGCAAGTTGGAAACCCCTGATGTTGACAACGACGAGCCCTGGCCAATCAGTCAACACGATGCAATGAGATGTCAGACCCACCACTTGCACCCAGCAACGCTTCCCACAATCACAGACCCGGACCTGCCAGCGAGAGCTTTAGAAGTCAACATCGAGCCCTTGTTGTCAAAGATTGATCGAATCACGGGCACGAGATATAGTCCAATTTCCTACACGTTTGACCGGCAAGAACGGCCACTTCGCGCAGCCGACTGCTTTAGCAGACAAACAACGATGTCCATCCCACCCTTCGCCCCGACTTACGCCGACTGCGTCACCTCGCTGCGCACCTCCCTCTCCCTCCTCGAATCCTCCGTCGCCACCCTCGGCACAGGCGTCCAAGACTTTCCCCGCCTGTCCTCCGTCCTCAAGACCGTCCGGGTACGGTTTCATCTTCCACCAGCCAGACACTCCTACTTTCTACCAGTTACCGCTATGTAGTAAATGCTAACGAGGGACATCTTGATCATGAAAAGCACTATGAATTGATTCCCCAACCAACCCTCGCCGCCGCCGAAGCGTCCCTGCGCGACGAGATCGGCCCGTTCGTGGCGCGCCTCCTCGACCGCGCCGACAAGCACCTGGAGAAACAAGCGCGGCGGATCGAGACGCTCAAGGCGCGGGCCGAGCTGAACGCTGGTCGGCTGTCGCATTTGCCCGGACCAGACGACGACAATATGCAGTCTGGCAGTGGTGGTGCGCGCGGCTTTGGGGAAGGCAAAGGGCCGGGAAGAGGAGGCGCTGGGATTGGCAAGGGCAGGCGGTTGGACGGAGGCGCGGCGCTGCGGGCCAAGGTGGTGCGCCAGAGGAAGGAGGCGTTGAAATACAGCGTCGAGAGGCTGGAGCTGGAGGTGTTACAGAAGGAGCGGGAGTTGAGGATGAGATTAGAGCAGGCGTGAGGGGTCTGAAGACTATAAGTCTTGCGAATCCCCGTCCTTGCGCCGGTTCTTGGGGCAGCTGTGCAGTGAAGGGCCACGCAGAGGCAGAACGTCGAGACGCCGATGGCTTGGGGATACGGGTCCGAAGCGACATTCCCGCCGTCCGCTTTTGCTGGCACAGGTTGCACATGGCCGCTTCCATCATCTCGGCGGCCCCCTTGGCATACGGATGCTTGCCGTTAAATCAACCAGATGAAGCCAATACCGCACAGACAAGGGGATCAGCCCCGAGAAGGGCGCACTCGCTACGGAATGGAGCGGGCCCGGGACCAACTCCGAGTCCCTTTCGACAGAGTGGACGCGGCCCGGCAGTCAAGTACACTCACATGCATGGCTGTCTGGTAACTGCGGAGCTTACAGACGGATACCTATTTGGACGCCAGGTAATGGGGGAGCGTAGGTGGGAAAGGGCAAAAGCGGCGATGGTGGTCACAGTATGACCCTTGCCCTACCTTCAGCTTCCACGGAGCCTGAGCGATATCCCTTGCAGAACCGAGCGCGGCAGGGGTGAAGATCAGGGAGAGGAATCTCGCCAAATATGGGTACCAAGCGAAATGTGCAGCAATAGGCCTGATTGTAGTAGTAGGAGACAAAGGGCTTGGAGGAAGCCGTTGGTCGAGATTGCAAGCCGAGAAGTCTTGTGCTCAACTGCATGGTACATAGGTGATCTGCATGCCACTGCCAAAACAACGATGTGCCATGCGCTACGTCTTGTCACCCATACATATTCGAAACTGTTGGACATGTCAACGTCGGCACACTATTCTGTCGGAAATGCGATCACCAGAACAGATCTAAGGCGTTACATAAACAGCAGACACACGAGACGGCCGGCTAAAACAATGTCTCATACACAGATTTGTTACATCGAAGAAACAAGGGTTAAGAGTAGAACTCCGTTACAAGGGAAAGCGAAAAAGGGAGTCAAAAGAAAACTCCAGCCAAGCCAAAGCCAGCCAAACCCGCCCAAGGGCAATCACTGTCCGATTTTAGACCTCATCTTACGCATCTCAGACCAAGCCAAGGCATCTCGATGCGAGCCAGGCGATGTCGTGTAACGCTCTTCTGCCTTTAGTCCATCGAAAGCCCTCATCGACCATGTGACTGAGGCAACAGCCAAACGCGGCCAGGTCCGCTTGCCGCGGAACGGCTCCCTCGTTCATGTAACGCCGGATGGAGCTGAATCGATTGTAGGGTATATAGAAAAGGTCATCCAGACGAGAGAAAAATAATAAAGAAATCATCCCCATGGTATCATGCGTTTTTCGCCCTGACGTCCTATCCCATTGCTGAGGAACGCCGCAGAACCCTTCTTTCGACACCAGCCCTCACACCTCAGACTATAATAGAATGAGGTAATTGCTGGGCGCGATACCTGTCTCGCCGTTCTCCTTCCGCGCTTGCCACCACCTGCCGCTTACATCGCTGACTTCGAGGATCTCATGCTTGGAGAAGGATATTTCGTTGGCATCTTCGGGATTGGCCTCGTAGCTGTAGATGGCCTTGGCCCGGTACGGGTACTCGGTAGGTGGCACGATTTCGGCATCTGTGGTCGCTGTTGGAGGGGCGGCAGCAGCCTTCTGTGTAGCGGCTGCTGGAAAGGCCTGAGGGACCGTAGAGTTCCGCATGGCAGCTGCCATAGCGCCTACACCCACCGGCGACGGGTTCTCAAGCCCGTTGAGCTGAGACGTGTACATCTGGGGGGGTTGCACCGAGGTCGAAGTCTCGGGCCTGCGGCTGCCATAGCCGCCAGTCATGGTATGTCGGTTTGTCGATGTCGACTCCTTGGCAAGGGCAAACGAGTCGATGTAGGCGCGGGGTACAGCTGACGGTGCGGAACCGAAATAGAATATCCACACAATCTGGTGAATGTTAGCAAAGAAATGGTTTGTCGCGCAGCCAAGCGAATGGACGTACGGTCACCATAGACAGGAGGATAAAACCAGCAGCAGCAGCCTCCTTGGCGCCCTGGCTGGTATGGATTAGGCCGTTGACGGCGGACGTCGAGAGCACCAACCCGCAGCCGAGGTAGCCAACGAGAGCCACATGATACGTCTGAGTGCTATCCGAAGCGACTACAACGAAAACGCCAATGATGACGGCCAGGTAGAAGACCAACGCCCAGTACGTGTAGAGCGGAAAGTTGAGCGGCACTTGGACGTGCGCCAGGATTGTCCCGACGAAGGATATTATCCATGCAAGCTGGGGTGAACACTGTCAGCAGGCCGCTCCGTACTGTCAAAGGTACCGGGTTTGGAGAGTCCAGACTCACCGCGGCGATGGAGATCGTGGCGAGAGCAAACGGGTCACCGATGATGTTCCCGAGGCTCACGCGTTTGCGGCCATACTGCGGCCGGGAATATTCCATTTTTCTGAGCGACGGGGAGTGGAGTGATCCGTAGCCAGGCATAAGTGCAGGTGGTCAGAGTCTGGGCGGCCGCAAAATGGCGGCAGTCCGATGGTAGTCGTTGGGTGGCAAATTCAGTTGACCAAGGTCGTGACAGCGTGCAAGGATAACCAGACGTCCGATGCAGCCGCACTTTGGCAGGTTTGACAGCCGATGGTGGTCGTCAGGGGAAGCCGCGGGGACGGGATTGTTGGAGGCCAAATAAGGGTCGGCTCGATGCTGTCGAGGACAGGGTGGTACGGAAGGGATGACGTTGGTCGCCTCGGCCCACGATGCAAGTGAATGACAGGAGAAGGAGAGCGGCTCGTCTCGTCTCGCAGAACTGTGGTCAAGCGAACGTAGTGAAGCAGGTGTTCCAACGATTGTTGCCCTACAATGATTCGGAATCTCGTCGGCTGTGGTTCGTCGCGCCAGATCGAGTCTCGATTCCCGCGATTCCGTAATGAGCCCTACCCGGCCAAAAAGCGCCTTTTGTCCTAATGCCGCAACCGCAGTACCCGCCAGCGTGCTTCAATCAATCGGCGTGAAAGCGTCGTTCTCGAGAGAAATTCGAGGCTGGCGGGCGCAGGTGGGGAAAAAAAGCCAGATATGAGAAACTGAATGCGTCGTCGAGATGAAGTGAACGGGTAGGATCCCCAGCCCATGAAAGGAGGGAGATGCGGGTGGTAAAATGGGTTGATGCGATGGAAGGGAGGCAGCACAGCCATGGAGCCAACTGGGCCCTGCGAAAGCGGGAAGGGCGGGAGGGCATGACTGGCCCGAATGGACAAGGCCAGGGGGAAAACGCGGATACGATGGGGCCCGCCATGGATGCCGTGCCCTCCCGCCAAGGAATCCATTTGGCTGGACCTCCGGCTTCCATTTCGGCGGGTTGGCACTGAAAGAGCAGACCGTGTGGAGCTCGACGCTCCTGCTGTCCTTTGCCATCCAGTCCAGCTTGCATCACCCGTAGCATTTGACATCGTCTGTTTCCCTTGCCATTTTTTAGTTCGCCCATACTCCTCATCAGTTGGAGGTCGCCTTGAAGAATTCTCTCCAGGCATCGTGTTTCCTGCCAGCTCAGCAGATCCGCTTTCCTGAAGAGGGAGGCATGGTTGGATACTGCATGCCGTAATGCGGCGGTCGCGGCGGGCTGCACAGCTCAAGTACCATACTGCCTCGGCGAGCAAAGATTATCGCAGCATGCAGATGAACAGTAGACTCGATAATGACAATGAGTCTATCGAGTACCGGGCTGACTGTCGCAGAAGGGTCTGGGAGATTTCCGGATCTTGCCCCACAAGACCTGGACCCTACGGAAAGGACGACAGGACGGCCGTGTCACGGCTTGCTTCTCTGCACTCGATTCCACAGACTAAAATTTGAGACACGGCCGCACGAAACGACACTTCGGAAGCAGCGTTTTCTTTCGCGCTGCAAACCTGACGAATTGGACCTGAGAGAGTTGACCCTCACGGAGTTCCGTTCGCTGCAACAACCTCGAGCACTCCGGCAAATCGTTCATAGTTGCTAAGCTTGCGCCGTCTCCGTGTGGGGCCTAATCCCCTGCGTTAGTCTTGGCAGCCACTAACACCAGCCCCGCTTCGTGCGTTTCACAGTTCACAGACCCCACCCTGCCCACCAACCCAAGGGCGGGGACTTTGTGCCTTGCAGTTGGCTCGAAACACTACCTCAAGAGGGCGTCTTGACTGGTAACACGGGCATCGTGGGCTCATCAAGGAGCTGCTCTTGGATCCGTGCTCGCCCTGTACCGAACCGTCTTGGTGCCTTCAGCAGCTGCAATGGCACGTTACGGAGGCGGGTGTGGTGATAAAGGCGGTCTCCTTTATGTTTCAACAGAGAGTTCTGTCTAGGCCTCCTCAAGGGAAGGCGGCAGTGAACTTTTCAGCGTCCTCTGCGCCTTCCCTGCATGTGCGTAGTCGTGTGGGCAGATCACGATGATCCAAAGACGACGGGCCAGTCTTTGATGCCAGCGTTGCCTCATCCAATTCTCCGGCAGTTCCAAGGATCCAAGCAAGCGGTGGCTTAGACGACCTGAGTCGGGAAGCCGGATAGGAACGACATTGACCCCGGTTCTACGGATAGTTACCGTCTTTTCTCACTCAACTCGACAGCCAAAGATTGGCTGCCACAGCAATTTCCACGTGGCTGCCTGCGCCACACCTCGCTTCTCAATTACTGCGGTGAACCACCAAGTTAGGATATTAATTACTGCTTATCGGGGGTGCCTTCGGCCTATTGACGCACTGCTAGTGGCTGTTGAGTTGGTGATAAAAGACGGTATGCCCATGTCATCCAAGTCCCGAGCACTACTCTCGAGACAACCTCCATCTCTCCAACTCCACCCGGGTGAAGGCACGCTGCCAGTATTGTGCCCTGGTCCATTCATCCCGTGGCTATTAGTACACCGATGTGCTGTCCCAATTGTCTGAATAAGCTCTTTGTAACCATATCCACAGCCCAGAATCTGTGGCAAGCGTGATGATCGTGGGGTAACTTGGTCTTCAAGTTGAAACACGAAGATGCAGTTGCCGGCCGAGCGAGCAGTGTGGTACTTGCATGGCAGTACACCCAGGTCCTCCACTTATGTCCATCTGCCGCCAGCTCTATATCAGCTCTTGTATGCACTGCTGGCGTTGGCTGGAATTATCCACCTCAGTGCATCTCGGCTGGACCCGAGACATCACGCGGCCGCCACCACAATGCCACTCGCTCCCCGGACGCCGGGCGTAGACGGCCCTCTGTTGAATCTAGCATTGCTCCGGCTTGTGGAGGGTAGACGCAAGCAATTGGCAGTCTAGCCAGCTTGTACCATCCTATCTCATCTTCAGCTCGGATATTTACACCGACGAGTCCCATGGCACTGCTTCCGGCTAGGCTCCATCATGTCTCCTCAGCGTCCTGAACAGCAAGATTGAGTTGCAGGCCGACAGTCTCAGGCCGCGCGCCTTCAAACGGAAGGCTTCCACCTCGAAATACCATTCCGAGGCCAAGAAGAAACCAAGGAAAGGAAAGGGTGATTGCTCCCGGGATGTTGGTCCTTCGACTTCCCTTGCCCAGCCCGTCTCGAGCCTCCAAAGAAAGTCCAGGGCTTTATATACGCAGCCCACGCCCTGTTATATTCCCCATCCGTCGATGCGGCTTATCGATTGCCCTGTTATCGTAATCCTGCCATGTCTTCATCGCACCTTCCTCAAGTCGAAAAGGCATCCCAGAATCCACCATCCCATCGGACACTCAAACCTTCTCCGCCTCCGCCCGCGCCCTCTCCACCCTCCTGACGCCGCGCGCGACCTTCTCCAGCCGGCCCTCCACGTCCGCGAGCTTGACCCCGTACCGCAGCACGCCGCCCTCGTACCACGCCCGCACCGCCCTCTCGCTCCGCGCCCTCAGCTCCGATATCTCGGCCGTCTGGGCCAGCTGCAGCGCCTCAATGCCGCGCATGCGCGGGCCCAGCGCCGCCAGCGCGGCGCTCTGTTTCGCGTCGGGGATCGGAGTGTCGGATGTCGCGGCCGTGAGGGAGGATGCCACGCTCGGGAAGGCCGTCGCGTAGGCAAGGACTGTCGCGCGCACGGCCACTGGGGAGAGCTGGGTTGGTGGGAGTTCGGGAGGAGAAGTGATGCTGGAGGGGGAGGGCGGTTGAAAGAGGGAGGGGTGGGATTTATCTGGAGGCAGTGGCGTCAGCAAGAGGGTGGCATAGGTGATATTCGGGCGGCATACAGATCTTGAGAATCTCGGCGTAGACGCGGAAGTGGCGGACAAGTTTATTAAAACGCCGTTCGAGCTCGGCCAGCGAGCTTGTTGCTGGCTCTTGCGGGGGTTGAGCGGGAGGTGTGGATGGGCCGTAGAGGATATGCTCGATTCGCAGTAGCCGCTCCTCGAGTAGAGAGATGGTCGCTAGAGTTGTCTCATGCAGCGTATTGTCCATGATGTCGGTGTCTGTGGCCTGCGCACGCGCAGGATCTGTTCGTTCTATTTACCTGGGAGCGAGCGGAGTACCGCTTGTGGTAAAGTTTGGCAGGTGTTGGCGCGTCAATTGGATGTTCAAAGCATAACCACGCGAAATGGACATTCAATGTTGATATCCCAATTGGGCAATTGCAGTCCCAGGTCCCGACTCAGACAGGCGCCAGGACATTCTGAGCACAGTGCCCATAGGTCTTTTGCACGTTGAAACTGCCCTTAACGGTCCCCATTTTCTTGAGTTGTTGAAGACAGTGATGAAGATGAAGTAAAGCCCCAGACAGTGACCCCACCATCACCATATACGGATTGTACATCCATACACTTGATTTCAACCCTAGCAATTACTTCGCCCGAATAGCAGCGCACAGCGTATCGCTTCGCATTGCTCAATTGAATTGCTCAATTGAACTATCGCATCGCTTGGGTGGACTGCATTGTACCGCTCAGTTATACTACATCACATTGCACTGAAATCTATCAAATGCGCATAAATGGTTCAAACGCATTCAATTGCGTTGACTGTACGGATCCGTACGAACTTTCTGAGTGATGCGATGCGATGCAGTTCAATTGAGCAACTTGAATGGGCATGCGATGCGCCGTGCAGTGCGATGTAGCCAGCGTGCGGGGCGCGGGGCAGGAATTGAGAAGGGTTAGGGATACGTATGCGTTAGGGTGGGGTCACTGTCTGGGGCGTCAATTCATCACTGTCCGAGACGACTCCTTCTTCCTTTCTTTGCTTCTTTTTATTACTCTACCATGGGGTATCAACCTGCTGGTTCTCCAGACTCGCAGTCACATATCAGACTGACAGAAGATTGCGTGGGTCAGAGCACGAGCGCAGGCTTGCTGCTTCATCAAGAATTCATTGCCTGTCTTGTACGAAACAGCCGGTCAGCGTGAATGAATGGACTTATGACCCATGACCGCCTCCCCCTTCCTGACATAGAACTCGCCTGCGACCTAAGCAACAGACCATCTGCTGCGAAATCCAGACATTGATTCACCAGCCATTGTTCTGGCTGTTGCCCCCGCCGTTGTCGGTGATCGTGGTGGCAGACACCTGAATATTGAGCATGTGACAGTAGGTTTCTGTTGGATGTCAACAAGGTAGTTAGACTTTGCATGTGAGAGTCACTTAATCCACTTTACGCCTAGGCTCACCGTAGAGCGACACGGCTTCCTTTAGATAATCCTCATGCTTCGACAAGAGGTGGTTGCCAAGACTATCGCGGCGAGGGAACTCCTCATTGCACCCCTCGATGAAGCAAGCGTGCCTCTCCCCTTCGCCGTGTGTACCGCGATGGCGAGCGAGGGTTGCCTTGCTAATACACTTGAGCCCGCAGTCACGACAGGCCAAATCGTCGCCAGCGTGGCTGAGAGCAATGTGGTTCCTAAAGATTCAGGTCTTCATGTTAGTGGAAATGCTTGGCAAAGCTTCACAGCATGACCTGAGACCGCCCGATCGGTGTATCGTCGCAACATTGGGGGATTTGATCTTACACCAGCTCCTCGTTTGAAGTAAACGATGCCATGCATAGATCGTAGCGACAGATGTTCCGGTTGTTTTGCGCTGCCATGTTGATTGTGGGTTGATATTGGTAATGGTTGGTCCAGTGTGAATCACAGTGCGAGAAAAAATGGTGCACGGTTCTGACTGCGGAACCGGAATCTGTCCTCCGCCCTGGACCGGTCCGGGTCACCGGCTCACAAGCAGACAACACATAAGATCAACCATACAGAGGTACCCAAAGCCGGTGATACCCAGCCGGAGGAACCTTGATATGTCCGGCCATACAAATTCTACATCAAATTCCCACATCACTCACATGGAATACGGTGGGTACAACGAGCACTCAAATCGGCCTCCTCAGCTGCAAAATATCTCTGTTGCCATTGTGCATCTTGAGTGACCTATCGTCCTCGCTAGCAATGCACCAGACAATCAACACTCTGCGAGTTTCGCAATGAGACAGACCACAGTTCTCAAAAAACGGCCAGCGTTGTTATCAGAAAGAGATAAAATGCTGGAACCTGGTCAGTCATGGAGGTGGAGGATCATAATAATAATCCGAGCATCATCGCTTGCCTGGACGTTTGGTCGCTTCCTAATAGTTCAGATGAGGGATAAACAAGATAGTGGGGCATGGTTACTGACAGATAGCCGCAGGTACTGTACCGTGAAGCGATGACCCGACTAGGACAGTCAGACAACATGAGGAATGAGACTGATCAAATAGTCTGGATTATATTTTTGAACCTGAATACCGAGTTCCTTGAGCTGCCATTCATAAATCAGGCTATACACAACAAGACACAGCTTCAACCGGGACCGAGCTTAATCCCGTGAACTCCCCACGCTTCATCTTAGCCCTTCTTTAGGCGATCTTCGTTTACAATACATCCGCGCCAGGCCAGACATACCGCAGAAAACTCGGCCGTTGCCCCATGCGCCTGCGATTGAAAGTCCAATTCTCTTGTCCTCGCACCCAACTTAGTGAACACCCCAAACCGCCTCCTGCAGGGTTTTCAACCACGGAACGCGAACAACGGCCACAAACCGCAACGGATAGCGCTGGTGCCACGGTGGATACAGCTGCGTGGTTGGTTGCTGCAGCAGTTTATTGAGTGCATTCCGGAAGTCGAATGCCTGCTGGAACACGAACTTAGTTAGCTCGTGCTGGGCCCCGTGGAACTCGCGGGCGGCGCCTTGGACAGAGTTGTGGTCGATCAGGGTCAGCCCGCCGGCAATCCCGCTTGCCATGGGCGAGTACGCGCCGGGCAGGGTGCGCATGCTCGGCAGGCCGTCGAGTGCGGCGCGGTCGAGCCCGTACCACTGCATCGCATCGGCCGGCGGCACGGGCTGGTTGTCCTCGTCGTAGTCGAGGCACACCGTGCAGAGGCGGCGGCAGGTGACGAGGTACAGGTACTCGCCATTCCTCTCGCAGCTCTCGCACTTTGGGGTGCGCAGCGCGGTGTGCAGGGTGCGGCAGGTGAAGTTGCCGTCCGCACGGATGGCTGCGGCGCCGCGTACGGTGTTGGGCGCGTGCTGGAGGATGGCCTTGTACTCCGGCAAGGAGTCGACTATGTGGGCGGCGCGGCGGTTGATCGCCCGGAAGTTCGCCAACGAGCGCAAGTCCATGTCGAGGAGGACTTGTTGGACCAGCTCCACCGGGAGAGCCGAGAGGGCACCGAGGTTTGCAGCCGGCGGGCCGCGGGGTGTGGCCGTCGTGGCAGCGACGATGGAGCCGGAGAGCTTCTCGTCCAGTATATGGTGGTTGGCGGCAGGTGACGCGAGCGTGAGGGCGTGGGCGTTCATGCTGGCGGCGTGATTGGTGTACTGTCAAGTCGTCCAGAGAACGAAATGTCCAAAGCTGAATTGAAAGCGACTATCGAGTCCCGTTTCGTTCGATCTGAGCCTTTCCGGATGTGAGCGATGGAACAGATGGGAGAAAGGAAGAGGGCAGCGCAGGCTTTATAGGCCACGGAGGCTGGTACTGATTTGGTGACTTACGATGTGCCTCAAGGAGTGCGAGTATGTTGACGCTCCGTGTCTTGTGCGTTAGGTTCAGAAGTGGATGTAATTACTAGCAGACATCGCGTCACCACCTCTGGTGAGGCTGCATACGGTGCAAATTTCAGTGTAAAATGCCTGTGCCCTTCTATAACCGGTGCATGCACTCAGACATGCGGCATCCTTAGAAGCTTTCTCTTGTCCAGTCAACGGCCTGCGAGATCAGCGAGGGAAAATCCACTTCCATCCTGATCCGCCCCGGGAGACATCGTCATCTCGCAAGGACTCTGCAGTCGTAGGGCTTCAAAGAGAGATGATGACCGCTGACGTACTTTGTCCAACGACTTCTTGAGCGGTATTCATTACCAGGTGCCCTCAAGTCCGCCGAGAGAGTGGGGGTGGTGACAGTGGCATAGTTATTCCATTCGAGATGATGCCGTTGGAAGGTCTTCCCTTGTCCCATTCCAAGTCAACGAGGTACCTATAGAGAGCTTGAAGCTTCGATGGCAAGGGTGTTAGCTGCCTTGGTTCACTTCAATCTCAATGGATGACAAGCTTTTCATGAAACCCCTTACATTTCCAGGTTTCCTTCACTCATCGATATCCGCTTTCATGTCCATGCTCTTGCGAGTCCACCACGTTCATTGAGAAACAAGATAAACAACCTGCAGCACGTCGATAGGATAAGTCTGGAACGATGAGGATCAAAAGCTGAGAGCTCAAGCAACTCAATTGTCAAGTGTCTCAAAGTCAAGAATACGAAAAACGCCAGTTCCTTGCCCAGGACTGCTCCAGCCTGACGAAACGCCAATGAACCACACAACGGATGACAACGAAGAACTCGAACCTTCAAAATGTACGTCCATAAATGCCTCCTTCGACTGCCTGCTTTCATGCTTGCTCCGCTGATTGGAACGAGCGACCGGAAAGAACAGAAAGGAAAGAGGCCAAACCTGTTGGGGACCCCGCCATCCAAAGCATCAACACATCGGACCCTGGATATGTTTTCTTTTCCTCTGCTTGTAATATTACGTCAAGAACCATCCGGAACCGAGAAAGAGACAAAGGAAAACGAGTAAGGGATGTCTGTAATGGCAGTAACCGTGAGAAGGAAATCCATGTTCGGTCATCGTCGGGACTAAGTGTCGTATTACTTATGTCGATTGTTGTGCAAGCTGCTTTCTTTCTTCGTAGTCATCGTGTCAAAAGTATCGCCGTCGCGACCATCACGGTTTTGCGCCTTTGCTAATGCCATGCTATGCAGCAATAGTACGCTGGCGATGGGTCCAAGTTTTTTGGACATCCTTGCTGTATGACCGCTGTGGGCGCCGCTCCAGCACCAGCTCCTGTTTTAGCGATCCAGTCTCGGCTGCGGCTGCCAGCCGTTAAGGTAGGCCATCAGCCCCATGCCAAAGACAACCACCCCGATCATGGAGGCGTACGGCAACGTATGTATTAGCGTGTCATCGTGTTGCTGTCCCTGCATCGCCAGGGATCCCCCCATTGGCATTGGTTCCATTGTATTGGCCTGGGAAGGGTTGGGCCTGGAGTCCAAAACCTCCTCTTCCGGCCGTCCGTCGAGCTTGGCAGTTGGTGGCTCAGTGACACTGTCGTCCATTGCTGCAGCGGAATTCTCTAGGGCCTTCTCTTGGCTTGTGGCGCGCCGCCTGCCCTTGGATGGCGATCTGGCTCTCCTCTCGGCCTCTCGCCTCTTGTCCTCTTCATCGCGCTGCCGTATCTGGATCACCATCTCGGCAAGCGTCTTGCGGTCGGCGTCCCGCTCGGCCTCAGCTTTCTCCGCCCGCAACTTGAAGGCCTCGACTTGTTCCCTGAGGCTGTTCATCTCCACAGCCATCGAGTCTATCTGCGCCTGGAAGGTTGCGGCCAGTATTTCGGCCTTGTCCGGTTGCGGGGACGCACTCTCCCCCTTGGAAATGGCCAGAGCCATGTCGACTTCATCAACTAGAGGGGCCTGTTCAACGGGAAGATCAAACGCCCTGTCGAGCTCGGAGTGGCCGTTAACTAAAGGCGCTTTCACGGCGCCGTTCGTCTTGGCATGACTACTCTCCTCCATCTTCTGCATCATGTCCTCAGCGTACAACCGAGCCTCCCTCTCCTTGGTCAGCATTTCCTCAAGATCCCGCACTCTCGCCGAGTGAGTGTCGAGCTCCTTCTTGGCATTGTTGAGTGCTTCTGTAAGGAGGAGGATCTGGTTGAGATTGTTGTCTTGGCGAACAGGAGACGTGCCCGGGGGCCTCGGCCGCTCTGTCGTAGCCCTCTTCAACGAGGGCGCGTCCGAGGCCCGAGCCGAGTCCGGTTTCTCTGGAAGCGGTTGGGACGGCGGCGGCGCAGGCGGCTCAGAGAATCTCGTCTTGCCGCCGTCTGAGCGGAACGAGACGTTTCCATTGGGCAAGTGTGCTTTGGGAGGTTCGGGGACTTCGTGTTTGTCCGCGTTTCTGATGTCTTCCTTCGACAAAAGTGAGTTGATGAACTGGCTTGTCCGAGCCAGATCTTGGTTCTGCAGTCGGGCATTGCGCATTTCAACCTGTGACGCCACCATGTCAGAATTGTAAGCCAGCCAACGGGGTGTTCTACATACGTGAAGTTTCTTGACGATATGCTCCGTCGTTATCGGGTTTAGCCAGAACTGTCTTTGATGCGCCAGCGTGTTCGGCTGCGCTCCCATATTCCCCGGCGCCATTCGGTTGTTGGCCGCCACTCCAGGCTGACTGCCCGCTCGTGCTCGGAACGGCGAGGCCCCCCCTACGGGAAGCATCATTGCACTGTTTAACGGGTCGAGGTCCCCAAAATTCATGTCCAACACGTTGCTGGTTGGTGTGACGAAACCGGCGTGCTCGACCTTTGCAGCCACTTTGTGATGCACCACCGTCTTCTGGTCTTCGCTGACAATGTCGATACCAAGTTCGAGGTGGTCTTGTGTCTGTAATTCGTGCGGTTCAGACTCCCGGTTTTCCGGCGACAGTCGGGTGCCGTTCACAAACGTTCCGTTGGACGACTTGACGTCCCGAATCCATATCCTTCCGTTGGCGTCGGCCCATATTTCAGCGTGCTGCCGCGACAGTACCTTGCTGTCGAAGTAGCCGTTGACCGGCGTCGGCACGGTTTTGGCGTTGGTCTGACGTCCAATTCGAAGCGTTTCTGGGAAATAGGGAACCGAGATGGTCTTGCGCTCGAAGCTGCCATTCAAGGACAGTAGATAGAGCACTGGGTGTCGACTTGGACCCATACTGTCCGTGCCTGGACGGCCGAGCCCGTTTTGGGCCCCGAGTTGGCTCTGTGCCGCCAACAGGGATTGCTGCTGATGAAGACTCGACGCGCCATTGACGCCGTTTGCAATGGGTGGGCGGCCGGACGCTCTTGAAAATTCGGCTCCTCCGTCAGGTTTCCCGTTTGGCCATGGCGCTTTCGCGGCTGGTCGTTTGCGCGGCGCGGGATTCGACCACCCATTCGCGTCACCGACGGTTGGCATGCCGTTTTGCTGTGCACTGGCATTGGATGTGACAGTCGAGTTCGATGAATTGGACGAGGTCGAGGACACTGACGACGAAGAACTTGTCCTTTGAACGGTCTTCCGCTGCATGAACGTATTGATTTCTCGGGCGTCATCGGACGAATTCATGGAGCTAGACGGCTGCCCACCGTTAACGGTAATCCATCCCGGCCGGCTGAGATTCGCGAAGTTGGGAGGGTTCGCAACGGCAGTCATCGGAATGGCGCGTCGGGAGATGGGCGATGCAGCAGGCGGCCAGGGGAGATAGGGATATTGCTGCAGACCGACGTCAATCCTGCGGCTCGCGAAACCGGCGTGTTTGCATGTGTATCCTGTTCAGCAAGGAGCTGGGCAGGAGGAAGCTTATTGCCCTCTCGAAGTAGTGCCCACACTCAGCATGCAGGGAATGCCGCGGCCGCCTATGTGGACTGTGGAGTTGTCACAGAAGATTACCACTTTGACACTGACGTCGAGGCGCAAACTCGCCGCAGAGCTAGGGCGGGGGTTGTCGCTTGCGGAGACCGGCGCGGGCTCATAAAAATCGTCTTGAATTGCAGGCAAGCAGTAGAAGGAGTGAGCAAACCTCGTAGTACGCACCTAGCAGAGAGATGCAGTGGATTTGTTTCGGCTCGGCGGTGCAAGCACGGTCACAGAATGCGACGGCACACGGAGAAAGTGAGGTTGACGAATTTTGCTGGATCGTTTCCTGGGCCGGGGCGCCGTGGAGGCGCTTAGCGAGCGGGCCAGAAAGCGGCCTGCGCGCCGCCCCCTTGCTCGAGTCACCCTAGTTAGCGTCCTGCTCTTCCAGCGCTAGCTTCTTCAGCTCCTGACTGCGCAGCAACCCTCCGCCAAAGCTCATTCACGGCTTCAACAGCAACAGCCAACAGCATTTGCTTTAACACTGCGGCTACATTATCTCATCTGAAATCTCCAGCTTCTATGTATGTAGCACCCTCAATCCGAATCCATCCATCCTTGTTCTGCATGGCAGGTCTCCGGATCCCTGGGCTCGTCACGTGATTCTTGCTCCCAGCAGAAGCAGAGCAGCTGGATGTGCCTTTATGCGTCTCTCAAAGCAACAAAATTGTTAACGTTGAATGAAGGGCCTGGCTACAAGAAATTCCAAACATCTCGAGTCGCTGGTACTCGGTAAACACTTAAGACGGCAGCACGTGTTGGTTGCGGTTCGACATCGGCACACCAGGTAAGGTACTAGCGAGGAAGTGTGGCACGGTTGGAATCAGGTCTCAGAATTCAATCCTCCTGGACAGTCTGGTTTCCCTTTCAACAGGAACAAGGAATTAACAGAGTAAGGTATTGGCAGTAGAATGGTGTTCAAGCTGTAGCTTGAGCCTTGAGGCAGCTCGAGAGGGCAGGTCTTGTGTGTCTCGAGTCATGTGCCCCTAACTCGGGGTTTGGGACAGAGTCGGGTGACGCAGCTCCAAGCTTCGTGGTCCGTGCGTCCCGGTCCTGTTTTGCCTGCGGCAACTTCCAGCAGTGAAAGTTGCCGCATGACACCGAATCTCCTCGACACCTCGGATGTCAACTCTTTCTCCCCCGACTTCCTCGATTCCGTGCACCCCCTATCTACAACGATGCCACCGCCGCCGAGCCACCCTGGGGCTGTTGGCCCTTCCAACTTCGACAAGTGTATGGATGCATCTCGCAGCTCCCCTCTTGTTCTCCCAAATTGATCCCGGCATCATGTGCAGTGCTGTGCAAGCTAACATGGGCAACAGTCAAGATGGGTGCCCTGATGGGCGGCAGTACGTGCATTCCCGCGTAAATCCTGCCCACCATCGCCCATCAAACCACTGATATTTGCTGGACACAGCGGTTGGCACGATTATCGGTTTCATCTTTGGTACGGCACTCCCAGGAGACAGCGAACAATAGCGGAGCTTTAGCAGGTCTAACGCGGGACCCAGGAACTGTCAACATATTCAGATACGGCGCCGGACCGAACGGAATAATGAGGACATTAGGCCAGTACATGCTGGGATCCGGGGCAACGTTTGGGTATGACTGAGTTTCTCCCTCAGCTGTGTATGGGAGATGGTGGCCGTGACGATAACTGACACGCTTTTCCACAGGTTTTTTATGTCCATCGGTAGCGTCATCCGGTCTGACGCCTCGCCCATTGTTCAAGAGGCCTACTTGCGAGCCCAGAGACGGCCCATCATCATGGCATCGCAGGCCTTCCGCCCCTACCAGCCCACCCGACGCAACAACTGACGGTGCGGCCGCCCAATCTTTGCTTGCGAGTCCATGAGCGGTAAGCGGAAGACCATGTAATTTGATATGCTGTACATACGACTTGCCTCCTGGGCAGAATGGGATGGCGTTTGGGAGGAGCAATAGGAAAACACTCATTCTGTGTTAATACATCGTTTAGCCCTATCTTCCTTCCTCCCTATTCCGCCGGCTGGACTGATCATGATACAGCTTACAGTGTGTGCGGTCAGTGTCAGGCATTGCTATGCCAGCCGGATTGCTTCTGCATCACCCACGACCTGCTCACCGCCAGCTCACGGCCTACCATGGCGTCCAACGACACCGAAACACCACTCTTGGAAGACTCGATGTCGTCCATTCATGCAGAAATACGAAGAAGCGGAACGGACATGGCAGCTGCATCCTTGGTAAATTAGAACGTGCTGTGGCACAACCTTGTCCTCGGATAATCTTAGCGACATGGCCAACAGCTGAGCCTACGGCGTTACCTGGAAACATTGCTGCTGTCACGACCTTTCCTGACTCATCTGAGACCAGTTCAGGTTCCAAGAAAATTGACCGGACAAGTCGGCAGCGGCGCGCCCAACATATACAACCAATCTCAGCTTCCACCTGAACCTCAACCGAGAACCCGACCGCGTAGACGACTATGCTGCGGGAGCGTTTGGGCGGCATTTGAGGGAGTCCCTGGCAACCTCGGGTCCTTGCAGATTGCTAATGGCCGGCATATCAAGTGCGTCTCGCTTATGGCCCCTGTCTCCTAAATGTTGCTCCCGAGCCAAGGACCGCACAGCATATCACCGCCGATGCCCGAGGTAGTCCGAGAGGCTTGTGCAGGATCCTCTAGAGAACTGGGAATGCCCGGCACGCTATGGCGGAGTCTTAAGTACAGATTGGCTGAGCTTGGAGTTCCCAAGAAAAGCTCTCATCTGTCTGCCAGCCAGCGAACTCCTTCCCTTTTAGGATTGGTGATGCAGCATTCCGGCGAGCTGAATTGGCTTGCCACAGCAGTCGTCAACCCCTGGATTCCCCAACTTGGTTGCTCTCTTTGCAGGCTGCTTCCAACTTCGCAAGTCAGCAAGCAGTAAGCCATCCTCCCCTCTGATTAAGAAATCTGGAAATGTCGGAGCCCAGGAAATGCGCCACCAGGAAATGCGCCACGTCTTTGGACACCGGGACCGGTCGCAGTTCGGCAATAATCTTGCCCGACAACGCCCTGTCTTACCTCTTTGGCGCCTGCTTTACTTGTTTTCCGGTGCCAATATTCGATAACGATCGCCGTAGGGAGCACAGGTTCTTTAAACGCCATTTTGCGGTCGAGCTGGCTCTGCTATAGGCCGTCACAGGTTCAGCCGCTCCAGACACAGCAGAGATAGCGAACCACAGCGATGGATCCGCTTCATTTTACAGAATCTGTGTTAAACTTGAGCACCGCAGCCAGCTCACTGATTCCGACGATATTCGTTCTAAGCTGGCCACGGACCTCGGCGCTCCACCCGGATGCGCACTTTTGATCGGAAAGCCTGGGCGAGAACTGTGGCCGACATGTACAGGACCGACATCCCGAGCTGTCTTAGATGCTCTTTTGTTCGTCCATCGGTGTGCGCGGACTGGAGGATGTTGCTAGATGAGGCTTGTTCCAACATGGCAATACCGGGAGTCGATCACGGTTGACGCAGCCGTGTCTGCTTCCCTATTGACCGCCGTCTCTCTGAAGCCTGTGCTTCACGACATGCGACTTGCAGGGACCTGGCCGGCTGGCCATGAAGAGAACGCGTGCTCGCTGCGCGGACTTGGGCTCCCGGTCTTTCCACTCCTATCCAATATCTATTAAATATGCCGCTGTATCACGCCGGACCACGCAGGGCTAATCCGCTCTGTCTTGAGCAGCGGGTGTAGCATTCGCTTCGTCACTCCCTCGTTTGCATTCCTACTCGGGTTCTAGTCATATACTCAGGCAGTTTCCTTCGCCATCCATCATGGGCGTCGCCTTGTTGCGCGGCTTCCTCGAGAGCATCTTTAGTACCATCCAAGCATTAACCGTGTCCGCTTTGAACCAGACCACTACAAACGGGTGAGGTCCCTCATCCTGACCGCATCATGTATTGTGTAGGGAGCAGCTCTAACGTGACTTCAGACTTTCACTTCTGGGGACCCTCTTAGCCCCTACCTTGCCCCCGTTCTTAGCAGATGGTCCGCTGCTGAATGAATACACATGGGGAGACCGAACCGACTATGGAAACAACCCGTACCGCGACTGCCCCACGACTGGAGTGGTTCGACACTACCAGTTCACCGTGAGCCGCGGCTACATTGCCCCAGATGGCTATGTGCGGGACGTTCTTCTCGTCAACGGGGCTTATCCTGGACCCATGATAGAGGCAAACTGGGGCGACACCATCGTGGTGGATGTGCACAACAACATCACCGGCCCAGAAGAGGGCACAGCCATCCACTGGCATGGCTTTCTCCAGCATGAAACGCCGTGGGAGGACGGCGCTCCGGGCATCTCCCAATGCCCCATCCCGCCCAGGAAGAGCTACCGATACGAGTTCATTGCCAGTCTGTACGGTTCGAGCTGGTATCATGCTCACTACTCGGCGCAATACACCGGTGGTGTCGTCGGCCCAATTGTGGTCTATGGGCCCACGAAGGAACATTACGATATCGACCTCGGTCCTATCATGCTAAGCGGTAAGCTCTGTTGCCGTTAGGAGTCCGGCGCGGCCAGGTCGAGGTTGACATGCTTCATGCAGACTGGTACCACAAGGAGTATTTCGATATAGTCAAAGAAATGCTTGCGCCAAACGGCAGCCCTCGAGTGTTCTCTGACAACAACTTGATCAACGGCAAGATGCACTTTGACTGCTCCACAGTGGCTCCAGGAGACACGACTCCCTGCGTCAGCGATGCCGGCATCGCCAAGTTCAGGTTCAAGACTGGCAAGACGCATCGCTTGCGTCTAATTAACTCGGGGGGCGACGGCATCCAGCGCTTCTCGATTGACGAACACACGCTTACTGTCATCGCCGAGGACTTTGTCCCGGTAGAGCCGTACAACACGTCGGTTGTCACCCTGGGTGTTGGCCAGCGCACCGATGTGCTCGTCACAGCCAACGTCGGCAAGCCCGAGTCGGCCTTCTGGATGCGATCCAATCTGACCACGTGCTCGGCCGCGCGACAGCCCAACGCCATCGCCGCCGTCTACTACGACAAGGCCGACACGAATGCGATGCCGTCCAGCGGGGCCTGGAACATACCGGATCCCAACACCTGCTCCAACGTCGACCTCAGCGTCACCGAGCCGCTGTACCCGATCCCCCTGCCCGCGCCCTCCTTTACACAGACCATGGATATTGAGCTATTCAAGAACGCGTCTGACGTGACGCTGTGGAAGTTCAACAGCGTCTCCATGCGGACCCACTACAACGAACCCGTGTTGCTGGTTGCCAACGAGGGCAATTTCAGCTTCCCGGCCCAGTGGAACGTGGTCAACTACTACAGCAACACGTCGGTCCGCATCATCGTCAACAATAGAAGCCCTACTTCGTAAGTCCCGGATCATCCCCAAGCCTATCTAGCGAAATGGATATGCTCACACCGGCAAAGGCACCCAATGCATCTCCACGGCCACAACTTCTACATTCTCCACGAAGGCCCCGGGATATGGGACGGCAGCATCGTGCGCCCGTCCAACCCGCACCGGCGAGATGTTCATCTCGTCCGTGGCAACGGCCATCTCGTGATTCAGTTTGACGGCGCTCCAGGTACTCTTTTCCCCCAGTTCCCTTCAACCAAGATTGAGTCCGGCTTACAAGCCCGAATAGGCATCTGGGCCTTCCACTGCCACATCGCCTGGCACGCTTCGGGCGGCTTCCTCGCGTCGCTGGTTATCGAGCCCGAACAGGTGGACGCTATGCACATTCCCAGCGATGTCAAGCAGAACTGCGGCGCATGGGATCTGTGGTCCAGGTTCAATGTCGTCGACCAGATCGACAGCGGTACTTGAGGGCTGTTGGGTGCGTGGACGTTGATGCTGGTGGACACAACAAAGGCAAGCGCATGGTGGGAATACGGTATTTCTTAAGAGTCAGTAGATTGGCTGCATCACTTTTGGTCGAAGATCTCTCTCTTGCTAGTGCATATTTCTGACTGGGTTGTGATCTGCAGTACAGAGCGTAGGGAGTACTCTTGATATCTGCTGGATATTCATACAGCTCCGACATGAGGTGAAGCTCACTTCGATTTTGTAACTCTGGGGCGTTTGGTTTGGTTGTCCCTAGAGGGGCTATTCACCAACACAAATGATGCCATGATCGAAGAGCACGATGCCCAGCGTTATGACCTCGATAAAAACGGCAACTCTCCTTCGGGCGCGCTCGATCGGGAAGAGCGGAAGTTTTGACGGTCGCACACGGCCAGTTGCCCCTGAACACAACACAGCTTGCTTCTGCAGATCCCCCAAAAAGACCACGTCCGAGAAGAAAGTGTGTGCGACTTAATAGGTGATCGCAATGTATTTACATTTATGCAACATTGCTTTGTCTTGTACGCTCTGTTTACGCCATGCTTGCAATTCCAAACCCGCCGGATGCGAAATCACCCTCCAGATCCAGATCTAGCCCCTTGAATCCATCCTCCACAACCCACGAGCGGCCCTTCTCCGGCGCATACAGCGCCTCGCACGCTCGCCCCACGACGAGCAATCCGGGTGGGCGACTCCCCTCCTGCTCGATGGCCTCCGTCACGAACCTCAGCGTGGTCCTGATGACCCGCTGATCAGGACAACTGGCCCGCTCGATGACGGCACATGGCGTGTTAAGCGGCCAGAGAGTCCTCCTTGTCCCTTGTGTCCGCTCAGCTTTTTGGATCTCCCCTTCTTGGCTATTGTCTTGGTGTTGTTGTTGTTGCTCCTCCTCGGTGTAACCTGTCAACTCAGCCACTAAGCCCTCAATCCGGTGCAAGGCCATCAAGAACACCACCGTCCTGCTCCCCACATACTCGGGCGGCTGCGGCGCCTTGCCCTTCTTCCCTGTGCCCGTGCAAACGAGCACCTGGTCCGCAACATCCCTCTGCGTGGGCGGGATACCAGCAAACAGCGGGGCGCTGAGGCTGCTGGTGATACCGGGCAGAACGACCACGCGGTCCCCCAGCCCGTGCTGCCGGAAGAAAGCGACCTCCTCCCCGCCGCGCCCGTAGATGAATGGATCGCCCTGCTTGAGGCGGAGGACGGTCCTGCCGGCACGCACCCCGTCCAGCGCCTGCTCGAGGAGTTCTTCCTGGGCGCGGTCGGCGTTGCCGGGGAACTTTCGGGCGATGGACACGGGGGTGCGCCGTGGGATTAGATCGAGCACGCCAGCAGGGACGAGCTTGTCGGCAAGAATCAGATCTGCCGTTTGAATTGCCTTGTAGGTGGCTCGGGTGAGAAGGTCTGGATGGCCCGGGCCGCTGCCGGCAAGAATGACGCGACCGCGTTGGCCGCCACAGGGCTTGCTGAACCCACCACCGGGGGACGACGTTGGCGTCGTTCCAGGGTACGACCTTAAAATCCCCTCGACGTCCTCCTCCCCAATCTCGGCCAGCCTCTTCAACGGCCAGTACTCGCACACCTGCGCAAGCCACCTCATCCTCCTCGTCTTGGCCGCCTCGGCATCCCCCTCCAGCACCAACTTATTCAACCCCGCAGGTTGATCCACCGAGTCGTCCACCCCTTCCGCAAGATGAACCATCCCATCCCCAATCTTCGCCCCCTCAGCAGCCTCAGCCAACACCCTCCGCCTCATCTCGCCCAACCTCTCCACGGCAGCGCCCAAACCCTGCGGCAGCCCCGCTGCCACCTCCCTCCTGATCCTCCCAGCAAGCTTGCACCCGCGCCCGTTGGTGGTGACGCCAATCTGCAGCGGCCCGTCGACGTGCACGCTCAGCAAACTAAACGAGCACAGCTCGGGCGCGTCGACAACGTTGACGGGTATGCGATGCCGCCTGCACAGCCTCGAAACCTCCTCTGCACTACTACCCCTCCCGCCTCCCGCCCACTCCTCCTGCCCATCGCTGAATAGCGACGGGGGCGAGGCCGAGGTGATAAACACGGCGTCGACCACGTGGTCGACTTCCTCCCTGCCCAGGCTGAAGAGGTCGGACGGGGAGAAGAGGCGCGGGAGGTGTGTTAGGGAGCCCGCGGCGATGAGGGCGGTGAGGCTGTAGTGGAGCTGGGGATCTGATCCTGGCGTGGAGGAGACGGGCGCGATGAGGATTGGTTTTGCACCTGCCGCGAGGGAGGAGGCGGCGCGGGCTGCGGCGAGGGGATTCGCGCCGATGATGAGGTGGACATGCCCTGCGCTGTGCTGGGCTGTGAGGAGGGAGCTTTTGTGGAGTATTGAGGGTGGTGGCATTGTGTCTGTCTCACACGAACTCTCTCCTCTGTTTTCTCTCTGTGTGTGGGAGGGAGTTTTGCCTGTTAGACAATACGGCAAGGTTTGTGTGGATGTCACCTCATCGGGGGTTGGAGGTAAAAAGGAGAGATGAGACGATAGTAGCGGAAACATGGATGAGAGGTTTAACAAGCTTCAAGGAGGCAATGAATTAGCTATATACCGCCCCCGAAAAACCCCCTTGATAGCAGTCGCTCGAGACCACAATATCCACATCTCCGCTGCTGAATGTTTGACGGCGGGATGGATCTTCAAACTCTTTATCAAAGCTTGGGTGTCAGAGTTTCGATCTCCGACAACGGATTCCAGCCAGTCAGAGCCAGCTCATAGGACTTACACCAAATTCTTTCTCAGCACAGTTAGCGCGGGTTGACGCCATTTCACGGGGCCACGGCGGCCTTATCAGGGTTATCGCCACCCCGCTACCCTGATCAGACACGCCGAGATCCTCGACTCCGCGGGGAAGAGGACCAGGGACGGAGATCGTCCCTCCTAAGCATGGCGGCTCATGGCGGCTTCCGGAACGAATGGCCGGCGAATGGCTTATCACATGCACTTCCTTCCCGATTACCCGGTCAACGCAACAGTTGAAACGATGACCTATTGTCTGCATTGCGTTCAAGAGGCAAACTCTCAGCCGCTGCCACTGCCACGACTCCGAGGAACGGTGCATGGTTTAGAAGCCCTCTAGAATCGATTCCCTCGATGATTGATTCTTTGACTGCTCCTACTCGGAGTAAGAGGATAATGTATAAGCAACAAACGCCACCACCACTGGTGGAGTCGAAGGAATTAAAGATATTTTTCAAAAGCTGAGACGCGAACCCCCAATGCACCACTCAACGTTGCACCCTGCCCACCGCCCAGAACACGAACACCGGTTTGGAGGAGAGGCCACCCGCCATTGTCCCGAATCCGGTAATCCTCAGTCTCAGAGGGAAGATCGTACTGCGATGGTATCCGCGGGGGCGATTCACGGTTTGGGACTGTGGGAAACTGCGCCAAAGACCGAGCCACATCCAGCGTTGATTCGAGGACGAGTATATCCGGGCGTGGTCGCATAAGAAATCGGTTTGAATATATACATATCGAAAAAACCGCCAAAGCGCGGCAAGCGAATCGCATCGTAACTTCGGCAAAGGTGATATCAGAGAGAAATATGTTACCATGGGAGAACCATTGTGGCGCCTGTGCCCGGTGTTGATTGTTAGACATTGGCGTCCTGGAAGATGGGTCATATCTGGTTGCCACGGTCCAGCTCCCCTGGCAGGCTTGCATCTGGGAGCAGTTCCTCGGCTGGCCGAGCCCGCTCATCGAAGATTTTGTCGAGTTCATCAAAGTCGCCAGCTACATTACGGTGCACTTGGAGTCGTCGCGTTCCTTCTTTACTGACAGCGCCACGCGGGCCGCTTCGGTGAAGGCCTCGTTGACCCCCCTATTCCGCATTGCCGAGCACTCGAGATACCGGAGAGCGTGAATTCGGCGTGCCACTTCGAGGCCTTGGTCGTAATTGATCATCGGCTTCTTCTCTCGGGGATTCGCCTCCTCGTTGGCACCGTCTTCCTCCTCGGCCGCCTCCCGCAGGTCGCACTTGAGCGCCACGAGAACAAGCTTGACACCTGGGCAGTTGTCGGCAATCTCGCCTACCCATTTGCTCTCAACGTTTTCGAGTGAGTCCTTGCTGTCCACCGAGTAGCAGAGCATGATTAGGTCGGTGTCGTCTGCAAGTTGTCAGGCGTTGCCCTAGGCTGAGTCCGCAGAAGAGCGGGCAGTGCTCACCATATGAGAGACTCCGTAACCTGTCAAATTCTTCCTGCCCGGCAGTATCCCATAGCGACAACTCGATGTGAACATTGTCGACAAAAATGTCTGCACGTACAACGAGCGAATCAGCCACACCCTCCACATCATCAATATTTGGACTGCAACGCGGAACGCACCATGGACGTAGTTCTCAAACACTGTCGGCTCGTAAACGGTAGGGAAATAGCTGTGCTTCGTTAAGACGGGACTCGAGATGCGCCCATCGTATATCAAACTCACCCTCGTGTAAAGACGTTTAGCAACGACGTCTTGCCGCACGCACCGTCGCCCCTATGAAGGAATAGTGTCAGTCCATTTCCGGATCACATGAATGGCAGCCGGCGTCGACGAGGGCTGAACTCGGTTCCGAGGCATCATAAAAGGGGAGACTCACAGCAAGACAAGCTTGCGTTGGACAGTTTTGGACCCCCCGATACCACAAGGCATTGTTGCAATATGCGAGATTTCGGATACGGTTTTCTTCTCGGCAGCTGCGGGCCAGAAGCAACGACAATGGGGCAGTGATGCTCCAAGTCGACGTGGTTCGTGCTTTTGGCGTCAAGTCGTGTTCTATCGACAGTTCGGACGGGGTGTCGCGCCAAGTGCGTCAAGGGATAAAGGGGTAGCGAAAACTGAGGAAGAAAAATGCCGTCTAAATGGTGCGATCTCAATGGAGTGACTGCTACGAGAAGCAAGTGGGAGTGACGGGATCGCAGCTTAGAAATGTCAGCACCACCGAGACCGAGTTGGCAGTGAGCGTGGGATTCAGATGCAGAAGGCGCAGGCGCCTGGGGACGGGGGACGGGCGTTGCAACACACGAAATTTGGCTGGCCGTGTCGCGAAAGACAGTGTCTCACACGGCCACAGTGCGCCAATGCAACTCTCAGGAGAATGGGATTCAAACGAGCGAGAAGACGATGAAAGGGAGACGGACACTGAACCTGGGGAGAAATTGAAGCCGAAGATGAAGTCAGCAATTGCCCTGGACGAGCGTGCCAGTCGCACATCGGTGCTGAGAACAACCAGGCGTGCAAGGATCCACAGAATGGCCATTGGCCTGGACTCACAGGCAGTCCGCAATTGAACGTCACTGGTGAAGAAATGGGGAAGTGGCGGTGGGGCGTTGCTGCAGGTCAAGGGAGGACGGCCCCACCGGCATCCGTCTGCTGTGCACCGAAATCAGCAGACTCGCGTTCGTACAGTCTCCCTGAAATGATTGTTAGCCCGGCGTCTGACTTTGCCCAAATAATCGCCAAATCGACCTATTTTGACGCAGTAAAAAACTGGCTTAACTGAGAGATAATTGTGACTTTTCTCTGTCTCAATTTCCATTTGTTTAAATTCGAAATGGTGGCTGGTAAAATGTAAGATACTACAATAAGTGGTGGCCACCCCTGTCCGTGGTTTCGCACTAACAATCATTCAGGGGTCATACCTATGGTACAATACATGCATCTTTATCCAGTTCCACGCCCATTTCGTTTATGCTTATGAGAGCGAAAGGATGCGTTAGTGCAATGGAGTATGGCCTCCTATGAGGATTTTGGGAATTTTTCTTTAATCGAGACCTTGCCTCGATATCAAGAGTGGCATTGACGATACTCGAGATCAGCCATGAAAGTTCGCGTCGGAAGCACTGACCGTTGATCTGCGCTGGACAAGCTTACCACGGATCGAGTCTCCCAGAGCTCCGGGCCTCATCCCGTCAAACCCTCTGCTTATACAGTACAAGCGGTAAGTACAGTAACAACATTCATTTTCAAATATTTGATGCGGAAACAGCCCCCAGGGGAGATAGCGTAACCCAAGTATACGTCCGTACACGGCTTGCCTTCTCCTCCGTATTACCTCCTCAAACCAAACGAAGCCTAACTGCCGGGTATCACTCCTCGTATCATGAATCTGAGACCCTCCAAGTTTCTCCGCTCCATAGGCAATTCATACCCCCTCGACTAACCCCGTAGTCACTGAGCCCTCCAGGCCTGCCTATCGCTTCCCCACGCGATCCGCAACCTTGAGCTCGGCCGCCCTAGTATGGAGCTGATTCATGAACCCGGCGTCCCCACCAAATCGCTTGTTACGTTGCCGCGCCCGCTCGTCCATCTCCTGCGCAACCCGCTCCTGCTCCGCTATCATCGCTAATCGGCGCTCACGGTCTTTGTCGAGGTCCGTGGCGGCTTCCTGCATGGCGGCGAGCTTGCGAGCACGCTCCTCCTGCTCCATAGTATCCCTATCCCTGTCGCCCTTGCTCGTGCCGCGACGATGAGCCCTAGAAGGAGGGCTGCCTCGACGATCATTGTGGTCGCGGTTCGTTTGGTGCGAAGTGCCGTTGCGGAAGCTTTTGGTGTCTTGGTCGTGTCTTCGCGATGAGGGCCCTTCAGATGAGCGCTCTCGCCTTCTCCTGTGATCGTAGTCCGGAGAGTAGTCCCTTCTGCGCGGCGGTGGCGACCTTGAGCGCGATCCGTGTCTGTAATGATTTCGACTCTCCTCCGTTCTCGCTCTCCTATATCCCCGTTCGCGACTGCTTCCTCTACCTCGACCATCTCGCCTGTTTCTCCCATCTCGCGAATCGCCGGATTCGGACCTGTCTCGCCGGCGCTCACGGGAGTTTCTCCTCCGCCTTTTCCAATCTTCCTCCTCCGAGTCGTACCTCCTCGGACTCCTCGACCTGTCTCTAGAGTCCGATCTACGACGGCGGGAGCCCATCTCCCTATCCCAATCATCGTCATCGTGGCGATGGGAACGGTGTGAATGGCGATGCTTGTGTCGCCTCTCTTCCTTGCGCTTCGACTTGTCCTGTGAATCGTCGATGCCCATAGACGCTAATAGCTGCCGCCTCCTGATGGGATCGTTCATCATGGCTTCGTATGCTTGCTGCTCTTGCCGCTTGATCGCCAGCAGCGGATCCTCTCGAATCTTGGCCGCCACATCCCGCGCATTCGTAACGGCGGCGGCCGGCGCCGTGGCATGAAGTTCCTGGCTGGACTGTTTCTGTAACTTCTTAATGTCGTTGTCCTGGAGGAGCTTGTCGATCCTCCGTTTGCCGAGAAGATAGGCTTCGTTCTCGGCCGCGTCGCCCACCTGGCCGTCGGTCGGACCGGAATACATCCATTCCACCCGCTGCAGTCGAGGCTTGCCGCCTGCGGCCTCAAGCGCCTTCTGAATCTCTTCCTTCTTCCGCTCTTCTTCGATCTCCTGAAGACGCTGTTGCAGTTTCTTGCGTTCGGCGAGGGCTTCGGCTTCGGCTCTCTGGGTCGCTGCTAGATTGTGCGATCTTTGGGGATGCCAACTCTTTTTCATATTCAGATCTCCGGAACCCATCTTGTCGGGTTTGGTGCTGCCGGCGCAGCGCGAGCGTGGCAGCTAAGGATTGATGCTCACTTCGTCTCTAAATGGCGCGCTATAAATTGGCGCGCGACACGTGCTGCCAGGTGTTTTTAGGTCGTTTGTAGCGTGATTGTTTGTTTCGTGCTTGTTATCGATGGCAGCTTGTGTTGTTCTGTGATTGTCCCGGGTTGATCAGCGAGTGGCAACAGTTGCATGGTGGGTCCCCAATCGATAAGGAGGCTACAGTACCCCACACAAGCTCCTGCTCAGCCTTATCGCCACTGTGTGCTTGGAACGCTTGTTTACTCAAGACCACTGCGTCCAGCGAAATCAATCCTCCATTCTGGACTGCAGTTACCGCTTTCTGACACAGTACATAAAGATCTTCTTATCATTCGGTCATTATGTCGGACGACGACTTTATGCAGGACTCTGACGAGGAATACGACTTCGAGTACGAAGACGAGGAGGAAGAGGACAGCGGCGATGTCGACATCGAGAACAAGTACTACAATGCGAAGCAAACCAAGACATCAGACCCTCAAGAGGCGGTGGGCGAGTTCCTAGCCATACCAGCGTTGGAGCCAGAAAAAGGAGAATGGGGGTTCAAAGCCCTGAAGCAAGCCATCAAGCTCGAGTTCAATCTTCAGCGATATGAAAAGGTCAGTGGACTGGCCATAGCCCCGCACTGACCGTTGCGAATGAAATCTGACGGATGACAGGCCATCGAACATTATCGAGAACTCCTGACTTATGTGAAGTCGGCGGTAACCAGGAACTATTCGGAGAAGTCGATCGACAATATGCTCAACTTCATCGAGAAGGGCGCCGACAACCCCGCGGCAGTCCAATGCATTGAGCAGTTCTACTCCCTCACTCTACAATGCTTCCAAAGCACCAACAACGAACGTCTTTGGCTCAAGACGAACATCAAGCTCGCCAAGCTGCTCCTTGACCGAAGAGACTACCATGCCGTTGGCCGGAAGCTCAGGGAGCTCCACAAGGTCTGCCAGAAGGAGGACGGTAGCGACGAACCGAGCAAGGGTACCTACTCGCTCGAAATTTATGCCCTCGAAATTCAGATGTACTCCGAGACACGGAACAACAACCAGCTCAAGGCACTGTACCAGAAGGCGCTCAAAGTCCGCTCGGCAGTGCCGCATCCCAAGATTCAGGGCGTGATCCGCGAGTGCGGCGGCAAGATGCACATGAGCGAGGAGAACTGGAACTCGGCGCAGATCGACTTCTTCGAGGCCTTCCGAAACTACGACGAGGCCGGCGACCTGCGGCGCATCCAGGTGCTGAAGTACCTGCTTCTGGTCACCATGCTCATGAAGTCGGACATCAATCCCTTTGACAGCCAAGAGACCAAGCCCTACAAGAACGACCCCCGCATCGCCGCCATGACGGAACTCGTCGATGCCTACCAGCGGGACGACATCTACAAATACGAGGAGGTCCTCCAAAAGAACACGGACCTTCTCGCCGACCCCTTCATCGCCGAGAACATCGACGAGGTGACGCGCAACATGCGCACCAAGGGCGTGCTCAAGCTGATTGCGCCCTATACTCGCATGCGCCTATCGTGGATTGCTGAGCGGCTGCGCATCAGCGAGCCCGAGGCCCAGGACATCGTCAGCTATCTAATCGTGGACGGCCGCGTACACGGCCGCATCGATGAGCACAACGGCACCGTTGAGATCCAATCTCGGGGCGATGCCGAGCGGGCTAAGGCGATCGAGTGTATGGCTTCCGCGGTCGGGGGTCTGTACACGGCGATTTTCAAGGATGCGGATGGATTCCGCATGTCTGTTGCGGATATGGCCAGTGGCGGATTCTCGGATTCGACAGGGGACTTTGGCGGCCCGGATAGGGATCGGCCTCGGGCTGGGAGACTCGGCCGGGGAACGCGCCGGGGAGGGATGAAGAACCTGCTCGCCACGGCGGGACACTGAGGCGGATGCCGGGCCGAGGGAGGCCCTTTCTCGGTTGGTACCAACGGGCGGCTACACAGTAATGATGAGTATCACGAGGTTTACGTGTCCGCCGGATGCATTAGTGGAATGAAATGATGACAATATGGATCGAATCAGGGGACGTCAGTGCCAGGGATTAGTGAAACTGGGGACACTGGCCGGAGATGGTATGGTAGACAGAGTTGCACAGATGAAAGGAGAGACGTAAGAGTCAACAACATCATACTTCGACTGGTTCACCCAGCACGGCGACATTTGATCCATCACACTGTGCCAGGCAAGAGTGTCGGTACCATGCCTAACACACCTCAATGCCACAGTCCACCTTAAGCATGATGCAGGGAGTGCTGAGGCAGATCCCTCAACAATAAAACTAAACTGAACGAAATTCTCTTTCTATTGCCGCCGATACAGCTTACAAATAAGGAGTTGTCCCATTTGTCGGGCCCGGCTTGGGCATCCGACCATAGTGTTAATTCTCCTTGTCCCCGACTGGCGAGAGATTGGGTGTGCAGGGCCGAACCTGTCAGCAACATGCTGCTGTTCAGATCGTATTCAGCTACGTGTGCGGTTGCTGCAGCTGGGCGTGGCTTCTCTTGTGCGCATCAGTCAAGCACCAGGCCTTCAACACGTTTCTAGGAGAGGCAACTGAGGGGTGGTGAGGTTTGGTCTCGGATGCACTCAATCACAGCATTCGCATGTCGATTATGCACCACCAGGCCGACGTAACATGGCAGATACGACTGCATATAAACACTCTAGTTTGATCAGCGTGCGATCACCACCCCATCCCGCCCCGATCGGTAAGCGACCTCAAGATAGTCAAGTATATTTATTTGTCAAGCAGATGTCACCTGAACCAAAGGCACTTGTAGAGGGGACTGAGACAAGGGGCACAGAAGCCGGTGGCACGGCTGCTGCGAGGCAGGAACTCACAGCTATCCCGTACGGTGATGAAAACGGCCATTGCTGCAGCGGAGCATCGGGAGCCCCGTCCGGCAACTCGCATGGTTGTCAAGAGAAATGACGGGCTATCCCTCCTCTTTGCGCAAGGATGACTCGGGCACTCGGCTGTAATGCGGCAACGCGCAGATCTGGCGTCTTGACCGGTGATTGGGAAGCATAGTGATCTGACTTTGTGGCCGATGCGGTTTGCGATCAGAAATCGAGTGACATCTTCGCCTCTGGTCCGTCTTGCTCGGTCCGGACATGGCTGCAGCTCTTCTCGGGGCAACGTGCCATTTGAGCACAAAAGCCGTGCTGGCCGCAGCAACACCGACCTCGTGCCCTCATAGAAGCATCGCTGCCGGCCGGAATGGACGATGGCCTCTGTGGGTTTTTGACCTGCTGGCCCTTTCTGAGCCGTCATCCTCTGCCCGTGTGTCGTCTCTAGGACAGAATTTGGCTGGAGCCATGCTGTAGGCCGCTCAGCTAAGGTAATTGTCCGGTAGTTAAAATGCAACCCGGCATGAGGTACCACGATTGTGCCTCTACTGGTTGTCGCGGCAGACAACCTCAGAGCTGCCAGGCCATTGAATGTCCAAAGTACTAGCTGCTGGGCGGCAGGACTAGAATAGACGGGCAGTCGTTCTCGGACTCGGCATAGGCAGGCAGGATGATTTCATGGCGATTCGCGCCGGCGGTCGGTGAACCCAGCGCCGAGAGCACAGAGTGTCGGACGGAGGAAAAGATATCAGATACATCTGAGGGGATAGATCTTTGATCGAGGATTTCTTGAAAATGCGTGGTGATCCAAAAAAGTGATAATCTGTGGACAACACGGCCACCGACAGTCCAATAGTCTAGCAACGGAGTGGTGCATGGCATGTGGGCTGCCAGCAGCACAATGATGAACAGACGGCTCTGGGAACGTGCGTGTGAACAATCTCTTTTTGCTGCCGCGGGCGGTTGAAGTGAAGGTTTCGTCCCACACCAACGATCTCCGAAGTGCATACAGAGGAGAACGGGATAAGTGGTGGGTGGGACGGAAGGTTCCAGGCTGGAGACGGGAGCAAAGGCACCGCAGGGGTCGGCTCGTCCAGCGCGCAGCGTCAGCAACAGCAAAGCAAATTGGCAGCAAGTAGAGGAGCCCGGCACTTCAAGCGGTGTCGAGATGAGGGGATGAACGAGGACGGCAGAAGGGATAAGATGGTGTTGAGATTGTTGAACTGAACTGGCTCCTTGGCACCTGGAACCAGGTGCTGGGCACTGTTGCCCAATGCAGTAAGCGTGGAAGACTCGTCACCCACCCAAAAGCAGGGTCTGGCGAGGGTCCCGAAGCCCTCGGTTCTTTCAAGCAACACACACACATGACGCATGGTTCAGACAGTCAATTCAAGCTTCATCTTGTGCCTCAATTGATGCAGTGTCACCTGGTTGGTCTATGCCTATTCGAGCCTGTAACTGTTGCTGTCCAACAGAGATCAACCGCCGCGATCTTGACCGGGTGGATCTCAGTGCGGAACTCTCCAGAAATTCCCAGGCCTGGAGTCCACTGCACTAGCCCCCTATGGGCTTGGTGGCCCTATAGAATGCCATTAGCGTTGACGTTAATGTCAGCGATTTCTACCGGCTATTTCCTGGACGTGTCACGCTCGAGTCGCTGCACACGCACGCCAACCGGATTCCAACAAAAGATCGTCCTCGAGCTTCCAGGCTGGTCCATCAGCCAACTTGAACGGCGACATCGCTGAATTCGGGCAAATTCCAACCGAAGTATCTGCTGTATTGTGCCTCGGTGAGGATTGTACTGTACAACGTATCGCATGAAGCCGAAAATGACATGTATCTTTATGCCTATCTCTAGACGGTTATTGTAAAAGTTATCCCATTGAGATAGAGACTACCATGATGTTGCAATGACGCTCCTCCCACCAGTCTTTTATGTTGCATCATGAGATACATTGCTCGCAAGCGAAATGCCTTCTAAACAGGCCCCTACAGCCCTTCGGACCAACGATGGCAGTCTTGCAGACCATAGCGAATTCAGGGCACCACCATCTCCTTTGCTGGCACGAATAGGAGCCAAGGACGGAATGGAAACAATGTAGCTCAGTCGACTTGGGTTCCATCGCACCCTATGCCCAGCACTACCACACAAATGCTATGGGTCACTAGCGGCGGCACCAGTGTGGTCCATGGAAACGGGCGAACTGCCGGCCATTGCCTATCATGGAACATGACAGTTGATATTGGCTGCGAGCCGAGTCACATCCCACCTCACTATCTTAGCCCGGCATGAGGTGTCCATCCACGGCTCCCGTCTTGACTCCTACCACGGTATGCTCTTCCCGCCGTTCAGACGTATGCGAACAGGAACAACGCCCATGAAACGACGGTGCCTTTGCTCGTGCAAACCTGGTACAACGCCTGTGTACAAAACAATCTGAAGAGACCTCGGCTCGTGAAGGGTTTGATAACATCGCAATTGTACCTACGGATAAAGTTACACAGTGTCCTGAGAGCGTGCGTGTTGATCTTCAGCCGTCCTCGTCTTAGTGCTCGAGCTAACTTTGACATGAGAACACCGGACAGGGCCGAGAAACCCACCATATCCCCAGATCTGGGAGCCAACCACATTCCCATGGCAGGTGGTTGATGATGCGGGTGACAGCCCCCTTCCAAGAGTTTTACCCCACAACGACGTTCCATGAGCTTGGGACGCTCCCAAGCCAATTCCTGACAACCCCCCAGGTTCTTGTCTCCAAGGCCATCCTCCCAGTGTCTTACTTCGCACCTCTCACAGCACAATATCCCCGACCTTACGGTGCCAATTGGGCTACACATGAGCTAGCGCCGCTCGCTCAATCAAAGTGACCATGGACAGAAGTGTTCCGTCTTGGCATTGCGAAACTTTCTCTTCGAGATCAAGAGCAGGGCCTCCGCCGCTGCAGTCTCGGTTCGGCATGGCAGGCTGTCTCCGCAAGATGGGCCAGCGCTTCCATAGGAAAACCATCACGCGCCAACCGAGTAGCAATAGGCGAGTTTTGCCTTACTGACAGGAGAAGAGTGGGTATGACGGGAAGAACCAGCCATCTTGGTGTGCTGCTCCCTCGGCTGGCGTGTTCTCACTTCTCAAAACACCTCCTTCTCGGGGTGCATGGACTCTCAAGTAGCTAACGTTCAGCCCTCCCCGATGTCTCAAGATTCCATCCATCCTGGACGTGGGAGTGGTTGTGTTGACGAGAGCTGAGTCCTGCATTCAAGGAGGGATGGGTCTGACGGATTGTAACAGCGTGTGTGCTGCTCACGCAACTGATCAGCTGCCAGCCGAGCCGTGTCCCTGATTTGCAAGCGAACATCAAGTGTAAAGCGTCGGGGTGGAGGGCAGCATCGGCGTGATCACCACAGTGACCACACCCTGAAAGCATCGAAGTAAGAAACGGCATGGGCCTCCAGAGCCATCTGGGACGCCTCGGCCAAGCGAAGACAAGACACGGTCTCGGTACGGAGGTTCCTGTTATTAATAACCTGACACTAAGCCCAACCCAGACCACTTCCGTGAGGAGGCCGGCACTGAACGCCTGCCAGTGGGCAATCCCGGGGCTCGTTGCAACTCCTCGGACGGTCGGGATCCGGAGAAGACCCGCCAGCGAGGTGGATCCCGGCGTGCGGCTTAAAGGCGGCTGTTCTCAAGGTCAACATTGAAGAAAGGACCTCCATGAGACCGCTTTGAGGGAGATAGTTGGCTCCACTGCTTCCCATTGTCCTACCAGTCTCATCAGTTTCGATTTTGGCAGGTATCGCAGTATCGCCGCTGTCTCACTCGGCAAGATCCTGTTCTGGGTGCAAGGCCCGCTGGAAGTGCAGGGTCGGACCAACAGCGAGAGAAGTGGCGCTCATCTGGCTGAGTTTACGCCTCCAGGTCGCATGCGGTAAACACCCCTCACCCCCTGCTGCTCCCCAGAAAATGGTAGCCTGGGTGTGGACCCGGCATCCCACAGCACGACGCTGGGGTGCACAACCTCTGGAGCATAACTTTTCTGCCCCCGATGTAGCGGGAACACAACGAGCGGGGAGGTTTGCCTTACTAGTTAGTCCAGAGACCAATGGGTGCGGCCTTTGCGGCTGCGATAATACTGCTTGTCCCGGACAGATGTTTGCAAAGGAAGATGAAGTGTCAAGAGTAGCTGGTACTTTGTACCGGACATCAAGATCGAGAGGAGAAGATGAGGGATGAGCCGGCAGGCAGATAACCCCTGTAGGATCAAGAGCAGGGGGCGGGCGGCATGTGGGACTTGTGAACGGAGGTTCCTGGAAACGGTCGGGAGGATTTCCGTTCATCAGACGCTGGCCAAAGCGCCTGCAACCTTTTCCCACGGCAGTCGCCCCCAAGGATCAGGGGGTGATTGAGTAGGCCAGGTTGAAGATGAACACCGACAACCACGACACCTGCGCAGGATGCACCCATCAGCATGAGAGCATGTCGCGGAAAGCTCAGCCAGCCAATCCCCTGTCTCAGTGCGTGCCGGTTTCTCATCGTCAACGGGTCAGGGCTGCTTGATGGATGGTTCTCATTGGATCGAAGGGTGGTTGCGTTACGTTGTAAGTCGGCGGCCAGGTGGTGTCCAGGACCAGCAGGGGGATTAATTTTTTTTCTTCCTATTGACAGGGAGGCCAAGGAGATTCAAGGTGTATCGTGGACATCGCAGTTTCGAGGTGCCGTAGTGGACATAGGGCTCTGTTTGCTGCATTTGCTGCCGACATGGCACGCCGCTTAGAGCCTTCACCTCCAAACACGATGATAATGAAACCGGCATCAATCGACAGGTCTGACCCTGGGTGACCTAGTCTGTACGGAGCAAGTAAGGTAAAAAAGCAGGAAAGCAGCCGCAACAAGCACTTTACGTTATGCATCAGGCTAGCATTTATGTTTCCCCACCTGACAACGTTGGAGGAGGTTCAGTCTCGCTGCCTCATTGTGAAAAGTTTCGCGTGTAAATCGGCATTCCTTCCTTCCCTGGTATGCCTGGCGCTCCCTGCATCCTCAGGCTTTATTAACTTCTGGTTTCCCCGGCTGGCTCTTTGCAGTCCCCGTCCCGCCATCCAACTTCTGCTTTCCATGCTCGTCCGCCTTTGCCTGTCGTTGCAGTCGCCTGATTTTCTCCATTTACGTTACCTAAGTCAAGTCGGTCGTTGTCTCTGCTACTTATTTGCATCGATACCCTTTTTATCTCTTACTTTTTTGACTGTGCCGTCGACGGTTGCTCTGTGATATCTCGGCCGGTTAGAGACATACAAACTACGGTTCGGTACATACAGCCGACGGAGCTGGCTCTTACCAATCTCCACTCGGGCTGCCGCGTGCCATCACGCAGCAAACAGATAAAACAGACAGACATCTTTCGTCCCGTCTTTTTGTCGGTGTGCAGGCTTGTGCTTCTGGCGTTGCTGGTGTTCTCTGCTCAGGGCAGCCAGACTTGCAAGTTGCTGTTTCCGTGCATTCATGCTCCATACGCGACGACACGGCCCCAGATTCGGCACCTCCTGCCTCCCATCGACGCCAAAAGTCCACTGACACACCTGCGCATCGTTTCTCCGGCATGTTCCGACCCGATTCGACTGCATATCTCCAGGTGTCGACGGGGTATGCGATCCCGCACGGCCTCCCCGATTACACATTCAACGAGACGCCATTACGCTTGAGCGACAGCAGAGATTCTGCTGCGGCAGGGGCCGTCGGCAGCTCGGCAAGTGCACTGCTCTACAACACGCCGCTGTTTAGTGACACGAGGAGCGCTGGCATTGGCCCCGCACCATCCGCCCTTGGCTCCTTCAACAACTTCCACTCCACCTCGTCCACCTCACCTGCCAACCCGACCATCTCAGCACGCTCGAGCCATCGACCTTCGCTACCTCTTTTGCTGAAGATGGAGCCAAACGCCGAAGATTTGGCAGCCCAAGAGGCTGCTGCCCGGGAATATCAGCCACATCTCGAGGTAACAAGTTCTCCATATTTCCTACCTTACCGTTGGGTCGTATCTTAACACCGGCACCCCGCTCACAACGTGCTGCGCGATGCACAGGGCCCGCTCGTTGGCAAGAAGACGCCCAGCACCGCCATCGCGGAGGAATATGCCAAGGCCGATCCGATCTATGTACAAAAGACTTTGGTGGGTAGTCGATGCGTATCCTGCTTGCAAAGCGCCAGGCGCGGGCTGACTGTGATGGCAGGTTCTCCCTCAGACATACTCGCATTACCGTCAGATTCAGGGCGACGGTAACTGCGGCTGGCGGGGTAAGCTTACCACACTCTTGGTCTTCACTGTAGATGTTTGGATGGCCCCGCTGACAGGAGCTGGCAGCAATTGGCTTCGGTTACTTTGAGATGTTGGTGAAGAGCGGCAACAAGACTCGGATCGAGACTGAGAGGCAGCGGCTGGAGGGCCTGAACGGCTTCATCGAGAACGTCGGAGGCTTCTCTCCCTATGTTTCCCAGGACTTTGTCGACGAGACATTGGCGCTTCTGCAGAAAATGGCAGAGCTAGTTGACCAGCAGGGCCAGGATCAAGCCATGACGGAGCTGCTGGAGGCGTTCAACACGCCCGAACTCTCCAACTCCATCATGTACCACTTCAGAATGCTGGCAAGCTCATTCCTTAAGGGCAACCGGGACACATATGGCGCCTTCGTCACCACCGCCTCGGGTGTCGACGGATACTGCACCGAAGTGCTTGAGCATCACGGCGTCGAACTTGATCATCTGGGCTTGACCTTGCTAGTCAATGTGCTCCTGAAAGATGCCGGTTTCGTCTTGGAGGTTGCCTATCTTGACCGGAGTCCCGGGTCCGAAGTCAACACGTACCGGTTCCCCGATGAAGCAAACAATCGCGACCCTTCGGAACTGGGTCCCATCATTCACCTTCTCTACCGCCCGGACCATTACGACATTCTGTACGTCCCGGAGCCGGTCAGCCTCCAAGTGCACCGCGTGGCCAGCTTCTCGCACAGCTATGAGATTGAGAGCTCACCCATGTCGATGCACAACTTCGGGGCTGTCGACATGCAGACGCTATCCCTCATTCCTGGATTCGGTGCCCCAGCTCCTGCTCTGGGATCCATGCTTGACACCTCTCCGTCACCGCTCACCACGTACAGCCCGAGCCCCGTGTCTCCCTGGTTATCCTCGGGTTACGTTGAGCCAGTACAACAGGCGCCGCCAGTACCACTTCCGATCCCAACGCCCACCCCGGCGCCGCAGACGCACCCCCTGCGTTTCAGCGAGTATTGTCAGCTCCGAGAGTACACCGACAACAATACGTGGCGTGAGCAGACGCTGCAGACGACAACATTCAAGAACAGCCACTTCAACGTGGCACACTACAACAATCCCAATTTTCAGCCAGAGGAGTACAAGCCCGGAGCCGACGACCACGACACGCCGCCGCGGCCCAGTGGGCGGAAGAGAGGCAGCGTATAGACTGGTTTGCAAGAGGGCTGGCTGTGCCAACCAGGATGAGGCCGATGGCCGTCAAGGGGGAGGGTTCGGCAAGCATGGGAGGACCTAATACCGACAGCAGCGGTCTCTAATCAAGGGCTTGTGGTTATCGAAGCGCGACGAATTCCTTGTTTCCCGCGGTCTGGCATCTCACTGCGCCTCGATCAGCTTTCACCAGCATGGCGGGCTTTTCAGCTCCAGCATTTCCCATCATCGCCGATTGGCCAGTACGGTTCGGCGACAGACGAGAGGATTGATTGAGACTTCGCCTCTCTAGGACTGTTCCTAGTACGATGTCAGATCAGCCCGGGCATATCATGCACCTGGTTCCCTGCGGATTGCTTGTCCCTCAATGGCCGTCGTCATCTCCGGGTTGGTCGAGCAGCAGGGAGTGGTTGGCAGTTTTCTCCGCTATCATCATGCATGGTGTTTTCGGAAGGCGTATGATGGTTCAGCTTCCATATGAATTTGTCGTCTAATTCTCGAAACTCTCAAGTGTTGCATCTGCAAGAGGTTACTTCGTGGGGTCAAAAAGGGGGCGAGGGGAAAAGCCAGGCCAGGGTTGGCTGATTGCAGGAACGGCAGGCGCAGAGAGGCTCCTAGGATCGGCGAGTCAAAAGCGGCTGGTTGGGGGCTATCTTGAAAGCTCGGGGATGACTGGCTCTACGGGAGACTCTGCGCATATCCCGCCGACTGTTACTTCTCGCGAGACAAGCAGCGGAAGTGGGCGCTGTGGTCCGCCTGGGCTCTGGAATGCGGCACGGGAGGAGAATCAACGGCATGCCTGCACTGCTTGACTGGTACAATACAACGCGTATGGTTGGCATTTGATGTGTCAGCCCTACCTCAGTTCGCCGACCCATTTTTGAAAGACTTGCAAAGCTTCGAGGTTCTGTATACCTGGGTATCTGTCCAGCCGCAGACTGGAGGGGATCAGTGACTAACGGATGGAGGCCACCCAACCCATCAATTCCTATCTGCACTTCTATTCGCAGCCCACGCTCCCCCCTTGCAACCGTGCAAGCCATTGGCTTTTACTAGTTGTTCTCCTGCCCCTGCCCTTGGAAACCCCTGTGAGTCAGGGGCCAGTGACGGCGCATGCGGCAGGCAATGCCATGCTTCGGGCTGAAACATGCAGCCAGTTTAAGGGACTGTAGCATACAAGGAACCCGGCAGCCAGCAAATGGCGTGCTCGTGATTGCTTAGCACTGCTGTTGCGTCGTCCTAATGCCTTACCAAAGGATATGGTTGTGCACCGACATCGGACGCTGTCATGGTTGACAAGTTCCCATGTAATCCGTACCTCTCTAGGTGCAAATGGTACAAACACTCTCAGGACCACGAACCGTTAGGGCTGCTTGCTGTGCCGCACAGGGAAACCGAGCACGGCTGGGTGCCGTACCCATCCTGGCGGCTGGACTCGGGATTGAAGCTTGGGCCACAGCCGCCACACAACGGTAGACCTAGAACCGCACGTCTGGTGTTGAGTAATCTGCTTGACCTTATGTCTCCCTTTACTACTGACGAACACCCACTCATGGATCATCCGTAGCATCATATTGTATCCTATATGTAGGCCCGCGATTTAGACAATCAATTTCTCCCTCCGTGTCAGCCCCCGCGAAACACATTCCTCATCTGTGCCAAATACTCCCTCTCAATGGCATCACCACTTTCAGCGCCCCGTTCTTCCACCAGGCTCTCCATCAGCCTCACTGCCTCCTCCTCATCCACCTTTTCCACCCCATCTTCTATCCCAAACCGCCTCGCCAACTCCTCCGCCCAAGCCCCTGCTACCGCCCTTTCCCTCCATAAACCAACAACAGCATCGCCATCCGGTTTCCTGGCTTCCTTCTCCCGCCGCAAGAGCAGCAGCTCATCCACCTCCCCGACACCGTTCCCCAGCTCGGCCGCAACGCACGTCACGCCCCGGCCCTCCAGCCCGCAGGCAACAATCCTCGCCCACGGATTCAGCCCCTCGTCGGCCACCCCGGGACCGGGCATGGCGATGTTAATCGCAGTGCCGAGCGCGGTGATGTGTCTCCGCAGGTGCACGCCTAGCGCGGCGATCTTGAATACTTCCTCCTCACCATTGGCATCATCCTCGTTCTGCCGTGGTCGAGACGACAACGAGGCGGGAGAAAGGTGATGGCGGACCCAAACACCAGGGTCGTCCGTCGTGAACGCCTCGAGGTGGAAGAATGTGGCGAGGGTGGCGATGGTGGTGGTCTCGAGCAGGCGGGCGTAGCATTTGACAGAGAAGTTCCTGTGGTGTGGGGATTTGAGGTCGAGGACGGGCCAGAGGACGACTTGGCCGGGTCCGTGGTAGGTTGTGAGCCCGCCGCGCGGGGAGTGGACTAGGTGGGGCGGAAGGAGGAGGATATCTTGCTGCTGCTGCTTTGTTGCCCCTGATTGTTGTTGTTGGGATGGTGGGGTGGATATTCGCAGCGGGGATGTTAGGCGTGCTACTTCGGCGGGGGTCAGGGGTGCGGTCTGTCGCCGGCCGAGGGTGTAGATGGGCGAGGGGGTGAAAGAGAGGAGGGTTGGTGGTGGTCGGGACGTGGTGGAGCCGTCTTTGAAGTCGAGGTGCTGTCGGCGGAGGTGCTCTTGCACGCGGCTGGCGAGGCTGTAAGGGATGTAGTGTGGGTGGATGCTGGGGAGGTGCAGGTGCCGGAGGCGGCATGGTACGGCCATGGGTGATGAATGATGAGATGGCGCCGAGTCGGTGCGACCTGAACTCGGCAGTCAAGGGCAAGGTCCGAGTTCCGGCAGGGTGGTCTTCGGTGTCTTTGGTTGGCTGCGATGGTCGGGGTCGGTGGGTGACTGAGACCGCCAGAGTCCCTTTCCCTTTCCGAGCCCGGCCCGGCTTGTTGGCTGGTTCAAGAAGCTTGTCTGCAATATCTGGTCTCGTTCAGTTGAAGTTAGTGCTCCACTCCATCCCGCTACTGTCCATGGTTTTTGTTGCGCGCGGTGGAGCCACAATCCGGCAAATGCCCAAGGCCGCGCTAGCTACTTCACGTTAGCTGCACGCCCTGTGGAGTTTCCGGCCAGGAACCGAACCGAAATCGGGGTCAGAATGGCAGTTCCGTTTCTGCTCCACTTTGTGTCCCGCAGCGGCTGTGACCGCGACCAGGGGCCGCACGTTCCCACCGCTCGGCGTTGTTTAAAAAATTGGTTCTGGGGCTCCCACTTTACTCTCTTTAGCCGGAGGGAAAGGTCCGAGAGGTCTCATATTGTCTCGGCAGTTGGTCTTGATGCAAAAACTGGCAGGTCGACGAGGATACCAGGACGGTTCTGACAGTAATACCGCGAAGGACTCCCTTCCCGCTTGTCGTCGTCGAGAAGATGTGAAACGTGGACGAAGGAATCGTCGGCTGGTCGATCGTTGCTCCGTCTTACCCTCGGCGACGCTTCATGGGAACGCTACATACTGCATCATCCATGCAAGGACGGAGCTCGGCCTGCATGAGACGATTGACCACACTCATTGCCGATGCATGGCGCAGGAGAGAAACCGGTTCGTGGAGGAACGCATAGTATCTGGACGTTATACCTCAAGAAGCAAGGCCATCGAACGCATGCCAGCACATATTACACTAGTACTGGAGGCTAAGGTAGCACCTTGCAGGCGCCTTCCTCTCGAGGGGTGCAGTGCGAAGGGGGTGCTGTTGGGACCGTTCATACTGGATGTACAGTTCCTGGTATTGTACAGACAACTACTGTTATACATGTCATGATGTACAGCTATACCTTCACCTCACGGTGCGCATGAACTTGGCATCCTCCCGCATGAACTCGGCGTCCTCCTTGTCTTCAGGATCCTCAACTTCATCAATGCCCATCTTCTGCAGTAAATCATCGATCTTGACCTTCTTCCCGCCCTTGGTCCTCCTCTCAACGGGCGCATAGCCACCGGGATGTCTTTCCGTTGTCCCGATCACGCCATACTGCGGATGCACATTGATATTCACAACTTTGGGCCTCTTCTTGTTCGCAGCTGCTGCTTCTCGGGAACGGACACCGCCGTCGCCGGGGTCCACGCCGCCCTTGCCAAGCCGGACCCGGCGGACGGTGCGTGTCTTGGCGCCGAGCGCCCACAGGTCGCCCCAGACGGCCTTGCGCGCATCGTGGTACGCCTGCTTGGAGAACGACTTGGGCACCACCCACCGCTCTATGTTGCCGGCAGGCGTGCAGAGGTCGAGCGTGACATGCCCGCGGCGCTTGAGGGGAGCGAGGATGTTGCGTGGCAGCGAAAGCGGGTGAGGGGGAGCGCCAAGGGAGTCTTCGTAGCCCGCGAAGGCCTTGTCGGTGGCGTCGCTGCCCTGTAAGAAGGTGAGCGCATCGGTAGACGAGGCGTCCGGTTGGGCGCCCCTGCGCACGGCAAGGTAGCTGAATTTGATGTCCTCGTGGCTGTGATGCGAGGCGCCGAGCACCTTCTGCAAGAAAGGTGGGCGGATGAACCGCTGGCTGAAGTGACAGAAGTCCTTGCGCCCCTGGCTCAGACCGGGAGTGAGGTACATCGGGCACTTGGTGTGGTTGGTGCACGGCGCGATTATCATGCCGGGCTCCCGCACCCGCTCGGCATCCGACTGGATCTCCTCTGCGCGCGGCTGCGGCGTAGGCGGGATGATGAACTCATCGAGGATGCGATCGCGCACGCTGGCTACAGCCTCGAAGCCGCGTGGGTGTCCTTTTTCCAGCACAATAAGAACACCGCCCTCCGGGGAGAGCATACTCCATAGGTTTTCCAGAAGCTCCTTGCGCTTGTACTCCTTCTCAAGGGGCATCAGCACGTGTGACGCGATGATGACATCGAAGACTTTACGGGGCGCAGGGCCGCCGCCAGAGTCAAGCTTGCGTTCGGAGCCTTCGATCGAGTGGATGTAGTCGGGCAGACGGGGAAGAAAAGTGGTGTTGTGCAAAAACCGAGAAACCCGCTGGCGCAGATTTTCCGACCCTACGACTACTGTCTTCTTGCCCGGAGGCGTCTCGCCCCTGACCTCCCCCTTTTCCCGAAGGACATCCCACCCAGCCTGGAGCACGTCTTGCCACGCAACCAGCCCCGCTCCGCCGGCGCCCACGTCCAGCACTCGCGGCCCAGTTCCATCGGGTCGAGTGATGAGGTCCTTTAACCACTTTTCACCGAGCCGTTTCCGCACCTCGACGAGGACGCTGGTGACTGATGCATACAGGCCCGGAAGCACAGTAGCGAGGTATGCATCGGCCTCGATTTGAGACATCCTGTGATGGCCAGCCTCCAATAGGATGCCCTTCTGAGGGAGATTCGACTTGGACTTGGGAGTCGCCGGGCCATACGGCAGTCCGGGGCCGCCAAGCACGCGTTCTGCAGTCTCGGTGATGTGTGCAATGTCCGTTCTGTTTAGCAGAGTAGTGATTGGTTCGACGAACGTCATCTTGGGAAGCTGCAGCGTGCTGGGGTTGGTTTTGAACTGGCCCATTCTCGTGTACTCGTGCAGTCGGGAACCACGTGGCTCGGCGTCTTCAAGAAAGGTCGCATCCGGCTCGCCCTCGTCCTCGTCAATCTCTTCTTCTTCGCGCGGCTCGTCCTCCTCAATGATGTTTTCTTCTTCTTGGATCTCCTCGGCTGGCTGCAGGGTTGCTGCTGCCTCAAAGTCGCGCTGTAGTTTCACCAGGGCTTCATACTCGCGCTGGTTGTTGGCCGACACATTGAGGTACTCGATTTGGGTGTCGGTGAGCGGGGGAACGCTGTAGGCGGTTTCGAGTGTCCCGGTTTCCTCGACGTCTTCCGGGGAACCTTGTTCTTGCACTTCTTCAGAGCCAATGGCTGTGGCGCGATCGAAGGTGTACTTGACCTCCTCCAGCACGCCCTCTGGGGTTTCCCTGAGCAGGGCATGCTGCTCCTCGACATCTCGCTCAGGAAACGGAATGCCAACATCCTCTGGCCGTGTTTCGCGAAGAGGCGGCCCGTATAACCTTTCGTAGACCTTGAGCTCGTCGGGCGTGAGGTAGTCGGCAGGCAGCGTGTTGCCGAACGTCTGTCTCGCCTGGCGCACGACTATCTCGATCTCTTCGAGCGTTGGCTGGCCACCTGCACTCGGTAACTGCGCGTCGACAATCTTGCCCGTTGGCTCCTGTCGGATTGGCGTGATCGTTGAAATTCGCCTGACTGAGTTGGTCCGCCAAGGGCGGGTGACTGTCGAGGCTGCCGCAGCGGACTGCACAGGCCGCTGAAGGAATGGGTGCGCGGTCGGCCTGCTGTGCCGCAGCAACAAAGCATCGTAGAAGCTCAGAATCTGAGCACGACACCCAGGGCACCGATTTTGCATTTTGCCGGCCGAAATCATGTTTGCTCCCAGGTGCTGTCTGTTCGGTGATGTGCAGAGTCTGTGGTGGGGGAGGCAACAGAGAAAAGAGTTCCACAGGGTCCAAGCTTTCAAGCGCGCATCAACCTCCCGCAGGGTCGTTGCACGTGACAGTCACTTGGGCCTAAAGTAGCAATATTGATGGACAAAACAAGTGATCCAGCTATAAGCCGTTTATACAGCAGGCCCAAATACTTTCGGGCAATGTAGACCATTGCGCAAGCTGAGCCTCCCATTACCGACCCGGTGACGCCCCAACTCCCAGCTTCCCAAAATTCATGAACTGTCTAGCCATCACCATCATGAGCTGCCCAAGTCAGCCAGCGTCTTGAACCCAGGACGGGCCGCTGGTTTCGCTCCACTCCCCGGCTGTACCCTCGGCGGAGGGTTGTTCCTGTTGAATGGCGAGTTCTCGGCCGCCTTGTAGGGATCGAGCTGCGACACGTTAGCATCGATCCACAACCCGGCCCGCAATGAGCCGTGATGGTTCTACTCACCGAGAAAAAGGAATAGAAATACAGCCCAAAGAAGGCAACCACGGCCTCCAAAAACCCTTTCAAATCCCACCCAGCAGACCTCCCAACCGTCGTCCTCCGCGTGCCAACTCCGCTACCACCAAGCCTCTGCCCTGCGCCTGAGAACGTCGAGTTCCCGCCAGGGACCGCGAGCTTGACCGCCTTCTCGACGGCGGCTGTCAGGGCGGGGGGGTTGGCGCCCTGGATGGTCTCAATGACAGTCCCGTTGCGCAGCACGAGGAAGGTCGGCATGGCGCGCACGCCGTGCTGCTGGGCGACGTCCTGCTGGCTGTCGACGTTGACCTTGCAGAAGGCGATCTTGTTGGGCTTGGAGTACTTGGTTGAGAGGGATTCGAAGGTCGGGGCGATCATCTTGCAGGGGCCGCACCAGTCGGCGTAGACTAGTGTCGGAGGCATCTGGTTAGCGATGGGATGGGGGTGGATGATTGCTGGAGAGGGAGGGCTTACAGTCAGCAATGACAATGGCGTGGGAGCTCAGAATTTGGCGCCATTGCGCCGACGAAGCGATACTGATCGTCATGTTGGGTTGAAGTGTGACGGTAAGTTCGGTATGCGTTGTTGAGTTGAACGTGGCATCGCAATTGTCAGCGGCGCGCAACCAATGGCATCGGGTGTGCCAAGGTGTCCAGATCTACGGGCGGAGCTAAGGGTTAGGGTTATGGATAGACAGCTTCATCACTTCAGCGATCACCAGTTCCCATTGCAAGGCGGTCAATTTTAAGTGAAATTCTGCCGATTCTCAGCACAAAACTTCCGAAGCCTTCAAGCAGCACGATTGCACGGCCTAATAACTGCAGTTTGGTACATTTTCGGCTTCAATTTGGGCATATTTTGATCAAAATGCCTCCTTCATATGAACATCAACCAAAAGTGAGTCTGCTCATACCCTACTGTTGGGTACGCATCGTCGCAAAGCTCACATTCAAGTCTCTTCTTCCTCGACCAAGGTACTTGAAATGTTGACACTAACATTGCCTGCAGAAACGTCGTCTCGACGCTGAGGACGGTAGCGATGTTCCCAACTTCAAGGCCCCGTCTCGGTTCAGGCCAACTGTCCCAAGGGAATGGACTATTTCCATCGCCGTGCCCACAAGCCTCATCACCGAGTAATAAGCGTCACACATTCAACCCTGTCTAAGTCCTTTACTAACTCCTCTCAGCTGCGTAACACGAGAGCAGAGAACAACAAATGTAGGCCGAATCGCTCGCGCACTGGCCATATTCTCAGTCGACGAGGTCGTCATATACGACGACAGCCCTATGGACAAGCGCATCACCAACGCCGACCCAGACGCCTACACCGGCGATGTCGACCCAGCCCACTTCATGGAGCACCTCCTGACCTATCTCGAGACTCCACCATTCATGCGCAAAATCCTCTTTCCTCTGCACCCGAATTTGAGATCCCAGGGTTTGCTTCCGAGTCTTGACATGCCCCATCACCCGCACAAGGACGAGTGGCTGCCGTACCGGGAGGGCATGACGCTGGAAGCACAACCGAAGGGAGGAAAGGGGTAAGTACCGTTGCACTCAGCGACCATAGACTGTCCGCTAACGAAGCTAGCACCGTCGTCGACATCGGCATGCCCAGCACAGTCACCGTAACCGAGTCGATTCCGCCCAAGACGCGGGTGACCCTCAAGATGCCCAATGACACCAATGGAATCCCTGAGCCAGTGCACCCGACCGCGCCCAGGACAGAGGCAGGATATTTTTGGGGCTACAGTGTCCGCAAAGCCTCATCGCTATCCAACGTTCTCACCGAAAGCCCGTACGAAGATGGTTACGACGTAAGCATCGGCACGTCGGAGCGCGGCGTGCCGCTCTCCAGAGCATTCCCCAGCTATGAACAAACCGACTTTAAGCACTTGCTGGTTGCCTTTGGTGGGCCAAGGGGGCTGGAATATGCCGCCATGAACGATCCTCAGCTTGGCGAGATGGGCATTGCGGGCGCGCGGACCAAGGAGTTGTTTGATCACTGGGTGAATGTACTGCCGAATCAAGGGACGAGAGGCATCAAGACAGATGAAGCCCTGTTGATAGCCTTGACCAGGCTGAGGAGGCTGTGGGATAGCAGCTGACATTGCCGTGCAGCTTCCCTGAAATGACCATGAGGATTTTCCATAGGACCCTTGCCGCCACGCCATGTGAATTATGGGTCATACTTGCGGGTTATTGCTGGGATATTTGGCTTGTTCTACCCGCATGCCCATCACCCGTCATACATGGGGTTAGTGGTTGCCATCGATGTCTTGAAGAGAGGTCAGTCCGGAGAAATTGAGCTTACAACAATAACCGTCCCTAGTTACATCCCACTCCTGGTTCCATTTCTTCTTTTTCAATCAGTTCTTTTCCCTTGACTTCGCTTATGGTCATCTTCCCTCTCTCCCTCTTTCTGACCAGGACACCGCTTGATCGGAATGCACATACCTACCTGTGTTGCTCTGGACATCGCCGACTTTCGGTACGCTACTGCGGACTCTCGACGCCACTCAGCCTAGCCACCCGCCCTTCCAAGGCCAAACCCGAAACCATTTATTTGTTGGCTCCCAGCCCCGCAAAAGGCTGCAGTACCAACCACATCGCCATCACCGTTCATGCCTCGCTTGCCATACCGCCGCCAACGTCTGACATGCTTTGCACTAAGGCAGCGGGCTTCCCGGCTGGCTCGGACAGGAAGCACGAAAAGGGAATAGATATCCTGGCGGGACGCAGCCTGTCGGTCCATCTGGGAGTGACGAGTGGTTAGCGTTGGCTGAGTGCTGCCGCTTGGCTGTTGCTAACTTGTATTACAGTAGCAGGGTCGTTCTTCAGACTTGTGCTGGAGTTGAACACCTGATGAATGAGTCCATCCGAATCCTTCACTTCTCGAGAGCCAGCCAGTCACGTCCTTCATCACACCCGGCCGCACGTGGAGGAAGAACTATGCAGCTCGATAGTGGTGGCTCCTCGGGACCTGACGTGGATGGTGTTCAGGCCAGCCCCCGAACCACCAAGACGAGATAACGGAATCCCAGAACCAAGAATCCACCCCATTCGGTCCTTCCCTCCGTTTCGAAACGTGCAGCAAAAGGCCAGCGGACCAGTGCGCCAATATCGCCCAGCTTTCTGCTGCTGAAAATAGGACGGCTTGTCGAGATCAGCGCGAGGACGAGAGCGACTTACATGGCGTATCTGTCGGCTACACGGTCCGCAACCCCGTTGCGCTCGCTTATACCCGCCTTTCTCAGTCATTCAGCCTCAATCTCATTCTTGTCGTTCTCTGCCGAAGGATCATGGCGGCATGAAGCTGACGAGAATGCTTCGTATCGTAAATCCCTCGCCACGAGCCAGCTAATAGCAATTGTGGTTCGACTGACGATTGCACGTACCAGTACATCCAGCTGACGGACATGACGATTGCATTCGGATACCACCCAACCATTTCGACGCCCCCGGCAAGCAGACAGTCAGGGACCAGAGGATGACGGCAGCTGCCAAAGGGGTGTGTTACCCGTGGTAGGTAAGACAACCGGCCCAGCCAGTGGGAAGAATCCAGCTATGGCTTGCTTGTTAGTAATTCAGGGAGCGAGCTCACGGTCAAATAGGACGACGGAAAAACAATCGAAAGAGAATCATCTGAGAACAAAAGAGAACGAAGAGAAGAAGGAAAAAGCCTGCTACTTTCCAAGCCGAGATGAACCTTGGTACCTGGTGGCCAAGAGGTCTTACTTTCTGGAGCGTCGCCTTCCAAACAACCCGGAGGTGGATTCTACTTACACCGCATCCCCACCAGTTCGTGTACCGTACCCGGCTAGTTGGTGCCGCAATGGGAAGCACGGGCCCCTGTAGGTTGAATATCCTGCACCTCGCTGCCGCGAGTTTTGTTTGTAGCTCCTTGAGCTACGTCTTGATAATCAAGCCTGCCCGTACCTGACAAAATAGAGCCTAGACTGTAGCTTAGCCCGAATACAATTGTCATTGGATTGTCCGCCTGTCCCGCTGTGACAGAGAGCCTGTGTGTGTCACCTTACAGATACGCTCGCAGAGAGATCTATACAGGGTTTTGGACAGCAACAGGTACAGGCTCGAATAGGCATAGACCAACTAGGTGACACTGCATCAATTGAGGCACAAGATGAAGCTTGAATTGGCTGTCTGAACCATGCGTCATGTGTGTGTGTTGCTTGAAAGAACCGAGGGCTTCGGGACCCTCGCCAGACCCTGCTTTTGGGTGGGTGACGTGTCTTCCACGCTTACTGCATTGGGCAACCGTACCCAGCCCCTGAATCCAGGTGCCAAGGAGCCAGTTCAGTTCAACACAGGGCTCTCAACAGGTGGGAGAACAAAGAGAGAAGGCTTGCAAGGAAGGTGATTAGGTGGCTACTATGCTCTGAAAGGCTTCTGGAGTATAGGCTAGCTACACGGCTAGAACTAGGCTAGTTCGATGGCCTAGTTCGTCATCTACGCCTTTCTTTGCGCTATAGCAGGTGTCACGAGCGTTGCCCGTGACAGGGTTAGGGCTGCATTATAGATCAGATAAGAGTCTTAGGCGAGAGCTAGTGCTCCACCTCTTTGGTCAGTGCGCAGCCCCACCTTGCCCTGCAGGGTTTTCCCACAGCTGCGCATAGTGTAACGGTCCCAGGAGTATATTGCAACTAGCTGGTGACGACTCTACGAGTTTGTCTCGAATGGAGAGAAGAAGAAGAAAAAGAGTGAAAGACTATGCAAGATATCTGCCGTCTTATACCTCCACATCCTTGGCCTGTGCGCTGATATCGAACAAGATAGTCCACCGAATCTCGAGTGTTGGCCGAGAGTTTGCCGAGGCCTTCACGGGCCCAGCCCGTTACACATAGCCTATAGAGTTTTAGTTCCTTATGCGATCTTATTAATACTACCAGCTCCCCTAGTATTACCTGTCACCACCTATGATAATGGGTGAATTCAAGACTTCAGACTGATATAAGAGAGACAGAGGTTTTTAGTCTAGCCTTACAAGCATAGTTTTCCTTTGTAATTAGTAATAGAAGGTCCGGCGATGTGACGAATTTCAAAGCCCCAACTTCTGAAAGGGACTCCTGAAGGTTATACTTGACAACGGGGTGAGGTTCGGTGAAGCCAAAGGGTTCACAACAAGCGATGTCCAAGGGTACTGACAATCTTGCACTTGAGTTGCTTACTGGAGAACTCCCAGAGTCCTCCAGAACGAGTGACTATATACTAGATGCATTTGGTTGCTCTCTCGTGCTCTCTAGAGCCACCTAGAGCCAATGCTCTATGGTGCTCTCGAGAGCCTCTTAGAGCGTCCTCTGATTGGCCTTGCACTGGTGCTCTCTCATGCTCCTGAGAGCTCTCTGGAGCACCTCTAGGACTCGTTCCGATTGGTCCTAAGTGATTGGCTCGGAACGTCCTACGTTCCCCACTGGCTTCTGTAAGTAAGCCGCCGTTGTTGACTCTCGTTGGTTCATTTGTGACAGGCGAGCTCTAAGGCATAGCAGTATAGGAATAATAATAATAAGTTACTAATTAAACTCAAGTAGATTAGTCGTTAAGTTAAAAGCAATAGAGGAATAGTAACCTATATTTAGCTGAGAGCACTATAATTAGTAATATAATATAGCTTATCGAGCTTTCGACGTGTAGGAAAGCTAACAGCCACAATTCCACGTTGACACACTTTATGGAAGCCGTGAAAACAGTGAACTCCTCGAGTGCTTAGCACCAGCCCAGAATCTGTCGATTGAGTTCTCTTCGTCTCCTCAAGTTATCTGAGTACCTCGCAGACCTTATGTAACAGCTGTGTATTACCCCTGACCAGGGTACGACACCGGCAACCCAGTTCCCGAGTTTCAAGTGCCATCACTTCCAACACGACCGAAGACTTCAGGCTAACTGCTGGCAACCAGAAGAGGCTTGGAAGACCTATCTATAGTGGGCCGAATCTACGGATTAGAGGGATAGTCTTTGCCGGAGAAAAGATCGAGCTGATCCACTTCAACAAAGGTGTTGGATTTGGCAGGTGGTCAGGGAGGGCAGTTCAGGAGTGACTAATTGCTTGGCACCTGGTTCAGAATCAGAACAAGGCCTGCAACGGTTTTGGAACAACGAAGACACCAGGATGATCATCAATTGAGTGGTTGCCCATTTTTCGGTCCCCAATTACTACGGTGCGGTAAATTCGTGGCTGTTGGCTTTCCAACACATATGTATGTACTAACAACTCGCCGCAAATGAGATAGGAAACTGTAGCTCATTACAATGAGCCGCTTATTTTGTTGAGCCGCCCATTAGCGGGCAATGGTCGGCTCCCCGAACCCCCCTGCACCTGGTAAGCAACGTCGGATTGTGTGTGACATGTCAGTCACTGTGTGATGCGAGGGAGCGGGTGGCACCAATGGGCTCTCCAGACGCTGTCAGATGTCGGATGGGTCACACAGCACGGTTGTCGCTGATGTTACACAGCAGTGTGACGATAAGAGAGGCCTTTTGAGATCCTGTATCCTTAAGGTGGCCAGTGTTCAACAGCGTCGTCTCCTGACTCGGGCCCTGGGCGCTGGTAGCCGGTGGGATGCTTACGGTCTGTCGGGCGATGTTTGAATGAGTCGAGCCGGGCTTACATCCAACCAATTCTGTTCATAGTAGGTGTTGTTGCTCGGGTCGAAGGCTTATTCTAATATCGGACATCAACGTAGAATAGTTCGAGGCCAATTTTCCCCCCCAAAGGCCTCTCCGGTCTCCATCCATCTGCTCAGGCTCCGTGTCGCCTCGAGCTACAGCATTTCAGGCGCCTTTGCAACCGTGACGGGTTGTGGCCGCCGTGGAGGTGCGCAGTGGGTACATTGGGTTTGATTGAGACGCAATGCGATACAGTTGAAGTAGTCCGGGTGCAGCAGATCAGCGCATGTGTATGTGGTGATATTGGGCGTGAGAGCCGTTTGGGATCCGAGCAGCCAAAGAGTTATTAGACCTCAGCCTGGACCCACGAGCGGAAGAATTCCAAGTCTTGTCTCGTCGTGCGCCTCTGACCTCCCGACCCCATCAGGCTTGCTGTTAGCTAACCCCAACCGAATGTAAGCAATGTCATATCGTTGTGTTGGGCAAGTGGCATGATCATGCAATAATGTATCGCAGTGTCTGTGGTCGGAAGGAGAGATAGCACAAACAAAACGAGTATGACAAGCATGATGGGGATGATGGGGATGTCGAGGTTGAAAGAAAATGGGAAGACGTTTGAAACACCAAAGTATGAGAATACAGTATGCAGAGTAACTATATATTGCGTAGGTAAGAATTGCAGAAGCTCACTGACCAGCCCTGGACTCGTTACTGGGTGGTCAGCTACGAAGAACCCGTGGGTTTTTACTTCGGTTCACTCAAATGAGCTCCGATCTGGTGTGCGTGGAGTCTGCGGGTACCGCTTCCTGCTCCTTCGACCTGGATTTGAACTGGCGAACCTCTCTAAGTTGAAAGCCAGCCAAATCCACGGATTCCGGCGTCCTCCAGTGACCATTGCGCCAAAGCGCTTGGTCACTGTCAGCTGGTAACATGAGGGAATGTGGACCTCCTATATCAAGCCCGGTCTGCTTCCCAGGGGTCGCTTGCCATATGATAACGTAACCTTGAAGCCTGCATACATGATGACGAGCAAAACAGGCACCACGCGCACGATGCCATCGCGCGTTGCTGTCGCGCGTCGCCAATGTCACAAGCCAAATATACACCATTATACATCGCCCGCGCTTCTCAGACTCAGAACTTCGTGTGTGCCTCTTCCTGGTTCCCACCCAGCGGTCCTCCATCCCCAAGCACAAATCCTCCCCCTTTCTTCCCCTTCCCGCCAACAAACAATGCCTCGGCGACGACCGTCACCGACCCCGTCACCGCATCCTCAACCGTCGCATCAACCCAGCACTTATAATGCCTCTTGCCCCTTTCCTCCAGCGGCAATTCCTCCTCACTGCGCACCTTGCACCTCACCACATAGAACCCATTCGCCATAGTCATCTTTTTATACTCCAACCCCAGATTCGCCGTCACGCCGGGCCGCCCACCCCACTCCTTGAAGGCCGCGCGCCCACAACTCTCATCCAAAATCGTCGCCAGACACCCGCCATGCACAACCCCGGGCCAACCCGTCGTCCCGTTCCCAAAGTAAATCACACTCACCATCTCCCCCGTTCCCTTATTCCAGAACACCCTCTGATACCCGCCAACCCCTCTCACGCCGGTCAGCGCCCCGGCGCTGATATGCCGCGCCCGGTGCTGCGGCGACAGCGTCTCGTACGCGTCCCACGACTCCCACGTCGCCGGTTCCGAGCTCAGCCGCTGCACGACGGGCAGCTTGGCGGCCTGCTCGTGCAAGACGCGCATCATGTAGGCATCCACCTCGGAGCCTGGCTCGGGCGGGGGCGGCGGGGAGAAGAGGAGGCGCAGGGAGGAGCCTGCTGAGAGGCCTAGGACAGTGCATGTGACGGCGAGGATGAGGCGCGGCGCGAGGCGGTTCTTCTTTTTCGGGTTGTCGTGTTCAGTTGGGGCCGGGGATCGTTCGGGAGGAGTTTCGGTCGGGATGGGGCCGACGGGTTCGGATGGCACTGTCGAGGGTGCTCCAGGGACGAGAGGCTGTCTTGGTTCCTGCTGTTTGCATGGCGTGTTTGAAAGAGGCTGAAGTCGACGAGATTGGGGAGTCGCAATGAAGGGAATTGTATGGAGGAGTCCAGCGAGGAGGAACCCCCCCCTCTGACGCCGGGCCAGCCTCAAGAAGTGACGGCACTGTAACCCAAGAAGCATGGCACCTGTTGTACGTCTTGGGTATGACAGGAGTCCGGAGGACGTTGCGGGTTCAAATTAAGCTTTAAGGTCCCTAGGCGGCCCGGGTCCGCATTGCGGAACCCAGGATTGCCCCGCTGATCTCATTGGTCAATTTCTACCGTTCCCAGGAATCGGTGGGGAGAAATGTGAGAACTCGTCTTTGGCTCTTTTTAGTGTTTGCGCCATCGCCTCCATCCCCTTCTGTGTTAATCCTGAAGACAGGTCCAGGACCATCCTGATGAGGCCTGTGTGACGGCGTGGCCATCAGTACGTTAGATACTGACTCGAAATCACAATGGACCTCATTGTCGGCCTCTAAGGATCCAGCTGAGAACTTCAACGGGAGTCGGGAGGTCGGGAGCGGTGTGCAACGGTCCGTACCGATTCCATTCAAGGTTGAAATTCAAGTCGTGTATACAACGTTGTTTACGTTGCTCGAATGCCAAGGACCAATTGCTCCCAGCTAAACCAGGGCCGAACCTCTCACTGTCATTGTATGAAGGTGGTCAGGAACGCTTGATAACCTCAAGCTTTCCCGTAATCCTCCGTTCCCAAAAATATTGCTTGCTTAAACACTCCAGAAGAATGTGGCATCCATCCATGTGTAAGGTAAAATGGAATACCAATATCGGTCTATCGTCCATTTCAATGCCATGCGTATATCTAGCGCCTGCGGTTCTCTCAAGGGAATCGGATGAGGCGGCCTTGGAAGATGGCTTGCTTGGTCCGACGTGTAGCGGCTACTGAAACTTTGAGCGGGTTTCGTCTCATGCTAATAGAGCACTCACTCAATTGTTCATAAACATGCCTTGTATGTACTCGGGCAATGCCCGCACAAACGCAACCTGATCTCCAAACGCCAGTGCTCAAGTAAAACTCCAATCCCGCCCACCAACAATGGCACGCAACGGGAACAATATGGGATGGTTACCCAGCATCGCTGCTTCAAGCATCTCTTGTGAGCGCGCCCAGACTATTCGGCCGTCCCAGCCCCTTCTGCTTCCTCAAATAGAACCAGAACTGTCCCGGCCTTGCAGATATCCTATGGCTCCGTTAGCATGCTGCTTGTCGTGTTGGATGTGTGAAGGTCTTACCCCTTCCGTATGTGCCAATTTCTTAACAACACCCTTCTGCGGCGACCGGATGACCGTCTCCATCTTCATAGATTCAATCCTATGAATCTCATTGTCAGAAACTCTCAGTCTCATCCGCGGGGAGGCCAGACTTACACAACAAGCGGTGTTCCCTTATCCACCTCTTGTCCCTCGGCCACCTCATTCCTCAGAATCTTGCACGGCATGGGTGCTGCGACGCTGCCAACAATCTCCTTCAGGCCCAATGCCTTGTCATACCAGCCAGGCGGCACCAGCGTCAGCTCCGTCTTCTCCCCGAGCTGGAACACAGTCAGCCTTTCTGGGGCAGCCGGGTCCTGCACAAGAGTTGACTCGACGCGGGCCATAGGGAAGAAGGTCGTTAGCTTTGTCTTGAACGAAGTCGCAAGCGACGACTCGCAGACGACGTTCTCAAACACCACCGGTGTCTGGGTGTTGTTCCGCGAGATAGACACGCTGAAGAGCGCATTCCCTTGCTGGGCGACCTCCACCTGGACGATCTCGGCCTCGCTTTCGTCGGTCGCAGCATCGTTCCGCACCCGGAAGGCGAATTTTCGCCGGCTCTGGAGTCCGGTCTCGCCAAAGCCGAGTGTCCCCCGGTGTGGCCCGGACGTGACACTCGACTGGATCTGCGCGCTGAGCAGGCCCAGCGCAGCCTGAGCAAACACCTCGTTAGAGACATTCCGAGGCTGGAAGAGCTCGTCCTTCCACTGCTCGATGAATCCAGTCTCAACGTCCCCGTCAATAAAGGCCTGGCTGCGGCACAGACGCTTCAGGAATTCGATGTTCGTACTGAGACCGACAACCTCATATTCCCGTAGGGCGAGCTCCATTTTGCGGATCGCAGTCTCTCGATCTCGGCCACGCACTATCAGCTTGGCAATCATGCCGTCGTAGGCCTCGGAGACGGTATCTCCCTCCACAAACCCAGCATCAATGCGCACGTCGGCGTTCGTCTTGGGCGTGACGAGATGCACCAGCTTGCCCGAGTCGGGGAAAAAGCCCTTGTCCGGGTTCTCAGCGTAGATGCGGGCCTCGATGGCGGCGCCGCGCTCGAGGATACGCGCCTCGATCTGGTTCTGCGTTAGGGGCAGCCGCTCACCGGCGGCGACGCGAAACTGCCACTCGACCAGGTCGGTGCCGGTGACCATCTCGCTCACGGGGTGCTCGACTTGCAGGCGTGTGTTCATCTCCATGAAGTAGAACTCGCCCGTGTCCTTGTCGAGGATGAACTCGACCGTCCCGGCTCCGACATAGCCCACCGCAAGCGCAGCAGTCCTCGCCTTGTCCCATAGATCATGCCTCGTAGCATCGTCCAGCAACGGCGCCGGGCTCTCCTCGAGTATCTTCTGGTGCCGCCTCTGCACACTACAGTCGCGCTCGCCCAGCGCAACGCAGTTCCCGTACCGATCCGCAAACACCTGCACCTCCACATGCCTCGGCCGCACAACATACTTCTCCACCAACATCACCTCCCCGCCATCACCAAAACTCGCCCTCGCCTCGGCACGCGCGCTCCTCAGCTGCGCCTCAAACTCTTCGTCCGTCCTCACAATCCGCATCCCCTTCCCTCCCCCGCCCTTCACACTCTTCAACAGCACGGGGTACCTGATCTCCCTCGCTCGCGCCCGCAGCTGCTCGGGCGCTTGCTCCGGGCCGTGATACCCGGGCACGCAGGGCACGCCCGCGGCGGTCATGATCTCCTTGCTCCGTGCCTTGTCGCCCATGTCGGCCATGGCCTTTGCCGGGGGGCCGACAAACACGATTCCCGCGTCCTCACACGCCTGCGCGAAAGCCGCATTCTCGGAGAGGAAGCCGTACCCCGGGTGCAGGGCCTGGATGCCATGCTGCTTGGCGAGTTGGACGATGAGAGCGCCGTCGAGGTAGCCCGAGGCGGCGCCTAGTGCAATGGAATGCGGGAAGCACTTGGCGTGCTGCGAGCCGGCGTCAACGTCGGTGTAGAGGGTTGTCGTGCGGATGCCCATCTCGGCGGCAGTGCGAGCGATGCGCAGGGCGATCTCGCCGCGGTTGGCGATCAAGAGCGACTTGATGGGGGTGACGGCTGTGGTGGTGTTGGAGCCGGCAGGGTGAGTCGATATTGAGCGACCAGTTGGGCGCTGAAGTATTAGGGGGGAGGAGGTAGCGCTGAGGGGTGCCCGAAGGCGGTGCGAAGATCGTTTGAGGGAGCGCATCGTGATGTTGTGTGGTGGATGAACACGCGCAAGAGGGCCAATAGCTCATGGACGGGTTGAACAGCTAGGGAAAGAGGAAAGCAAGAGGGATTGACAATCGAATTCCAAAGTCTGTCGGGTGTTAATTGCTATCTAAGACGTTCCTGAGGAGAGAACGCCGACAGTAGCCGTGGACCCCTGTTTCCCGAACCAAGAACCCGGCTTTGGACGGAACCCGTGACCTGCGAGGCGCCTAGAGGAACCTGGATGTGTTCAAGAGAAGAGGGATCTGTATTCGTATGTGATGCTTTTCAATGGTATCGCTTCAGTATCCTACACAGAAATGCATTGTTGACCCTCTCTCGGGACCTGGAAAGGAGAGAAGGAGAAGCCTCCCAAGTCCCATACCTTTGGGAGTGCATAACGTCACAGCATGCTGCTCTGGGATGACAGGGATCACTTAGCGCTTTCCCCGCATTACATTTAGTAAACCCCTCGTGGAAACTGAGGTGGAAGGCTGCTTTTCCCCACCTTGCGTTTCAACCTGACAGACGCAAGCTTTGAACCACCATTGGTCTTAAGAGACGACAAAAACACCTTACCTCACGGAGCACGATCAAAATTGTTGTTGACTCAATTACCGCGGCTACAGAGTTATCTGCGTACAGTCGAGAACCACCACCACTGAGGCAAAAATAGTTCAACTCCTGTTCTCGTTCACCAAGCGACAGGACGATATCACCAAACCCCACCAAGTACCACCATCCGCAGTAGACCATCCGCAGTAGACCATCCGCAGTAGACCACCACGACCATGGAGCAGCAAATACCTCTTAGCCATGAGCCCTCCGCCGGAGACACCAACATGCGGGTGGCAACCTCCCTTCCGCACGAGGTCGTCCAATGTCTCGAGAACGCGCGCTTCCTCCACCTTGCCACGTGCTCCGACAACATCCCCCACGTCTCGCTCATGAACTACACTTACCTGCCTTCCTCGCCCTATTCGCGCTCTCCCGTCATCGTCATGACGACCAATCCAGCCAGCAAGAAGATGAACAATCTCACTAGCAACCACAACGTCTCCTTGCTCGTCCACGACTGTACTTGGCCCCCTGCTCGCCTCTAATCTTAACTCAGGATGATGATGGACTAACAATCGACTGCAAAAGGGGTCTCGCACCGTCCAACGCCCACCTCCCAAGCGCGCCGCCTCTCCTCCGACGCCGGGTCCTCCCGCTCGCCGAACCGGGAGCCCCACTCGTCCCTCGCCGCCCTGCTCTTCAACCTTAACACGTCAGCCGTGTCCTCCATCAGCGCCACCATCAACGGCTCCGCACGCCTGGTCGAGCGTGGCTCGGACGAGGAGAAGTACTACCGGGATGTGCACCTAGAGAACAACACATTTGACAACATCGTCGACACCGGCCTCTTCGGTGCTGGCGCAGACCGCGCCGAGGGCGAGAGCGACACTGCGCATAGGTTTGCGGCGGGCGATGATGTGCGGGTCATTGTGGTTGGGATACGGGATGTCAGGATTGCGGATCGGAAAGGGGCGGTAAGAGACTGGGTTATTGCCGAGCCGGGAGCGGAGCCGGTGGTCAATGGTGTACGGTGATGTTTGCAGGTTGTTGCGGTCATCGAGTTGGGGGTGGTATCCAGAAACGAAAATGCAAGAGCAAAGCTCATCGGCTAACCCTCTTCGCGGTCGAAGAGAGGTAGCCGGTCAACAATTCTTAGGGAGGGTTTGCTTCGGTGGGAGACGAGGGAAGCGGCGTGATTTTCGGCCCGGGCCCGGGCGCGAAATCGGGTCTGACCACCCCTGACTGTTGTGGTCGGTGAGATAGGGAACTGAACCTTGTATACTAATCAATGACGCTCTGGGCGACTTTGATACTTGATCGAGCCGAGATAAACTTAACATCTTGTTTTAGAAGTCACCTGTATGCAGGCATACAAAACGGAATTTGAAGCTGAAACTTCCGCTGTTGCTCCCTCTATTGCTCTGTGCTCTCCAAGACTTCACGATCACAAACGATCTTCCTTATTCTCCCGCTACTCCCCGGCCAGCCAACAACTGAGTGGTCATGTCAAGCAGCTCATCAGATTGCTCAACTTGAAGAAGGGAATAGATGTACGGATTGGCACCATCAAGAGAGGAGCAGCACAAGAACGCTCAACTCAGCTGCTCATTTCTCTCATCCAATCTACCTTCCGCCCCAGGCTATTCCTGTTAATAATGACACAAAGCGTCCTCCCTGCTCGCCCAAAAGCAATGCCTGAACCCAGCATTCCAATTTGCTCATCTTTTTCAATGTTCCATTCTCCGTGTGCCCGTCTTCCCAGCAAAGCATACACATGCCTAAAAACACGCCAGCTTTTGTTCAGGACGGACAAGGTCACTCACAACCATCCACCGACTTCTGTGTCATGTCACAGGCCGCAGCACCTCAGAGAAACACAGCCTATAAAACCAGAGGAATGAACACACTCGACCCATCAACGCCGCCAATGCAAAATCCGGAATTGCCATCCGCCAGCCATAAAGTCCAGGTTTGAGAAACGCACTGTTGAACGGCCAATCTGCTATCAGCTTCTGTGAAAGAAAGTACTTCACTTGGCCCACTCCACCACCTCCAGCGCACAGAGTACCAGGATAAGCGTCGACGGCAAAATCCTATCGATAGTCAGTTGGCTCTCCTTCTTAGCACGGCAGAGACGGCAGAGCGAAACTCACCATAGAACATAACTCTGAAACAGAATCTTGCCCATGACCGTTTCAAACACATTGTTAATCTGGCAAATCTGCGCCAGCTGCAGCGCGCTGGGCGCGCCGGTGAGGAGGAAGCAGACAATCACGAAAATTGGGTCGTCCAGGATGCTGACGGGCACGTACTTGGCGAACAGGGCCAGGACGGGCGCCATGATGAGCGTGGGCAGCAGCATGCGGCTGATGAGGCTGGCGACGAGCAGGCGCGTGCCGATCTGCTTCTCCTCCGGGTCCGCCTCCTCGCCGCTCACCTGCGTGTTGCGCGCCAGGTTGGCGCCGAGGACGACCAGGATGAGAGGCACCGCGACGCCGGCCGAGGAGCTGATGGCGCTCGTGACGGACGTCTTGATGAATGACCCTTCGCGGAAGAAGAGTGCCTGCAGGTCTGGAACGGAGGCGACGAGAACGGCGAGGAGCATAGCCCAGAGGGGCGGGTTCATAAACTCCCAGATGAACTTGTAGACACGCTGCCAAATGCGGTGGAGCATGCGCAGTGTGTTTCGAACGGGCCTCGGCAGTGTGTCGTATCCGCGCCGGCCAGTCGTGCGCAGGTAGTTCGAGGCTTTAAGCTCTGTCCTCCTAAGAAACTGCCTGATTCTCACTGGGATGCCCTTGATGCCTGGCGGCGCCTCGAACTCGTCGGTGTTGCGGATACGCGGGAAAGATTGGATCCTGTCGAGGTTGTTGTCGTCCACATTGGCATTCGCCCCAAGATCGGTTAAATACCGCTTCGCGTTCGCTTTCCATACCGCGCCATGCTCGTCCTCCGAGTCATGCGGCGACGCCCCGGAAGACCCGCCCACAGGCGTCCGACCAGCAGGATAATATGCTTGCGAATCGTCGGTATGTGTCGGGCTCGAGGGGCGATGGTACTCATGGCCACCCGTCTCGTCAACAATGTCGGCGCCTTGAAGTAGCCCTTCCGTTTCGCCGTCGTTCTGCGCTTCCTCGCTGTGACGGCGACCTTCCTCGATGGTCTGGTCAGCGTACTCGGGGTAACTGGACTTCGGCGCCAGTAACACATGGTATCCCCAGCTCCACCTGACCAGCTGGCCGAGCTGCTGAAACACCATCAGGTAGAGAATGCCACGTGCTGCTACCTCATCGTCATTGTCGCCCGGTATCCTATCCCAATGGAGGCCCTTCAATGTCTGCGACAGCGAGATGACGAGGGAGATGGGGAGCGAGTTGGAGTTTCCAAACACGCCCATGGCCGTGACGAAATTGGAGGCGCGGCGGTTGAACCCGAAGCATCTTGCCACGATCCGGGAGACGAGGTACGAGACTAATGTTTGGATGACGAAGATGATGGGAATGATGCCGAGCTCAACCAGCTTGTCGGCATTGAGCTGCGATGCGAGTTTGGTGAAGACTGGACTCCTATTGTTAGTGCTCAGATGCACAAAAACAAAAGACCCAAAAACCATGTAAAGCATACTCAAACATGGCGTAAACAGCATAACATTCAGATTGGCGAGGAACTTCTGCTTATCCGCGTCGAAGTGGCCGAGGCGCGCAATGATGTATCCGGGCAGACTGACGCACACCACTTCCAGCACCGCGCCAAAGACAAGCAGCACCAAATTGTCGATGGATGGATGGGAATCATGCGGTTTCTTCTTGAAAACGACGAAGGGCGAGGGCGCCGTCATCAATGCTGGATCCCAGGCCTCGCCGGCGGCCGACATGGCCAGCCGCAATGACGTCGGCGCCCGAAAGTCGAGTAAACCCATCAAGCGTCCCTTGTTGCTGTTTCGGTATCTAGGGGTGATATCGGGGATGGTGAGGCAAAAATGAGATGCTAGAGGAGAGATGGAGCACGGTCAGTCCTCTATGGGGCGTTTGCGATGCGATGCTGTAATGGGCGGCGGCGAGGGCACAGTCTCTTTCCTGTTATGAGACACGGCAGGGTAGGATTGGCGAAGCTTGTCTTGGAGGTGCTCCGTGCTGAGCATCAAGTTAACACTGCAAGAGGGACAAAGGAAAGTTGATGAAGCGCTTGTCAATTAATAAGCTGGGATGATTCTCTGTAATAGGGAAAACAACATGCAGGACGCCCAGAATAAAGCAATCATCGCCAGACTTGTCTCAAACGCAATGGCCAAAAGAACTGGCGTGTTTTTGGTGATAGGAGTCGACCAGAGCGGGCCAACAAGCTGCGCACCCGAAGGCTGGAAGCAGGTTAAGAAACACCTAACTCTGCTCGCACTATCTGGCAGCAACCAAGTTACGCATTAACAGAATCCGGTCGCTCCATCTTGGCTGTGCTCCGTGGCGTGTTGCCAGATTTCCTGCCAAGACAATGCCAAGACCCTAACAGGACGCTTGGATCGCGAAAACTGTGGCAGCAATGACGTTTCTTGGGGTCACAAAGAGAGCGGGCGAAGTCTCCCGGCCCTGGCTCCGTGACATCGGGATGCAGGCACTGGCAGCCCATGGTAGGTAGGTTGAAGTTGGTCACTTGGCAACGAAACCCCATGACTTTGCAAAGGCATGGCCCTTTACTGTGGAAGAGTCCCTCTCTATCAAGTTGAAGAGCGTACACAGCCTTGGGTTCGAGAACTTCCGTCTTCATGAAACGTGGTTCTGACTCGCCCGTTGGTTGGCTCCTCTTGCTACACAAACTCCCCGTCTCAATGCGGACAGTCGAGCCAGTTTGGCCATGGCTTCACTCAGCTGAGAAGCAGAACGCACACCATCAGGACTAACATCAACCGATGCATGGCGAAAAGCGAGAACATAGCACGTGTACTCAGTATCCGTAGAAACAGGTTTCTCTATGTACAGACTTCTAGATAGTGCAAATTCTCGCTTGTCCCGCCCTCGTTTTTTCTCGTTGTCAGCTTTCCTCGCTGATTGCTGGTTTCGAGACAACAATCTCACAAACGAGGCGCTAGTCAACGAACGACGAGTCTACTGTAACCGATATGACACCTCGGACATGTACGGGGTACGGAGTAGTGTGGCGGCATCGGCTTGGGTTGTCATGCACAGCCACACCTAGCCTCAGTTGACTTCGAGTTCCCTTGTCGCCACCACGATTGCTGAGGTGGAAAGTTGGAACATAAATCGGATCACTCTTGCTGTCGCGGCCCTCGCTCCTTGACCTGGTTCTGTGCCCCTGCACCCTTTGGCATCTGGTTCTCGAGTTGCGATATGGTGCTGATGATGGGCTGCCTCGGTTGCCTCAATTCAAAGATCGCCGGTTTGCCACAAATCGCGACTTTGGTTGTGGTCTCCAGTTATACTGTACGTAACTTTACACGTGTATAGAAGCGGATCTTCTCCTGGAAGAACCAATCAGATCAGGAGATGGCATATCGAGTTGTTTCAGAACGACTACCTGGCATGGGCTTCTTGAATTCGCATCCAACAGCTTTCCCGTTAGTGATATTGACCCAACCACATCGCCCGCGGTACTCAAGATGTGTATCGCGTGACATCCTGTGCAGGTTTCCGCGTGAAGATCGCTTCTTAGATGTCCCATGTCAGCGGTTGGCGGGCCCATTTGAAGCCCCGCAGGACGTCATCGCTGCGGAGATGGAGCTGCCCTGTCTGGAAGTTGGTGTGAGACCCAGACAAACCAGCTCGCCGTGCCCAAGCGAGGAAATCCTCTTCAAACTGATAGACCTCTGAAATATCAGTATGGTACAATACACGTCTCGCTGGTGACAACTCCGGAGTGCGGTTTCTTGGTTTGTGGCGTGCTCTCTGTAGGCGTATACCAGCCTCGAAGCGGCTTTTCGAATGGGTGGGGTTCGCGATATTGGCCCACGGCACCACAAGCCTGGCGGTCCTGTCTGTAACGCACGAGCTTGGTTGATCGTGGCCGTCGTTGCTAAATGGCGGGGCTCACTCAACGTCCGGAGCAAATGCCCCTACCGGTGCTACGCTACGCAGAAATGTGCGAATTGGGACGGAGGATATACCTGACCATGCCAACTTGCTTCTCGCCTTCTCGACTGCTCGGGCATTCGCCACAATTAACTACTGCTCATCCAACAACCGAGGACGCTCTTTTGAGGCTCTTGATTCGCCTGTATCGAATATTTGCTGTCGCAGCCCACGGACGCCGCCTCGCTGAAGCTCCATCCGGTCTGACAATAACCAATCACAGCGTCCAAAGGAGCGTCTGGGACAACGAGGTCATTCTTGCACCGTTCTACATCTCAAGGTATCCCGCTTCCAGCTCGAATACCAATCCCGGAATTGCTTTGCCTTCTTTCACTGCGGCAGACTGCCACAGGCAAATTTTCAAACTCGGTGCCTGAAGCGAAGTGGACCTTCGTCTTTAACGGCTTCTCATAAGAAAGCGGGACCCCGGACACCCCAGGCCTGATCGTACCAAGGAACGTTTCCCATCTACTGTGTATTGAGCGTACCTTTGGAACGATAAGCTTGCAACACATTGCCCGTGTCTACGGCATTTCAAAAGAGACGCCTCTGCGTCTTCCGACGCACTCTAAGTAAGACTCTGAGTCAAGCGCGATTCGCAACGACGCATTCTCCCGAGGGCACATGTGGGGTGCCAGGTAGAGGTCACCTCGCCCACGACGCCATTCCACGCCGGGCACAATGACCCGCCACGGCGACAGCTCCGACCCGGTCACACCGGCCGACGAGTATCCCAATAGCAATCCGACGTCACCGGGCTCCATTGACGACGACTCGGAAGCGAGCACACCACTTGATCCCCCCAGTTCGAGCTCCGATGCTCCACCGAGCTACTCCCCGGCCAGCGAGCCGTCGCGCCGGGTTCCTTCGCTGAGGACAGTCTCAGATCCGCAAAATTCGACAATGAGCCCATCCTCAAGTGTTACTGGGTTGCTGAGCACCGTGAGACGGCCGGCGCCGAGCGCCAACAGTCTACCCCTGGACATCATGCAAAAAGCACGCGCCCTTCAAGAGCAACGTATGAACATGGCCGCGCGGGCGGCCAGCTCGACGGCGACCATGAACATGAACATGGGGGGACCCGCCGGCGGAGGGCTAGTGGGCGGCATGCCGTCGAATCTCAAGCTACCAGGGGGGATGGCCCGGCCGATGCCGTCCTCCTTTCCCAAGTCAGCGCCCGCGGTACCGGGCGCCAAGAAACCACCCAGTCTAAGTGAAAGGAGAGCCATGAAGCTGGGCAGCTTGTCCGGGTCCGGAAGTCCGTCGCCTACTCCGACTCCGAGACTGCAAGATCTCAGCAACGATGAGGGAAAACAGCCGGCAGTGAATGGGGAGGGTCGGGGCTCCAAGCTCAGCGACTTCAGAAACTACATCGATGCAGACAAAGGGTGGATTACCTTTGACGGCGCTGCCACAATTACCAGGACAGGAGTGAACTTCGCCAACGGCCACACCTTTTCCATCTCTCTCGATGAGATTGAGGTGCTCGACGAACTAGGCAAGGGAAACTACGGGACCGTCTACAAAGTCAAGCATGCGCGGCCAAAAGCGCCTCGGTTTGGCCAAGGACTAAGCAAGTTTAAGACGTCTCTCGCCTGGCAATCATCGAGCGAGACAGAGGACTCATCCGAGGGCACATCACCGACTTCTACTGCGCGGAGCAATGGGCGGACAACGTCAGGGGTGGTCATGGCTATGAAAGAGATTCGGCTTGAGCTGGACGAGGCCAAATTCACGACCATTCTTAAGGAACTCGTCATTCTCCACGAATGCGTCTCCCCCTACATTATCGACTTTTATGGTGCCTTTTACCAAGAGGGAGCAGTTTACATGTGCATCGAGTACATGGACGGTGGCAGTATCGACAAGCTGTACGCGGGCGGCATTACCGAGAATGTCCTCCGCAAGATTACCTTCGCGACCATTGTCGGTCTCAAGACGCTCAAGGATGACCACAACATTATCCACCGCGATGTCAAGCCGACAAACATTCTGGTCAACACCAATGGTCAGGTAAAGATTTGCGACTTCGGCGTGTCGGGTAACCTGGTTGCGAGCATCGCGAAAACCAACATCGGCTGCCAGAGCTACATGGCGCCTGAGCGCATCAGCGGTGGCGCGCTGGCCGCGGGTGTCGCGGGCGGCGCCGACGGGACATATAACGTTCAGAGCGATATCTGGAGTCTGGGTCTGACCATCATCGAGTGCGCCATGGGGAGATATCCTTACCCGCCGGAGGTTTCGAGCACCATCTTCAGCCAGCTTAGCGTAAGTTCCCACCCCCCCCCCCCCCCCCTTTCCTCATCAAGCCCCCTTTTCATCAACGGTCCTGAGACTAATCTTCTCCTTCCTCTAGGCTATCGTAGAAGGCGAACCACCAAACCTCCCCTCGGAAGGATACTCGGCGCAAGCCCAAGACTTCGTCCGCTGCTGCCTCAACAAGAACCCGCACAAGCGGCACACGTACGCCATGCTACTCGCCCACCCGTGGATCAAGGCCCTCGGTAAGCCCGAGACGATCGCCGAGAACGCTGAGGCTGAGGAGGCCGCGGCCGACGACGAGCTGGCGGATGCCACGGGATCGCTCAGCCTGAATAACCCGGGCGGGCAGATCGCCGAGGGCGACTATGAGGTCGCTGACTGGGTGAAGGGCGTGCTGCACAGGAAAAAGGAGGGCCTGCTACAGGACGGCGGGAAGAAGCCTGCGCTGCATGCCGCGCCGCTGGATTCGCTCAGCCCGGCGGCAAGTCCTATGGTTGAGGCATGATTGACTGAAAATTGGCATGTAGCTTGGTTGTTTCCGGCGGTCTCTAGACTAGGTTTGTTACTATACGGGAGGCCTGAAGGGGGTTCGTTTCGGTCTTGTATGTGTTTCCTCTCTTCCACTTGTGAAGGGCGTGATGTGTGGTTACTCCCGGCGATGGCCGCCTGTCCGGCTCTCGAAATATACGGTTTTTCAACTGCAATCCTGTTGACACCTTCTTCGTGTTGGATAGTCAACTGGTCAATCGCCCTCATCTTTTCTTACTGGAGGGATTCCCGTTGGAATTGCAACCCCTGACATCACCTCCACGTCGCCTAGGTTCAACGGGAGCGGGCATTCCTAGCTGGCCTGATTCGACCAAAAGTAGAATCGTGTATTGCATGCCATACATAATATTAAGTAAGATTGGGAAAGTTCACTACGAATGTCCACAGCTAGATGCCCCTCTCCGCCATGCGATTACAATTACAGAAAGTAAAAGACGAGAGACACCTCCAGTGAACTTGCTGCCCTACTCAAGGGCTGGTTGGTATCATTATAGAACGAATGGTCCGCCGAGCTGATGCAATCTTCCCCTCAGCATGTCTCCTTCCACTGAATCTTCCCAAACCCGTCATGTCTCGTAACTTCATCTTATAAAGGTCATCGGATTCCTCAATCCTCGCTGTTGCTCACGCATACTCGCCTTTGACCCGGCGCCCGCCGTAAGTGCTCCGCCTCCACGGCCTAGCCCAGCGCCGTCGGGGGGCAGCAGCCGGCGCGACAGGGGCACCGGCAGTGGTGTCCCTGCGCTTGTGCCTGGCCAGGCAGAAGAGGATTGTGCTGGCAAGCAGCGCCGCCCAGGCGCCCCAACTAAAGCCGAAGGCATACCTGCCCAGCGAGGCCTCGCGGTTGTCGCGCGCAAAGACGTTGCGCATGTTGACGAAGGTAGCACTGCGTATCTCGCTGTCAGTCTCAAGCCTGCTCCTGCGAGAAGAGATAGAGGGAGGTAAAAGACAGATAAGGGAGGGACGTACGTCATCAGCGACACGGCGATTGTCAGGAGGATCCACGCGACGAGCGAAATGAGGCCCGTGAACGCCGAGCCGAGCCTGCTGCACAGGGCGAGGAAGCCGGCAAAGAAGGCCACGACCTCAAAGAACAGCGCCAGCAGGAAAAAAATCCATCCGAAGCGCCACATGTACCAGTAATAGTGGCTTGTCGTGCCGTTGCCGTAGCCGCCGATCAGGTCGGAGGGAACGCCGCGAGCGTTGCTGTACCAGGCGTCGCCCAGTGGGAGCGCGGGGCGCGAGGGTCCGCAATTTGTGTTGTCGTCGCCGCAGACGCGGAAGTAGGTCCATTGCGAGATGGGGCGGGCGCCCTGAATGTTGGAGGTGTCGGCGCGGAGGAAGTAGGTTTGGCGCAACGGCGTGGTGTGAGTCAAGCCGGAGAGAATGACGAACCAAAGCAGAACTAGAGAGCCGGCGAGGAGGAGGAGGGCGAGGGGTGCGAGGATATTTGCTGGAAGCCGGTTAGGACAGCTTGGACTAATGTTTTAGGGGTGATGCGACTTACTTCGTGCCATATTGGCTGTTCGGTGGGACGGAGAGAGAACCAAGGTAAGTTGCTGCGGTCAAACTTCTGCGACAGATTTCCGATTTTGCCCTGGTGAGCTTTTATGAAGAATCCGTCTCGCGACAAGTGGATATGGAGGGTCGCCTTGCTGATATTGGCAGCTGTCTGCGCTGAACTATCTTCACGCCTCTGTTGTACTCGAAGAGATGTATGGAACAAAGCCGTGCGACCTTGGGCGCTTCCGGAGAGGACTAGACGTGATATGGTGACGTTCGTCCGGATCCGCCAGCCAAAACCTGAGAGGCCAGGTCCAGAGTGCGGTTCTAATTTAAATAGTACAGCAGACAGAACTGTGAGAAAGCACAAGCAAGCCTATTGTGCAAGTCGTGGGAGAGACGATGATTTAATAGACACATGTGCGACACCAACCCGAGCCAGCCGGGAAAGGTCAGGTGAATTAAGACCACCATCAGCCACTGTTTGCGTCCAAAACGAGTGCCCAACCCGGTGTTCACATCACTCAAGACAGCTAATGAGACTTCACCTCGGTCGCCGAAAGATGTCGTCGGAGACAAAGCTGCTGTGGGTTCATGGGCTGGGGCGACGATCTCTGATGACGCATCCCGGGTACGCCAAGCAGCCACTTCGTGCACACTGACCAATAAAAGGGATGGCCAATGTCCCACAGTGGCAGCACAGGCCATTGGAAGACCCTGCAACACCCTGTTGAGCGGACGTCATTCCCGCCATCTGCCGGCGCCGTGTTATGTAAGTTGCATTTCGCATTGAGCAATTGTGAGGCTACGGGGCTAGCTTTCCTGAATCTGGGTCACTCACTGCCGGCTCCTCAATTGAGAGCGTTCTTTAATACTTTGATCCCCTAACAAATCATAGCATCCCGAGAGAGCTTCACCTCTGCAGGGCTGACATGGGGGCGTGCCTCACTTCTCGATTCCAGATGGCATGCCATGATTGGTCCGTCACGGCACTTCTCGATCATTCGAGGCGAGAGTTGGATAACTGCTGGTGAAAAGCAGTGTATGACTGCCCAAGCATGCCACGGGGGCCCCTTTGGCACCTAACCTCGCAGCGACCTCCATCTTCTAACGTAAAGTTACGAGTCACTCCATCTAGCACTGGAAGGCGATCCGAATTCCCGTCCTGCGGACCCAGGCCAGGATCCACAACAGCTGCGACAGTAGCTGCCAAGGAAGCGGAACTCGGCCTCCGTCGTCTGCTCTTAAACAAAAACTTTTATTCCCAAACACCACCTAGTCCCAAATCCTCTGTGGCGCAATTGGCTAGCGCGTCTGACTGTTAATCAGGAGGTTGGAAGTTCGAGCCTTCCCGGAGGAGATGGACAACGTCGATATTTTGCTGCCTCACCTCATGAAGTTGACATTCTTGAATTTTGAGATTACCCGCCCCCACACGTCTCAATTTTTGGTCGCACTTCGCAGGATATGGCTGCAAGTGTCAAATGGCCCTCGCTGGCTTTCTCTATTTTGGAAGCTTATTTAAACAGGGAAACACTGTCAGTTCCTCCGCCTCCGCTCTCCACCGCTTGGGAGCTCTTAAGATGAGAAACATGAGAGTTCACTCTTGGTTAGCCTATAAGTATCTAGATCTATATTCAAGGATGCGCTGTACCCTCTACTACCCAAATTATCCACCATCATCACCTGCTTGCCTCAGCAAACCGTAATACCTCCTCCAACGACAACATCTCATACGGCCCCAGTGTCCACCCCAGCCCTTCCTCCGGCCTGCCCGGCGTCCGCACCGCCGTGGCAATCATGTAGTCCTGCCCCATTGATCTCAGGCTCATGTTCACATCCTCCACCTTCCTCCCCTTGAACAGTATCTCCACATCTCTCAACACCTCGCCGCCCTCCTCCCACGCAGGCACCCCCCACCCAGGCGTTGGATTCGTCGGCCTCACCGCGGGAAATTCCAACTCCTTCAGCCATTCGGCAAGCAGCGCCTCCCCAGTCAACTTGACGTACGCCTCCCGCAGCGCCCACAGCGCATAAAACGCCCTCAGCTTGCCGTCGTTGATCGCCTCGGCCGTGGGCGGGGGCGGGGGCGGCGCCACCAGCTCCGGCACGGCCGCCAGCACTCGGTGTTTAAGGTAGCTCACCTCCCCAGGGCTGAGAACATCGGCGTGCATATCGACGAAGGTGGGCCATCCGTCTTTGGCGATCATCTCCTGGTCGCGGTCCCGGCGCTCGCTGGTGCAGACCACGTCGACGCCGACCTGGGCTGGCGGCGTCTCCTCCCCGGCGTCCTCGTCCTGGTCGGTGCGGGAGGTGGGGGAAGGAAAGTTGGCTACTGCGACGATGGCGACGATGCCTGCTTGGTGGCTTATATTAAAAGACACAGGCTGGCGGCCTGTCGCCGGGTCGACGTAGACGGGCTTGGTGTGCGAGTCACGGGTGAAGGTGATCCGCTGCCAGGGGGTATGGGTGAGTTTGGAAATTGCGTAGCGCTTGAGTAGGTCCGAGCCGAGGGCCATTTTGGCGTCGCGGACATGGAAATAGTTGAGTACTTGCTTGGTGATGGAGGCGGGGACCAGGGACAAGGCCCGGGCAGCCTGCAGATTAAATGTGAGTGCACGACAGGGGATTATGGATGCATCCCACGGGGGTATGGTGGTGAGAATGATGGGATGCATGAAGAGTAGGCGGGTTTAGCTCACATGGGTTTCCAAGTCCTTGGTTCGGGTCGCCTCCGCGTACCAGGAGCGGGTGTCGAAAATCCATTGTGCGAGCGTAGGTTTGTTTGAGTGGTTTGGAGGAGGCATCTTAGGGGAAAATATTATGAGTATTGAAGGTATTTGAACAAAACGCTACCGCTCAACATATTGAGTAACTAGGCGCCCGGATGATGCTCAGGTGAAGGTGATTTTCGGAGATCGGTGTGGCCAGCGTCAGCAAGAGCGAAACCACGAGCCGGGAGATTGGCTGAGGCTACCAGACTGCGAGTGCGACCCGGAGCCAATTTGATCCCGGCTACTGTATTGCTTAAGGGAACTCTTCAACTGACACTTCCCGTCCTAATCTCCTTCTCAATTCGCCATCACAACTTGGATCCCTAGTGATGGCTTCTCCAGTCAGACATCTTAATGTTGTCAGGTGTCGATTGATCGCCATGTCTCGCATCGCAAGATGGCGGTTTCTTTCCATCGGGCTGCAGCAGTACGGTGAACATCTATCTGAACTCTGGGCCCTGTGCAGCTCCTTCCTTGGATCCAATGATGACAACCCTACTTCATGCTTGTAAAGAACTTGAACCTGAATCGAACGTTGGCGAATTTCCCAGCTCCGCCGACGGTGCCCGTCCCCGTCCGGACCGACCCCTATTTTGTTCCGGCCTGGCAGACCCCTGTTCCCGACCAAGCGATTACCGCCCACTCGCCAACAACCGGCACCAGACGTGTTGAGCGTCTAGAAATCTTTGATCCAACATTCCAGCTTTCAGCTTCGTGCTGCTCTTTCTCGCCGGGCTCGCACCCTGCCCGAAAGACAATTGCAGCTGTAGCGTACCGCTCTGCCGCGGGGTGTTGCCCGGCCGGCCGTGCTATGTTTCGGTAGAGAGGTCGCTACCTCAACACAATCCACTCAATCCATTCTATCTCGAATTCATGCCTGAGATGGCTGTTTCAATCTGTACCGGGACCATCCCACGCTCTGGCTACGCTGGCACGGAAGTACGTGGTGCAGTCACCGAGAACAAAAACAATTCCTGGCGACCAGGAGTGTCCCGCCGCTCATCCTTTTCCTCAACCCCCCCAACCCCCTTGACCTTAATCCCGCCATTCTCACTCTCCCTTTGCTTCCCGCCAACCTCCTTGACAACCTTCCCTTCCCCATCAACTTCAATAATCACGTCCTCTGTATCCAAACTCCCATCCTCCGTGTACCCCCACATATCCTTGAGCTCGCCCCTGAGCAGCCCGGTCAGCCATAGCGACCCCGTGACCCCGGGAACCAGGTACAGCAGTGCTGGCTGGCCGTGGTTGAACACCAGCATGACTGTCAGCGTGACAAACATGCCCGCTGCATACCCTGCAATCGAAGCATAAAAGTATGGCTTGGGGAACGCAGTCGCCGCTATCGCGTCGGTAGCTTCCGGCACGGGGAACAGACGGCCGAGCGGCGTCGTCCAGAACCGGTTGCCCCACTGGCCGCGGGTGTCGACGTAGGGAGCCTTGACGCGGCGGTGCTGGGTCGTGGTGGTGGTGACTGTGGCGTCGGGCGACGTGTCGGACTTGGATTTGGTGGTGAGCTCGACCGGCTCGAGCTTGGTCTGTCGTTGGTAGTGCTGGAAGAGATCGAAGCGGAGGGCCAGGGCGATTAGCATGCCGGGGACGACGATGTCACCGAGGCCGAGCATGCTGGCGCCTTTAGCGCTAGTAAAGACGAGCTTAATGGGGGCGTCAATGTTCTTAGCGACGGTTATCATGTAGGGACTGCGAGATATCAGCATCGGCAGCGAAATTTCCAAGACAAAGCGAGGGACGCACGTGTAAAAGACCATGACAACATCGTAGACGAAGAGACTGGCCAGAACCATGGTTCCGATAGGGAAAGACGTGGGTGAGAACATCATGAACGTGACGTAGCACATGGCTATGCTGACAAGGTTGGATAGTGCAGACCACGCTGTCATGTGGTACGCCAAGGTGAAAGCTCCGGCAACGGTGAATCGGAGCAGGTCGGTTGCTCTAAGGTCGAATTTGACAAGAGATTTGCCGTAAACGGCAAGCCGTACGGTCCACTCCTCAGAGACCAGATGACGAAATTCCCACAAGTACCGCCTCGATGCCGTCGACAATGCCAGCTGAGATAAAGGACCAGGCAAAGGTGTCTCTTTATCCTTGACGATGGTCTGCTCTCCGGACTTGTTGACCACGTACTGGCAGCGGCGGTCAGGGTCGATGTGGTAGACCTGGCCGTTGCTATCTGCCCACATGGTCGGGAAGACTAGGCTCTTGAGATTATCCAAGATGTCTCCAGCAAGAGTCCCCACGCCAACAATGGCCATTATGGACATGTAACCACGGAGAATCTTATTAACAATTGCCGGGTCCTGGAGCCACTGGATCAGGTAGTAGAGCCCCATGAGGACGGCAGCGAGCATGAGGGGGTAGCGGATGGCGTCTGAGGCGACGAGGCCTTCAACAAACTTTTCATCCTCCCGCTTCTTCTCGCCCTTCTTGAGTTTTGGAGGGGCTGCCGAGGGCGGCCTGCGGAGCGAACCATGGGCACCTAGCCAGATGATGCCCAGGGCGCTGAAGACCACCAGAAGGTATTGGGGTTCCAGGAGCCGAGCGAAGGCAAAGACCGGCGGTGACCGCATTCCATCCGGCATTGGTGTCGATTGCGAGGATATGTCCGCCCCGTCTGAAGAACTGGTTTTTGAAGACATCTGCCAATTCGAGGCGGACAGAGGCGTCGGGATGAGCTAGCGAAAGAAGGTAAGCTAAGGTACCTTGCGGAATCCAGCCTGAGGCGTAACAACAAGAAGCACCTACTCTTGTATGAGAGACTGAGACCGGCTTGATAATCGTCCTTAGACTGAATTCCCTGGTATATGGTGGACGTGCAAGAAGTAACTAGGACAATGCATCAGTCCTTCCTTCGTTGAATTATAGACTAAAGTGTGCTGTTTGCGATTCCCCGTTTTAAAGCCCTTCTGTGAGGCGTACTGTTCAATTTACAGTATCCGGACCCGCCGGAGTGTTCCTCTGTAATCCGTACAGTCTTCCCCTGTTTCAAAAATTCCCATCCCTTCTTGGAAGCTTGAGCCTCGCAGGTCAAGGTCCCCGTGCACCCAAGATTAGGTCATCCTTCAACTCCGTCTTTGACCAAAACCAGGACTGTTCAACCACCTCCTGCTTCCCCGAAAACGTCGGAAACAGCGACTGAATCGACCGCAATGGACTCGTGGCCCATGTCTGTGGACAGCCCGGCCTTGGACCCGCCCTCTGTTCCAAACGGCGGCGATGAACCGAAGCATGGCGGGTATTCGCGATTCGAGCTGGAGCTGGAGGTTCGCATCTCCCTCCCTTGCTTATCGCTTGCTTCTAGGGGAAGTTGGCTGCTCACATCTCAACAGTTTGTTCAGTCGTTGGCGAATCCTCAGTATCTCAACTATCTTGCCTCGCGCAAGTTTCTTACGAACCGTGCCTTCGTTGCGTACCTGGAATATCTGCAATACTGGGCGCGTCCGCCCTACCTCAAGTACCTCACGTTCCCCACCGCGACGCTCAAAATGCTCGAGCTCCTGCAGCAGGAGAAGTTCCGTCAAGACATCATCAGCCCCGACCTTGCGCAGGCCTTGATGGCCGAGGGAATGAAGACAGCGGTGGAGTGGCATCGCGAGGGCTGAGGGACGGATCATGCCGTCCCAGGCGGGCGGAAACTTAGAAAAGCCGAGTCAACTTCCAGGCCACGTATAACCGTGGATGTTCTCACCATGCTTGAGAACCGGTGGCCTCACATTTGCCCAGGCTATAACAGTGGAGACACATTAAGCGCCAGCCTGCAAGCAGCGCGTCGCCCTTTTGGGCAAGACGAAGGAAGCAAGGAACTCCCGCAGCAGAAGGCTGGACAAAAGAGCATGTCTTTGCAGGCCGAAATATGAGCCATATGCGATGCTCTTCATGTCAAGATAAAAGAAATATTACACGATACCCAAACCCATAACTCCTTGCAATGCCCAGTGATATCGCTGCCCTGCAACTCATGCACCCAAAGACGATACCGTCCGCGGTCAGTTCTCTCTCCACCTATGCCCACAGGTCATGCACTGAATCTGGTCAGCAAGCACGTACAAGTCTACCGCATGAATATGTGGGGAAAACATACCTTGTAGAATGTAGTCATGGGCTCATCCGCACTGCGAATCTGGACCTGGAAAAACGCCGCTTCGTCGCCGTTGCAGTTCGCCGTCGGACACTGCACCCTTCCCTTTTGCGCGTTATCCCACGCCCCTGGCCCGCCAAATACGTCCTCTTTCTCCTTGCGCGGGAAGTTCTTGCGGGAGTAGATTGGCATGTCGATGGCATGCTGGTAGGGGCATGTCCGGCACTCGAGCCGGTTGCCGCCCGTGTCCATCCGGGAGAGGATGAGGAGGTTTGCGCAGTAGGGGCAGACTGGGAAAAGTTAATGCAGTCCATTGTTATGAGAATGTATGGGGCCTTACATAGGATGGGCATCGTGTTAGTTGATGTTGGATGTGGAAAGAATTGTCTCCAGGACAGCACAGGCGGGCTGTCTTCGTAAGACTCCAAAAGTTACTGAAGATTTGCAATGCGCCTCACTCAACCCTGTGATTCCGCCGCAAAACTGAGTTGGTTCGTCCTGAGCCACTTCAAGAGACTTCACCCGTTACCTGGCAGGAAGATCTTCCTTGAGGAAATGCAGCACTCCTGGACTGGAGTGAACTTGCCTCGACTTTCACGTTTTTCTTCAGGAGCAGTTGCTCGGCATGTGGGTAATACATCACAAAGGTGCTTCCAGGTAAGAACCCTAACCCTGGCGCTCACGAATCGGTACTCCCAAGTATTTTTCCACTGTCCGCGGTACCTGACTGAAAGCTTTGACGCCCGGGCCTAGGTGATCATGACTTGGTTGTATTACATAGCCTAACAAGTGGGGGATTGAAACTCGCATCTTGAGCAATCATAGCACTTGGTCATACCCGACTCTATGGCAGTGGTATCGGTCTAAACGGTACGGTTTCACCGCCCAATCAGAATGGGGTAGGGCCCTGCAAGCAGAGATACCCCCCTACGGAGTACCAGCCAACCTGCTGCAAGTGGTGGGGTAAGGCTGTCACTGCCACCTCCTGGCAACGCTCCGGGTCTCGCAAACACGGCGAAACCCCCAACTGCAGTTATAAACATAGCACCGTGCCGTCGTGATCGGGGCTCGACTTCCAATAACCGATAAGAGGACGACTCAAGACTTCGTTGGGTCCTCTTATCCAGCCTCATTCGCCACAGCGCCTTGTTACCCCTCCCTCGTTGGTTTACTCTGCGCTGTTGGCCATCGACCATCAACATCAACAAACACCCCACGACAGACTGCACGATATCACAATGGCTAGTCGCACAAAGGAACAAGAACACGAGGTTCGTCTTATTCCTTTCCCTCTGCCAGTTACTCCTCCCTTCGCAACACCGACTGACACAACTCCTCTTCACCAGGGCGCCACAAACGAGGAACTCCTCATCGAAGCCTGCCGGCGCAACAACACAGATCTCCTAGCCGAAGTGCTCTCCTCGCCGGACCTGCAGGGCAACGACGACGCCATCGCCGCGCTCCTCAACAAGACGACCACGGTGCTCGGCAACCACCTCTACCACGAGGCGGCGCTGCAGGGCAACTACGAGATCATCGACATGCTGCTTGACCAGCCCGGCTTCGAGTGCGACCCCGTCAACCGCGTCGAGGGCGACACCCCGCTGCACAGCGCCGTGCGGTGGATCAACAGCGAGCCGCCGGAGCAGCGCGAGTTTGGCAACGCGCTCGTCGAGATGATGCTCGAGGCTGGGTCGAACCCGAGGGTCAAGAACAAGGGCGGGCTGACGCCGCTGCAGCTCGTGGATCCGAGGAATGAGGGGCTCAAGGAGGTGATTCGGAAGCACGAGTATTCTTCATTGAACGCGGGCGATTTTGTGTCGGCGGAGGAGGTGCAAGGGGGGAAGGGGTTGGGGGACGGGACGAGGAGGCAAGAGGAAGAGGAGGAGGACGAGGATGCCGAGTTTAGTGGGAGCGATGAGGAGGAGAGGGCGGAATGGGAGCGGCGGAGGAAGACGAGGAGGTGAGGATCGTAGAGGTGTTGGAGATGTATACCGGCTGGATAGCTGCGAGGACTACATCAACTTGGCGTGGGGACACTGGTTCTTCCTTGGCAATGCATCCAGGCAAATAGACTTCGTCCTTGTCAAAGCTGAGTTTTTCTGCTTCGTTTATGAAGGCCCGGGTACGTATTACCAAGCGCAGCGAACAATGAGAATTCCTGAAAATTCTAGGATCTGTCAACGAGAACCAGCCCACCATCCAATCTCCATTGCGACATAGGGGTCATCTTTTCACGACCGAGTGAGAACCATCCCTCACACCATCATCCAAACCATCACCACCACCAGTCCCACCACCGCTGTCCAAGCGCTCCCTCTAACAACCATGCCAGCCCCAGTCCACCCGGTTTCCCTCTGTTCAATGTACGCCCAACTCCTGACCCTCGCCCACCCCTCCAGGCTCAATCCCGTCCCGGCGCCAACAGCCTGCACCTCCTCGCCAAACGTCCGGAGGATATCCGTGCTCCTCCCGCGGGGACAGAACCGCACCTCCCACCCGGCGCCCGCCGTCTCATACGGCACCACAAACGTGCTGGTGCGGTCGTCGTACGCGAAGCTGTACGCGTCCGGGCAGACGCGCTTCGCGCTGCGACTGTACAGGCCCGGTTTGCAGACGTCGGGTGAGTTGTACGGGCCCGTGCAGCAGTCGGCTGGGTTCTTCGTTACGGCGCACGGGGATAGGCAGGGTTGGAAGGGCGCGCGGTGAGGCGTCAAGGGATTGCCGTTGTCCGGGTTGGAGATTATGGTGGCGTTGTCTCCTGCTGCGACTGGGTTTGTGGCGGGTACTTGGAGTGCCACGGGGCACCAGGCTTGGACGGTGTTGTTGGTTTGAATTGGTTCGAAGGGCATTGGGTAGGTGGAGTTGGTGTTGAGGTAGGAAGCGGAGTCGAGCGGGGCGGTAGGCGAGGAATAGGGGGAAGAGGAGAGGTAGCCTGCTGAGGCGATGCAGGCGCAGTTTGTGAGGTTCGGCGGGATCCAGGTGGTGTTTGGCGATGGGTAGTAGATAATGGCCATGGGCAGGTTGTAGCCGTCTACGAGGGAGATGTCGTAGAACGTCTGGTTATCGGTGCTGCCCCCTTGGAGCGTGAACTCGGCAACGGTGGCTGGGGCGCGGCCCTTGGACTTGGATTAGCAGGTGTGTTTGTTTAGTCTCGGGGTAAGGGGCAATCCTAACTTACGGCTAATGTGCAGTTTAGCTTGCCGACACAGTCGCCGGTGAGACACGCGGTCGCGTTGCCGTCCAGGCCGTTGGACGTACCGAACTCGCTGCCATCACTACTGAACGAACAGTTGGTCCTCCCCCATACCCGTCCTGCCCAGTTTGAGCTGACGAACATCAGTCTACTGGCGCCCGGCGTCAGCTCAAAACCGCCTGTTCCAGGTCCGGCACCATTTTGAGTTAGAATGCCTGGCCATATGGACTCGGCGCAGTCATTGGCAACTATCAACCGAATCGGAGTCAGGTTGCTCGCGAACTCGGCTGTGACGTTGGCCGTTGTGTTCGTGGGAATGACCGTTGTACTTGTACCGTTGGTGAAGAGCGAGAGCGAGAGCAACAGCCGAGGAGCGAGCTTCTTGTGACAAGGCCTTCGGCGAGGTGACCTCTTCTTGCAGAGCATGGATAGGTGAAAACGGAGAGAATGCTTGTCGGACCTCCCTGACCGAGCCACGAACTTCATGTCTTACGCGTTTAAAACACTTCGGCCACGCCTGAGTGCAAAAGACGGCCCTTGAGTGCTGGAGGACGCAGGACGATCCCAGGGTGGTGGTATAGGGGTACAAATCACGATGCTAATAGGTATGGAGACTAGGAGGTATGAACTTGAAGGTACGGCGAAGGGATATGTGGGCGGTGGTAATAAAAACCGGTTGGAATACAGCGTCAAAGGATTGAGGGAGTTAGAGGTTTGGTGAGCGAAGGGATTGTTGAAGGAGCATAGATCCATCTTCGGAGTTGGCACCTCAGCCGGCTTGTGCAGCCTGGACCGGTCTTTGGGCTTTCAAGGCCAAAAAGAGGAAGGAGAGGGCGCTCGAGATGGGCTGATATCCTGCCATCTTTTCGGGCAATCTGGCAAGAGCTGTTCAGGTTATGGAGTTGCTTCAGGCCATGTTAGCCGGTTTCCGCAGATGGTTAATGCAGGTACAATACAACGGACCACAAGTCTGAAGAAACGACCAAAGAAAGAAAGAAGGAAAGAAAGAAGCAAAGGGGAAGATGGGGTACGGAACACTGACAGTAGTAGATGGGTGCGCCAGAATTGAGCGTGCTAGTAAGTCCTTCTTTGGTTTATCTGACAGATGTATCGAGATGCAGCGTCCTCAGCGGCAAGAGCAGGTTCGAAATACCCAAGAATCACATGTTCCACATTCAAAACAAGCTGGCTTGTACTTCAGACATAAAATCAAGCTCCGAAACCTCTGTCAAAAGCCAGCATGGCTCCCCTAATCCCGCGCTGGGAGTTGTCTGAATCGACGAACTCTGAGACAGGAAGACTGGCCCAGATCTAGGCAACCCCCTATTTATCCCCACCCCCCGTCTCTCCCCTCTCCTATCTCTCGGCCTGGCTTGCTCCAACGCTTGAACATCCCCAGTACAAGAACCAAGCTAGGCAACATCGCCATATGTATAAGTCTCGTCTCACATTGCCAATCATGCGAAATACGCCCATTTTACTTCAAGAGGTATCACTGTCGAGATCCGATACGGTGCGAAAGAAAAAGCAGCAACTCCTGTCCAACAAGCCCTGCCTCCATCTCTACCTGAACCGCGCCCTGCAGCGGCCCATAACTTCGCCTTGGCAGACCAGCTCGGCGCTAAATTCGGAGCCGTCCAGGGTGAGATAGATGTCAAAGTAGACCCGGTAGAACGTGCCCTGCGGCGTGTCCATCCGTTCAAAATCCTTCTCCAGGTTCTTGCGCGACAGGTCCGACGTAAGCGTGACCACTTCCTTGATTCCTGTTCAGTGAGTTAGCATGAAGCATCACAAATTGGCTGAGAGCAAACCTACTGGGATCCTTGGTGTACTCCGGGCAGACGTCGTCGTCGCAGGCGTACAGAATGTCCTCGTACATGAGCGTGGCGCCGGGGGCAACCTGCCGGAAGAATGACACCTTGACGGGCTCGCCAATCTTGACCTTCTGGCCCTTCTGGACAAAGATCTGGCGGGTGAACTTGCAACGGTCCTTGCCGTCAAGCGAGGGCACACGGTACGCCTCGGGATGGTAGCCTTCCTTGAAGGGCTGCAGCGTAGCCATGAGGTAGTGACGCCGAGCAACACGGTGCGTAATGACTCTCTCAGTAATACCGGCAGTGACGGCACCCTTAACAATGGCAGCGACCGAATCCATGGGACGGACAACCTTGGACTGGAACTGGGGCGGGACGTGGAGCTTAATCTGCTGGAAGAGATATTCTGACGCGCCAAAACCACCGACGACGAGAATGTTTTGGAGCGTCCTATTCTGCGCCTGGATGGCGATGATCTGGTTCCGGACGAGCTCCAAAATGCGGTTCACGACGGGCTCGAAGCACTGCAGGATCTCCTCGTTGGTGAAGGTCATGTAGCCCTCTTCGATGCCAGCCTCGGGGAATTCGGCCTCGATACCGACATCGACGGCCCACTTCTGACCGTTATTCCGGAAATCGGCCTTGATCCGGTTCTCAAAGTCCATGATGCACTTGGCATACACACGCCCGGCAGTCTTGGAGCCGTCGGGGAGCTTCATTTTTCGAATCTTTGTCCGCAGGATGTTGCTGAAGTTCCGGTTCAGGGCAGTCGAGCCGCACGAGTCACCAGAACCAGCCGTGCATTCGGCGACCGTGAAGGGGTTCTCGTCTTCGACTTCGTATGCAATCAAGTCGACGGTGCCGCCGCCGCAGTCGACGATGAGCACGGCATCGTGTACCTTGAGGTTCAGAAGGCCCGTCTTGGAGCAGAAAAGGGCGGCAGCTTCAGGCTCGCTGACGAGGGTCAAGCGGTTGTCGTTTTCGTCGCGGAGGAAGCCAGCCTGGATGGCAGCAGCTCTGGTGGCAGCCTTGCCCGCGTCGTTCCAGATAGCAGGAACGGTCAGGTAGTAGCGGATGTTCCTCTCCTCACGGTTGAACACCTCACCAAGCGTCTTCTGAAGCGCCGCCCGCATAGCCTGGCGCAGCTTGAAGAGGTAGTCGGCAGCAACGTCGATCTCCGACTTGCCTGGCGGCAGCGGGGGAAGGTTGATGGGGTCAATGTACGTGTTGCCCGACAGCATCAGCTGAAGCTTGAACCATTCCACTTTCTGCACGCCGGGCTTGGGATAGCCAGTCGGGGCAAGGGCATCGGCGATATCGGGGCCCCAACCAACGACTTTCTGATACTGGTCATAGTAGAGAACGGTCGGGATCTACAGCGAAGCGGCGCGAGTTAGCGCCAAGTCCATGCATGCGGCAGGGCTCGTTTGTCTGGAGAGACTTGAGGACCATTTCGACTACTCACCTTCTGCTTCGTGTATGAGCCGGCGCCGGGCCACTCGGTGATGATGTCTTCTTTGGCCTCATTGTTCGTCGCAAATGCAAAGGCTACGCCAGAGAATGTTGTGCCCTGCAAAGAAAGCGGTTGTTAGAACACGGCACGGGTCGAGTGCAAGAGGTTGGCGGGTGATTCAGCTTACAAAGTCGATGCCCACGATCAGCTGAGCCTTGCTCCGGCTGTTGCCCTCAACCTCGGCGGCGGCATTGCGTGTGTAGGGAGCGATTGGCCCGGTGGGCTGCGGCGCGGCCGGTGGTGGGTAGCCGGTAGGGCCAGCGTAGCCTGGCGGACCACCAGGCACGGGCGGAGGGCCGCCTCCCATGACCGGGGGTGGATACCCAGCGACCGGAGGAGCTCCGGTGTTGATGGGGGGAGGACCTCCAACCATTTGAGATGGTGGAGTACGGGTCGGTCCTTGCGTGGCGAGCGGGCTGGTGCGGCCGACGCCGCCCGGAGGGCCTGGAGGATAGTTTGCTGAGTAGCTGGGTGGGCGCGGACCAGCACCCGGGTGATTCATTTGGAGGCTCGACTGGGACGGGTTGGATGCACTCGACGGGACGGGACCCGGGCGCGAAGGAAAGAGCGGTGGTATTTGAGGGGCTCCCGGGGGCGGGGTCAGGCTCTGTTGTAACACGCTGGGGTTAGGATTCGTATTCCCCGTCTGGGGTTGTATCGAGGCGCTCGACTTCCGTTTACCGAATCCAAAGCCTTTCAGGCGCGAGTTCATAGAGTTCATAAGGGAGGTCAGATGAAAAGTCGAGTATTTGAAAGGGAAGAGCGGTAGTCGGGGGTTAAAGGAGGGGGTGAGAGCGAGGGGAGGCTGTGGGCGGCGCGCGGGCTGGGCAGCCCAAGAAAGAGCTGAATCGGGGAAAGGAGGGGAAAATTGGCTGATTGTGACTGGGGCCCTGGGTCGCAGCGGTGGGTTCGCGGCTCAAGCAAGAGAGGGTCGATAGCGCGGCTCGCAGTGCTGGCTTGCGAAAAAGTGTGACCAGTCCCAACTTGGGCCCGGCACCCGACTTCTGTGGCTGAGATGGTTTCTGCGCCAGGCGCCTGACAAATTGATGAGCGATACTGTTTCCACGTATAAGGCTGAGCTCGTGTCGTCGTGGGCAGTGCCAGCGCGGGGGAGGGGTAGTGGGTTCTGAAAGTCGACAAAACCACAGGCCGATCCGAGCTTGAGGCGCAACTCAAGAGCCGAGAATATCTTAGGTCGATGGCAATGGTGATGAAACGGATTCGAGGCCGATCACATTTGACTTCAACAAACAACACAACAGCAATAGGTAAGGTAGGTAGGTAATTAAAGTTACACTGCAGTACACAACTCGGCGTACCTTCCTCAGGTGAGCGTCTCCACTCGGTCCCCAGGACTTCGAGCCATGCTGGACACTGCATGGGCAGCTTGCAGTAGGACCCACCTGCTCGGTTCAGACGATCATCAGGGCCAGATCGCGGAGAATGAGGAGAGACGTGCCGGTGGCGACAGCGGGAGTCTCAAGGCAATCACATACTGTAGGCCCTAACATCCCATCTCCTAGTGACCTACTCGGTATCGTACATTCGCAGCCATGAAGGACGGCTGGATTTCAGCGGGGCCAACACCCTGAGAGTTGGGTGAGGCGCCAGGTCTACACCAATAACGTTACATTAACGGCGATCGGCCCCTGTCCCTCGGGCTGCTTATTCCTGTATGTTTCCCAGAACTGGTAACGTCAAATCCATGCTTCCGTAGCTGCATAACGTTATATATCTTTCAACGGAGAATTCCAGCATATGGGCCTGGTGGGAATCCTTCAATCATGTCGCCAACGTGAGAGCCGCCTTGGAGTTGGTCCGAGACTCGATGTGTTGCGACCTGAACGTCCTTGGCACGGCATTCCAGGTGCCTGACCTAAGCCTAAAAGGGACATGCGGGTGGTAGGACCTTCGTAGGACTTGGATCTTGCCATGCGGGCCTGTGGCTCAGCTTCGAGGCGCTGTGCCTTCTTGCCGTGACTGACGGCCAATCAAGCGAACCTTGATCCGCTGCATTTCCCGCATCGGAGTTCATGTATGAATCATTCTTAGACTGGACGGCACGAAGTTCCTCCTCCCATTGCTCTGGAACCAAAGGACGTACTCATCTTCAGTTGGGTATGCTCCGCTCTACGACGCTGCTGATTTGTCGCAGTCGACTATGGGCAGTTGTTCTGTCGAATCAACAACTCTCTCTCTCAATCTGATTGCGGGCGCTTGTCATCGAGAGCCGCCTCCGGCAAACATGCTGGTTGGCCTTCCCAGTCAATGCACGCTGGCGGATCTCAATGCAACGTTGAACATGGTTCCCAACAGCTGCCAATCAAAATCACTTGCGTTCGACGGCTTCACAGAGCGATGCTGTCGTCGTTGATCGCAGCCGAGACTGCTGATCTCACCATGAAACAAGTCGACCGGCGGCCGGTCAGCAACCTCGTCCTGTCCTTCCGGATGGTGGACTGGTTGCGTGGTATTATTCGGCGTCGCTAGCGGCACAGTCCAAATGAACCGTTGGGGCCTGCCAAGTTTCCCGCTTCGGTGAAGCGAACGTGCTTCTTGTCAGACGTGGATCGGGTTGAACCTTGGAGCATTGCTGCCGTCCGATGCGTAACTTGCCATTAGCCATTCATCAGACATACACGTCAAACAACTCGCCGTAGAGCGCTCGGAGACTGGATGTTCCGTCAGAGCTTGATGCTTACGGAGCAGCTCCGGCGGCCCTCAAACCATAACCAAAAGTGACACTATCCAGTCCGTCTCCTGACCAGAACCGTTGAGGCAGGGTCGCCGGATGCTGGTCACCTCATGCTTGATTCAACATGGCATACGCTGGACATCAAAAACACATTTCTTGCGCTCTACTTTGGAAGGTCTTTGAGCCCAAGAGTTGGCCCCCGCTACGCCGTGCGACCATCCGCTGACCCTTCTTGTCATCAAGTCCTCAACATTCTTCGGAGCCCTTTGTGTTTGCACTGATGAACGTACCAATGTTCGCCCCGGACTGGTCAGTCCCTCTGGCCCGATGAATGAACCCGCCGAACGTGTCCCTTTCACGTCCGGGTCGAATCAACAATGCATGGGTGATGTCTGTCCCATGCGTATCCACCCCTTTTTCAACTCCCCCCCTCTCAAACGGCTGCCATAAACAACTCACAGATACGGGCACTAGACAAACACCTTCATCAGCAACCACATCACACCGCACCTCAACATGAGAAAGACTGAAAAACTAAAAACTCACCGTGATTTTATACGCCGCCACACCCCCAGGCGGACTCCAGCAGCCCGTTCCGCTAACAATGCCCTATATCTTGATCAGCAACTGCCATCACACCACCCTTCCATTCCTCCTTCATGCCGTTCCCCTCGTCCAACTCCCGTCCCCTCCTCGCCATCCATTCAACCACATCAGTAATAGAAACTTACGGGATCACTGCAATCCGCCGTATTGAACACGGTAAGCAAGCACTGCGGGATCCAATAATACACATGGATGGTCGGGTATGTGGCGTTCTCATAAAACGTCCGGCATTGGTCGCTCTGGTTGCCGATGGCGAACTCGTTGACCCCGTTGTCCACGCTCGCGAGCGGACAGCCCAGCGTGTTCGACGTGGAGAAGGCGCCCATGCGCGGGATGCGGGTGTCCACTGCTGCTGCCGTGGCGAGGGAGGCGGCGCCTGCCAAGGACAGGATGGTGGAGAGATGCATTTTATTTGGTTGAGAGACAGAGAGAGAAGAAGGTTGGGATTGTGTAATGTTGGACGGTAATGAGAAGTCGGATTTCCTTGGAGCTTGATCAGAGTTTTAGACGGGACTCAGAAAGAAGGGAAGCGTCTTATATAGTTGAACTATGTTCTCAGCAACCCATAATCAAGCTCAACCTTCCGTATTGCTTGCCTTTTTGTATCGACCCCAGTACCTCGTATTCGAGCCATGGCTTGCTGCCGATGTGACGTGGAGGCTTAAGCCACCAGAAGGGCTAATGGTCCAAGTGGTCGAACCACCCCCAACACCAAACGCAGCCTTGTACATGTACGTTGAGAAGAATTATACAAAACATGGGTGCTGTTCCGCAGAGTCGGGTAGGCCGAGGATTCCCGTATATGACAACATTTATAAGTTGCGTGCCGCGAGAGTCATCCCCTTTGCGTCAAGGCACTTAAATGGCAATGCATCAACAATATCAACACGCAAAGGACAGAGCTGGCCAATTCGCCCAGAAAAGCAGACACGTTCAGAGCAGTGCTGCCCACAAGGCAAATCAAGTCAAATCGGCACACCGACTTGCTTTGATTTGAGGCTAGAGATACTCGACTTGCCTTGTCAGTGCCTCGACTTGCGTTGACCCAAAGCTTTGCCAAGCCGCTTACATAATCCCCCGGAAT